TACTAGAATATAGTAAAGTACCAAATAATCTTCTCATTCTTTTGGGGAAAAAAAGAAGAAAAAATAAATTAACCAACCAAAAAAGGAAACGATAAGAAGGAAGAGAGATTCTAGATAAATAATTGTGGAGCCTATTATTGGTTTTCTTTTCCAAAACTTAAGACCCACAATATATGTAACCTGAAATATACTGTACCTCCGTATTTGCTTATAGACGCATTCCGGTATTTTATAACCCTAGCTAGCTTACAAGATAAATTAATATTCATTTCACTCAACAATTACTCCTCTGTCATAAAATTATTGTCCAGTTTGAAATTTCATTTTTAGTACAATTTGAACTAAAAATGAAAATCTAAATTGGACAATAATTATTATGAGATGCAGGGAGTAATTTTTATAAGATGCACCTAAGGCCAGAGTTTAGTATCTCGAATCATAACAATCGAGGAAACAAAAATTGATTTTCCAAAAGAATTAAATATACCACACTATAACTTTACTCCGATTCATTAAAAAGTTTGGCGTGCAAGGAATTACTAGTATCGTTTTGCTGACTGTGTGAAAATCATTTCGTGAACCCTAGCAATAGAAAGATACTGCATTGCATTTCTCTAGGCAAACCCCCTTTTAAACTCCCTTTAAAGTTTAGTGTCCATTAATTTATCATGTGAAAATTGTTTCTCGACAAAGTAAAATTTGCACAAATTTTTTTGTTCTTTCTAAAATATGAACCTCAATGTAAATGCATAAGTTATGCCTTTTTATGTTTCTCCAAAAAAGAATGCAATAGAAAAAAAATAATTATTTTGAGACAAAAATAAAGTAAAGTTACAGTCCCATTGTTAATTTTAAGAGTATGATCTCGTTATTTAATTAATAGTCGTTGGATTAATTTAAATCAATTATAGCCATAAAATTTACATTAAAGAAATAAAATAACTAAAAGTGCATACGACCGGCAACTGGTAAATTATTTTATAGTATAGAATTTAATTGGAAATCTTCTTCTCCCTTAATAACTATGCGCATGCTATTATTGTGCATATAAGGCTTGATAATGCCCCTATTAGAAACTCAATATACGAGAGCAATCTAGTTTCCATTTTTTTTAAAAAATCATGCAATGTGCTGCCCCCCTTCCCCCAACCCCGAAAACCAGCACTTAGTGCTATTTTACGTATAACTCAGGGGCTGCAACCCCTATAACTATGTAGCTGCTACATAATGAATAGCAAAAACTTGCCCAGCAAAAGGTGTAAGCCAAATTATATAGTGTGCAATACTTATTTAATAAAGATACAATACATATGTATATATTATTATATTGAAATTAATTTCAATTGTGCACAAAAAAAAAAAAAAGCTTATATAAAAAGGTAGTGCAGTTTTTTTAGAGTGTATGTAATCATGTACTCCCTTCATCCCATAATTATTGTCCACTTTTCCCAAAAAATTTTGTCCTAAAATTATTGTCCAATTTAACTTTTTATGGATTAAATTACATATTTGCCCTGCTAAATACCCTGTTTTTTTCACAATCGCAGAACAGAGCATCATCCTGTGATAAAAAACAACACAAATGTTTGGAGTGGCTTGACCAACAACCCAGCAAATCGGTTCTTTTTGTTTCCTTTGGGTCCAACACTTCGTTATCCGATGAACAAATTGAGGAGATTGATGTCGGAATGAGAAATAGCAACCAAAGATTCATCTGGGTCTTAAGGTGTGCTGACAGGGGAGATGTTTTCGCCGCTGAGGAGGTGAGCCGCCAGCATGGACTTTGATTGCGGCACCGTACGAAGAAGGAATATTGAATGATGGAAGGGGATTGATTGTGAGGGATTGGGCATCTCAATTAGAGATCTTGCGGCATCCATTGACGGGCTGATTTTATGAGTCATTGTGGATGGAATGAGAATCAGTTTTGGGGTGCCCTTAGCAACATCGCCGATGCATTCCGACCAGCCAATTAATGCTATTCTTTTGACGAAGATTCTCAAGGTTTGGTTTTATGGTGGGTGAATGTGGCCACGAAGGGGAATCGATTAAAGCGGATATAGTCGAAAACGTTGTTCGGACATTAATGAAGTCGCTCCGGTTAGATCTGAAGCTGAGGAATGGGCTGCCGATGAGGATTGAGATGGAGATCAAAATGCAGGTGAGTGTAGAAGCTCAACAGCAAGGAAGTTAGGATCAAAATTGTGTGTTTGCCGATTAAACAATTAAGTAGGCAGGGGTATATCTGGTAGTTTGAGCTAAAATATAGTTAAATTTGACTAAAAATAAAATCTTCCAACTTAGCTAAACTGGATAAAAATTATGGGACGGATGGAGTATCAATTCATGTGCAATGTGTAATTTTTAATAAACAAATGTGCTATCAATAAAATTAATTGAGTGGTATTGTAACTTTTTGGTATAATGCAACAGTTTGTAAGTGAGCATGCAAAATGATTTTCTTGAATGTGCAATAAGATGTTCAAAGGTGCAATGTTTATACACAATAAAAAAAAATAAAATGAGAAATATTTTGCTTCACTAACTTTCGATAACAATAATTCTGAAAGAGTAACTCTTACACTTTTTCCTTACTATTCATATATACTTGGCCTTGAATATTAAAATTTAAACATTCCATTTCTTTTGATTGAAAACTGATATATACAATGAAAATAAAATAGTAAAATGGGATAGTAACTGACGTGGCATGCATGTATCTTACTTAACTATCCATATCATGTTATTAGTGTTCTTATCTTTTTACGAGTAACTATCCCTTTTCACTATATGTAGCCAGTGTCTATGTCAATGTTTTTTCTGATTATTACATGTCATAGCAGTCAAGTTAGGTCTCCTTTGTATTTGTACAAAAGAATGAAGAAAAATAAGAATAAGGATAAAGAAATCACAAGAAAGGTAGCTAAATATTTTCATGGACAATAAAATGAGTAGTTATCACCTAAATATTTTACTGTATAAAAATATAGTTTCGACAAAACAACACAAAATATAGAGGCAATCTATTTTATTATATGTATAATAATATACACACAAATGTGCCATGTTTAAACATACATTATTATGTTAAAAAATTCAAAAACAAATTGCAAATAAAATTTTATTATTCAACGTAATATGTAAATACTCGCTCAGTGAGGCTTAAAAACAAAATTTGAAATAAAAAAAAATTAAAATTACTAAAAAAAAACTTATATAAGAAATAGCATAGATGAAATGTGCAATCATATATAAATATAGGTGCAATTCAAATGAGAAAATGCACAATCACTGCATATAGATTTATTTGTAATGGAAAAATTAAATAAGAAAGTTTGATTAAGAATTTTGGTAAGTTTTTGTATGATGCAATTGTTTGACAATGAACGTGCAATATATTTTTCTTGAATGTATAATTAATAAAAAAATAAAAGGAAATAAAAGATTGTGTAATTAATCATCAATTAATTAGATGTAATGTTTTATAAACGAACGTGCAATCATATGTAATTATTTGTGCAATATATATAATGAAAAAAAGAAATTTAATTATTAATTAATGGTGATTTTGTTATTTTAAATGTTAAAACTTTCCTAACTTATTCAATTTTTTAAAATTTGGTAAGTTTACTTGATATTATGGTAAGTTTACCTGCTTAGCAGGACATAAAAAATTTTAAAAATTAGACACATTTAATGTTAGATTGATGTGTTATTTTTTTATTAGTTAAATTTTAACGGGATCATATCCTCAAAATAGCCAACGGGGCCCTAGAATTTTCCACAAAAATAATATACTTTAGTAATAATCGTATTAATTTCCTGCTTTATATTTATTGCAAGATAGTGAGAGATTTCTTGAATCACAAATTAATTATGAGAGATCGTTGCAGATACATAATTAAAATTAAAGTATAAGCATAATCTTGCAGAATAGTAAATGCTGAGTATCTTTTCTATTTTATTTTATGATTTTGGTACAAAGTAAATCACTACTAGAAAGACTTTTTCTCTACGTTTAGTCCTGTGTGCACGATATAGAAGTAGAACACAGTGCATGACCAGCTGCAATTTATAACAAACTTATTAAACCAAGGATTTAATGATGCGTGTGCAGTGCAGGATCTATAAAATTTAAACAAACTCATATAAATGGACTAACAATAGTATAGAGCCTGTACTCATTTTTCTCCCTATGAAATTTCCCACCGCTTTCATTTTATTCTTATGTTCATTTTTTGAGGCCTTGCATTGTAAGTAATACCTCTTTGGACGGTCATACATCATAAATTTATTCAAATCATAATATGCCAATTTAATCTTAAATTATTTGAACAGGAAATTATATCAGCATATTCGGTGAAAATTTTAGTTATATACCTTCGATGAGAATTCTAATTATAGTATCACAATGGATCATAAATCATTTTTGCATAACTTATCAAGCAATTAGTATGTCCTAGTAATGTTAATTACATACTAGTGTAGTAACTTATTAAACCTTTGTTAATTTGTTACCATGGAGAAGTAGTGAATTTTGAGAACACAATACACAATACAATGTTGTTACATAGATTTTGTTTAATTTTTTTTTTTTTGGAAAGAAAAATATGGAAGTATTCATGGAGTTATGAAAGCTACTTACATTATAATTTGTGGACGTCACTTATCCTCGTATATCACCTTTACATTATTATTAGTCTCTTATAACAATTACTTCCTCTGCTCAAAAAAAAAATCTACTTTGAATTTTAGAATTTGTACTAAAAATAATATAAATCTAAAAACTCAATGTTGACTATTTTTCTAGGACGGATGTAGTATAATAAATCTTCATCAAATGTTTATTCAACATTATTCTAATCCATTAACTAGTAATGGAACTTAACATTGGCAAGAACTCGTTTAATAGTGATTTTTTTTTTAATAAAAAAAGGTCAAATAAATAAATAAATAAATAAAAAACTAGTGAATCAAACATAAGATTAGTGGTAGCCTCCTAGCCATTAAATAAACAAATTAATTAGAAAGATTAGGCACAAAATTAAAAATGCTTACAAAGTACTAGTACAATTTAGATCTTCCTTGAGAAGATGGCGGCAAAAGCGAGCGTAAGAGAGAGGGGGAAGTAAGTGACGACGACGACGCATTTTTGTCCGCGTAGGCGCCAGCTGTATGGCCACGGATTCTCTCTCTGTGTTACACATTGGACCAACCCCCGGTCCCACACCCTCCACTTATTACACACAGTCACACAGTCACACACACACACACAGCTATCCTACTCCGCATCACACCGGACCACACCCCACCTTTCCTCTCGTCAGACAGACAAGAGAAGAAAGCAAAAAAGAAACATCTTTTCTTTCTCTTCTTCAAATCCTTGTTCAGCACATTTGCAATTTCACACTCCACGCCTCACTGCCAAGTGCCCCTCCTTCTTTCTCTCTCTCATTTCTTGAATAAATTAGGAAAAATCCCCCAAATTCTTCTATTATTCAAATGAATAAATCAGAGCAAATTTGTTTCGGTGTTACTGTTATTCTTTGCAATAACCCTGGAAAATGTGAGACAGGGGAATGAATGAATGAATGAATAGAAATACCCAAAGAATATAAAATATATTCATTCCTTCTCGGAATTGTGTTGTTTGTAAACCCACATCGACCCGGCCCACTAATTTTTCTTTTTTATACTTGTTTGTTTTGTACAGTTTCTTTGAAATTTTTAGAAAAGAAATTTTGGTGGGTTTTTGTTGGGATTCTTGGAAGTGAAATGGCGAAGAGTGAGGTGTTTAATGATCCCGTGGCGGCAAAAGTAATGGAGCTGAAGAAGGAGTTACAGAAGCTTGTGAAGGCAATTGCGGTGGATGATTCTGATGATTTTAGTGTGGAAGCGCTAGATAAGGCCCACCGGGTGCTTTGTCTTCTCAGAGATTCAAAGATTAAGCGATCCCTCTCTCTTAAACTCAACGAGTCGCCGGCCACCGTGCCGGAGGAGTTTCGATGCCCACTTTCTAAACAACTTATGAGAGATCCTGTTATTATCGCAAGTGGCCAGGTTTGTTTCTTCTTGCTTTTCTTTCTTCTCGTTTTTTTTCTTTTTTTGTGGCATCAGAAATTTTGGCATTGTTTGGGTTGACATGGTTTCGTTTCCGGGGTTTATTCAGATTCAGTTATTTTCATTTTCTTGGCATTTTTGTTCATACGAACTTTGGTTGATTCTGGTATTATTGCCAATTGTGTTGTTTGGCTGTTGGTTGGAAACTGCAACCGGATTATTGTTGTTGCGGGGGGAACTCTGTCTTGACTTTTCTTGATGTAAGAAGAAGAAGAAAAAGTTCAATTTGTTTGTTTGAGTTGGAATCATGCTGAAATTGTCTCGAATTGGAATGTGGTTATTGCATGTATTTTGACTGGATAAGTCCTGCCCATGAAATTGGCTTAGCAAGACGGGCTGAGATTTTTCCATTCGAATTTTGGTTACAGAAATTGCATTTTGCCTGTTGTTTGTAACTTTGTCAATCTTCTTTTCGTGGTTGGAATTTGTCTATTTTGCTGTTCGAAAACTCTGATTTGTCATTTTCTGCTTTCTTACAATTCGTGGATGGACCTGAGGGGTTTTGGTCATGGTTTTGAAAACTTTGGTTCTTTATTTTGTGTGTCTTAAATCTGGTTGATTTTGTTCTTAGAGTTTTGTCATTGATGTTGCAGACCTATGATCGGCCCTTCATTCAGAAATGGTTGAAAGCTGGAAATAGGACTTGTCCAAGAACGCAACAAGTACTTTCGCATACTCTTCTCACGCCTAATCACCTGATCAGGGAGATGATATCTCAGTGGTGCAAGAATAATGGGATAGAAATGCCAGACCCTATCCAGGTTTCCGAGGATGATGCTATAACTGAAGCTGATAGGGAACGGTTCATTAGTTTACTTTCCAAGATGTCTTCTTCAATATCTGATCAAAAGGACTCTGCTCGTGAGCTTCGAATGCTTACGAAAAGGATGCCTTCCTTTAGGGCTCTATTTGGTGAAACAACTGAAGCAATACCTAAGTTGATCTCTCCTCTGTCTCCGGACAAGTTCAAAGAAGGAACAAATGCTGAGCTCCAAGAGGACATTGTCACAGCCCTCTTGAATCTTTCCATTCATGACAACAATAAGAAGTTAGTCGCAGAAACGCCAACTGTTATTCCCATTCTGATGGGTGCATTGAAATCAGGAACTATACAAACAAGGAGCAATGCAGCTGCTGCCCTTTTCACTCTATCAGCTCTCGATTCCAATAAATCACTCTTAGGGAAATGGGGTGCTCTAAAACCGCTTATTGACCTTTTAGACCAGGGGCATGAGTTAGCAATGAAAGATGCTGCATCTGCAATTTTCAATTTGTGCATCACTCAGGAGAATAAGGTAATAGCTGTCAGAGATGGCATTGTGAAAGTGATCCTGAAAAAGATCACAGACAGAATGCTTGTGGATGAATTAGTTACCATTCTTGCAATGTTTTCAAACCATCCAAAGGCTGTGGAGGAAATGATAGAGTTTGAAGCAGTTCCATGTTTATTCAGTATAATCAGGGATACATCTTCGGAGCGGACCAAGGAGAACTGCATTGTCATTCTTCATACCATTTGTGTCAGTGACCGGACACAACGCAAGGAGATGAGAGAAGAGGAGTTGACTTACGGCACAATTTCTCATCTTGGTCAGCATGGCACTGCAAGAGCCAAAAGGAAGGCCAATGCCATTCTGGACAGATTGAATAAGGCCATCAATTTCACGCACACAGCATGATCATCATCATCAGGCATTCCAAGTCCCAGCAGAAATTTTGTAAATTCTACATCTTTTTTACCTGCTAAACTTGTCAAAAGTTCATATTGTGTATATTCTGTGACGTCTCCAAGGTTTTGATCTCAGCCTTTTTAAGGGTTGCCCTTATTAGTATAGTCATTGTGAATATTCAGGAACAGAGAGCTTTTCCTTTTAAAGATTCCCTCTTTTACCATTTCTCAAATAATCAATGCACATGTCTTTGTTTAGTACAGTGTACACTTCTTCCTTTGGAACTATTAAAGAAAGGTCCCATCTTTTGCTTGCGAGCTGGCAAAATGTCTTTCTGAACCCCTTATTGTACAAGTTTTTGACTTTGTTGATTGCCTAATTATGCACATGGTGATATTCTACGCCCTGTTTGGTTGATTCGGACCACCAAATGGTGAGTTTTTTGGCTTTGTGTGCTGCCAGAAAACTATGTATATTCGGTTCCCCACGGGGCGAGGAAGTGAAAAAAATTTATCTAGTAGAGTGTACTGCAGAGAGAGAGAATATATTCCAACTTATTCGCTGCTGGTGGCGACGTTCTCGGACACTTGTTCTTGTAGTTCTCATGCTAGCTGGTAAGATTTTGTTTTTTCTTAAAAAAATTATATTGTCGTATTATTTTTTCTATCTTGTACATTCACTTTAATGTATTATCTTGTACTACTATAAAATAATACAAGGAAAACTCACTAGGAATGATAACATTTATCTTTAAAATTTTCCATCTAAGGCATACTCATTTAAGATTATGACAGTTAATATTTTTGACATATCATTACTTATAGTTTTCGTTGTAATTTTTTTCTCTGTATGTATCATTACTCTAAAATATTATAACAGTCACATTTTCTTTTCTAATTCTTCTTTCTCATAATAATAGTTCATTTGATCGTACTATCAAGGCATCTCATTGTCCCCTTATTTATCATCACATTCCCACAAATCGCAATTCACCTTGGGTTACTTTAGTAAAAGAATTTAAAAAGTCTGTTGTCAATGGAAGGAAATTTGGTGAGTTAGTAACAAAGAAGGGCAAGGTCTGCATTTCAGGGAATGATTTCCCCGTTTAAGGTTAAAAGGGAATGCAACGGGAAGAGTGTGGCCATATTGAATGTGAACGTCTTGTGATTACCAACATTTAACAGCTTTGTTTGTTTTTGGGTGTGGTCCAAAACTTCCCCATTCCATTCCCCCTTGCCCTTATTTCCAATCCAACATGCATTAAAAGTTTACCCCTTTCCCTGAAAAAGTTGATGGCAAAACTGATGAAAGCACTGGAAACATGCACATAGCAGAAGTAAATGTGAGTGAATGATGATGATTACAATGAGATGCAACAAATGTAACCTCAAACCTCCAAACAAGGAGGCGGTGCAATGAAAATTATGACGCAGAATATTGATAGAGATAGTGAATACAATCCGTAATACAGTTTAAAATTGATTCGATAGACATAAAAGTTCAAGCGGATAGTATTTTTTCATATTTTCTCGCATCAGTTACTGAGTCATTTGTATTCTTTTACCAAACAAGATATACTCGAATAGGATCCACGCCAGTCTGTATGGCTCGATTTTGTTATGCCAAGTCCATGGTACTAATACCTCTGTTTCCCAACTTCCCATTCCTAAGCAGTGCTGTCTTGTAGCCCTTTAACTCATGGGCAAAAAAAAAAAATAAAAAAATGGCACACTATTTCAAGCCCCCTTGCCTCAATCTTCTCCCCCTACTCAAAGGTATTAGTGTCCTACAACTACAAGAATCAGCAGCAGCATGGTACTCGTGTAGGATAATGAATGTGTGCCCTCTGCCCTTCTGACTCGGTTTCTTTCAACCTTTTTTTCCTTTAAAATTATTTCATTCACATGGTGACCTGGACACAGATGTTGGCTTTTGCTACTTGTTCTAATACTACAGTAAATACATTACAGTTAGAACTTATAATTTCGCCTTTTTTTTTTTTGGATGATTATAATTTTACTACTATACTACTATTTGTTTGGATAGACATTGGAATAGTTCTAGTTACGAAGAAGATGTCATTCTTCATCTTACTGGACCTTTTTTTTTTTTGTTCTTTTTTAACTAGGACAAAGACATTTTTAGTTGAGAGTGATGATAATAACATCAAAATCAACTTTGAAAAGCTAGTTTGTTAAATTATTATTACTTGCCACCAGAAAATTCAGTGGCAATAAGAGCACGCGGTTTCAGCATTATTTTTTTTTTAAAAAAAAAAACTATTCTCAAATGGTGGTGTCCAGCTTATATTTGTATGTTTGTTTCGTTTTTTTAGTGTGTGTTTTTAGTTATTTTTATGTTGAAAATATAAAAAATGTATTAGAAATATAAAAAGATATGCTGGAATGAAACATTTATAATTAAAATAATCTGAAAAAACCATTAAAAAAAACAAATAACAGAGCCAATTCAATTGCTTCTCATTGATCTTGTGTTATTGACAATTTGTCACTAATTTGATCGAACTAATTAACGAATGCTAATTAGGTTGAGCTCAAGAACTGGACCCATCCTTGTTTAGAGTTTAGACCCTAATTTATAGGTATAAAGGTAATGGGGGATAGATTGGCTGAAATTGGGGCGGTAATAGTGGGTTTAATTACGAAATTTGAGGTGATTTTATTGTCGTAAGCAAAGTTGGTCATGGACGCATGGGGCTCACCCTACCATTTTTATATATAGAGTAATGATAATACATGAAAAATTTACAAGGAAAATTCACAAGAAATGAGTTATCAATCATCTAAATTATGCTCTAACCTTAAATACTTAAACCCCAAATAAAAAGTGTTAAAAATGAATGGTTATGATCAATTCCTTGTCATTTTTTCCCTATACGAATCATTATGCTTTTATACATCAAGTTGTCGGCGGAAGTTGAAATTCTTTCCTCCTCACCCAACCAAAAATCAATCTGCAGAATGGAATTTTTGCCTTTGGATGTGTAGATATATATATATAGATTAGGAGGCTGTGATAATGACCAATTAGGGCAGCTTGTTGGCCTAATTTGATTACACTTGTCCATCCCATTTTCATGGTCAGATTAATTAATTGATTTATGAAACAGTAATACAACGAAATAAACCTTTTCTTTTTCTTCCGAATTTCAAGCAATTTTTTTTTTGCCATCATCAACTTGAGGGTTCTTTTTGTGTATGTTTGCATGGAGCTAACGCTTTACGTAACGTTAGTGTTGTTGTACCAAGTCCATAGCCAATTTCGTCACTTTGAGATTGATGTTTGTTCCATTCAAGTCCCTCGGAATCTCTCAGGTCCACCACATTATAAAAGGGGTTTATCCTCTTGCATCTAAAGTATATTTACAAAATTATAAAAAAAAAAAAAATCGTCACTAATGATTATTAGTCCTATTTTTAATTCCCTTCTCTGATCAGTAATTGAGTTGTAATAAGCAAACTGATCAATGCATGCCAACCATTACGCCACCAGTTTGGTTATCATTGACCCACACATTATCAAAATTTTATTAACGGCAAATATTTTTCTTTTTTCCTTTTTTTTTAAAAAAAAAAAGAGAGAGAGAGAGATACTTGAAGTGTGAGGAAGAAAATATCTATAGAGACAAATACAGAAGTTTATAAATAAGTTTAAGCATAAGATTAGCTAAAAAAATAAGGTTGCAGTAGTGAGCTCCGACTTACTTTATACGGGACATCTTTGAAATTTTTTACTGCTGGAAAAATCTCAATTGAAAGAGTGGCCATTTGATTCGACAGGCAAAGGGCTATGATAACATGGTAGTAGTATAATGCTTGTAGTATGAAGGACACGAACGAAATTCAATTGTCAAGAAAAGAAGAAAGAAAGATGTTGATATGTTTGAACTTGAGCTGAAGTAGTAGTTGCAATGGCAAATCATTGCCAGAGGGTTGATTTGGTTATGCATGTGTGTTTCTGTATTTCCCCTAAATCCTAATCCCCCTGTTATTTTGCACCAACACGTAAAAAATTGTTCAAGGACAGTGTCGACATAGAAAAAGGCTGCTGCTGCTGCTGACTCCTTTGCGAATTTTATTGTGAAAAATCATTAATCAATTTTTTTTTTGGAAATATTAATCAATATTAAAAAAAAAAAAAAAACTTCTACAAGAGCATTCACTGGTTCAAAAAAAATTTTTATTCTTCTTCCAGCTGTAGAAATTAAAGAGGAATTCTTTTTATTTTTTTTAAATCAGGTGATAACATAATTGAACTTATAAGCCCCGAATGCTGAGCGATTCAGCTCCAATTATTGGTTCATATTAGTACAATGTCAAAGTCAGAAACATATTTTGGTCTGCTATATGCAATAAATTCACGATGCACTTTTTCTATGACATACGTACAAATTATAAACAAACACCTTGGATGACTTGTGTTTGTAATATGGTCTACCATGTGTAATTGGGGACCTTGTAATTATATTATATATCAGATCAAAACCTCCCAAAAAACAAAAGGAGAAGGAAGAAGCAGATGGGATGGGACAATAGAACTAAAACCCTAACCGCTTTAACCCTTGTTGCCATTTGGATTGGGAACATAAAAATGTGATGTCCCTCCCCATTAGCTTCAATGATAATCGCATTACACCATGGAAAAATCCTATTCCTACAACTACTATATTATGCAATCATTTTATTTTATTTTATTTTATTTTTTATATATACTAAAGTAGTTACAAAAGTAATTCAGTAGAGGAGAGTTGAGCTAGGACAGTCTAGTGCAATCATCCAAACTTGAACTCCAAAATTATCATCATCTTATTCTACAAGATGAAATCTTATACTGGAATGGGCTTCAATCCCCCTACACCCCAAGGCCAGCCCAAGATAAAACAGTCCATAAGTTGTGCCCGGATAAACCTTTCTTTGTTACATCCATTTTATGGTTGTATACTTAATTATACTTGTAAGCTTTTCTTTTCTGCAATAATAATGCCATGTAACAAAAACAAAAAACAAAAAAAAAAACAAAAAAAACTGGATGATAATTCCATTCACACAGTCAAGTAGTAAGTAGTGAACAACGAATTATGTTCTCGGAAATGAACGAGAATTTGGAACAAAAAAGCTCGCAACTTATAGAATTATAACCACCATTGAATTTTTTTTCCCGGTTGCTGTTGTTACTTTCAAGTGGTGGGGGGGCTCTTCTTTGTTACCTGCAGGGTTATGAGGTCAATGATCCTCCTCATTATGATACCTCCAGTCCAACAATACTTTCTTTTAAAGAGTACCAGTATGATGAGGTCAGAACCATGGCTGAGTTCCGTCAGATTTCTCAGCAATGTCTTGCATTTTACCACAACAACCACCATGAGGATCATGAGGTAAACTTTATATTTAATGTTTTTCGGGGCGTTACGTATGGCAACTATGGTAGCATGTCTTTATGTCTGATTTCCTGTTTTCATATATCTTATCATTTATAAGACTCTGGTGAAGGAATAGGTTTGCTTTTTCAGTTTTTCACTTATGATGTTTTATCTGCAGAGACACAAGGATGTTGAGGTTCGGACCGTGACTTACGACCTTAATGATGTTTAGATTTCTGTATTACGTTACCTTGGCTGCTTCTCGAGTTGGCGATCCCAGAAACACTCAGAAGACCACTTTTCGAGCACGGTTTGTAGTTGGACGTGGTCATTGTAAAGCGCGAGAGGTGACGTCTTGCGAGCGGAAAGATGTGTTTGAGTTGGCCTTGAAAAAGGATGAGGCTTGCGGACTGCGTTGCTGTGACCCAAGAAAACTTCCTTTGTGTAGCAAATATCCACTTCCCCGCAAGGAGCCCTTCTGGTGGGAAATACCCGGGGGAAGGCCCCCTTGCCCGACATATGTCCGTGAAGATTATTGCTCCGGTTGTGGCTGGGGTCGTTGAAGCTTTTTTGCATCTGAAACATGTTGATAGTTTTCCATTAGTAGTATAGGAACATGATGACGGATAATTCTAGCTTGCGGATTGGCATCCTCAATTGTCCATACTCCATAGTCACCGACGGCAGAGGACATCAAGCCAGATTTTTTTTTAATAAAACAAGCATCAACAACGTAGACAAAATAACAACTTAGCAAAAACCATTGCATCAGCCATACCAGTAGATGAAGAAGAAGCACGCGGAATACTTGTTTGTATCTGTGGTTACAAGCAAAATTTCTTTGGGTAAAAATTTTACTTTATTTTTCCTTAACAAAACATATTATAACACTCATACATTGAGACTTGAGAGTTTGAATTTTTCGCAGCTTATCTTACACTATTAACTCTATTAAGGTGAGTTTGATTTTTTGCGCTATCTACAGGTACAACTATACTTGTGAACTCCACTTAGAACACTTCACAGGTACCCTTAAAAAACAAATCTTCCCAAGTGTAGACGAGATCTCATAGGCTCCTACTGGGAATGCACCACTCCTAGATGAGACAGTCGAAAAGTTAAACCTGTATTAGCATTTTCTCCTACCTATTGAATGGAAGGACAAGCCCTTGTCTCAGTCTCCATTACCGAAACATGTCGCAGAAAAAGTAAAACAAAAATCGGATGATAATTCAATCCACACAAACAAGTTGAGACCAACTAATATTTTACTTTTAGGAAATGAATGAATATTAAATCGGAAAGTTTGCAACTTGGCATAACCAGCATTGAACATTCCATCACAAGAAGAATCTATAAAGACAAAGCAGACTCAGCCTGTGATCTAAAATCAAGCATTCAAGCTCAAGTGTAAGGTACAAACTCTGTACAGTAATACTTTTGCAACTTAAAAGCTGTAATTCCCTACCTGTACAACCCAAAAGTTCACAATGTTGCAATTTTATACAATTGGGTACACATGTTTTCATTAGCCTTCGGGGCCGCAATGCCAAAACTCCTCAATCAAAGTTAGCTTCGCTTTGTGAAAAGCAAGAATCGGTGCACTTCTTTGAAAGCCAAGGCATGGCCTCATGTCAGTCTATTTTGTAAGCCCACCCATGCTTGTCCAGAAAAGCTCGTACTGCCTCTTTTATGGCCAAATTCGGAACCAGTTGAGATGGATGAAGATATTCTCGTGTGATTGGATCGAATTTACCTACCTGACGTGTTACAACAATGAGAACACACATTGTGCTTGACACCAAACGATCTTTAAGCTTTTACACGAGAACTGAAAGGTCCATACCTTTTGAAAATGCTCAAGCAGCACAGCCCTCTCATATGTAACTCCACTGGGAGTGATCACTGGATCGCGGAAAATGTCAAGAGTAATCTTGCAACATAGATAATCTGGTATCTGCAACCGTCAATGTCAAAATCACTAACCGAAATTATATATAAGCAAGTATGAAATTCTGAATAAACTGCATTCTGATACCTCTGTTGGAATATCATCTTCTGCAGCTTTTTGGAAAACCCTATCCAAAGCTTCAAGTTGATCAGCATTAGCTTTCATAGTTTCATCTACAAAACCTTCCTTTTCAGAAGAATCCAAAAACTGTTTCTCCTTTAGAGCTGCTTCACAAGTACCTCTGAGAACAGCGAAAATAAGCAAAAATAAACTCAATACTTTCTTCAATCCACCCAATTATTCACAATAATAGGAAGAGCACCTCAGGACCGCTTACTTCAATTTTTGAAGTTCCCATGAACGCTTGGTAGATTCATGCTCCCATTCCAAATATTTTGCTCTTGCAAGCTCCTGCCATATCTCCTCTACCATATAACTTTTTGGATTAGCATCCCTTCCAAGATCTAATGCCTACATCAGTTGAATAAAATTTCAATCAGAACAGAATTAATGCATCTCCTTGAGTGTTTGTCGACTGAACCACCTTTCTACAACGTGTCACACCATCATTACAGAGACATATATACATTTAACTAGGCTGAAAAGGAACTGAGTTTTTCTCCCCCTTCTTTTCCTTATCATGTTCAAGAGTTGCAAAACAATACAACACAAGTCACCACAAACACAGTACTGAAACTGATCTGCCAACAAGTGACCAAGTAACCTGCTTATCAATGTCTTGTTGATTTAAATCATCGTGAAACTTCATGTGTATCTAGACATTCAGTTGTACAATTTTTCAGTATCACCCACACGATTTCATCCTAATAAAAGATGCTTTGCCAATAAAATTCAGACAATTCCTTCTCTTTTTTTGTCATTAAAAATCTATTATGTTGACTACCCTCAAACCAAAAGCCGTATCATGACGACCCCTTCAAACGACCCACCCATACCAAAACCCAGAGGAACGCAAAACTGCCGAAGCAAATGAAACGAAGTTCCAGGCTTGAAAATAGTTCAAAATGTGACTTAAGGAGTCTTGAGGCTAACAAACTTGGGATCAAAGAATGGAAAGCATCATTTATGCTGGACACACAAGAGATTAAAACATACTTTTTCCAATTCTCGAACTCCTTCAGCAAATTCTTCCTTCTGCAGCAAAGCAAGACCAAGCATATAATGGGCCTGTAAAACCAGAAAGCACACCATGTCACACAGTTACTTCAAAGGCAGCTACCAGCTGACAGTTTATAGCCCTACATTAAAAAGAATGGCATGCCTAACATATTAATTTATAAAAAGAAAGTATGCGATGTCACAAATTCGAACAACATCAAACAAAAATATCAATGTAATCAAACATAACAAATCATCTTACTATAGACCAGGAAGTAACAACTTACGGAAAAAGAAGAAAATCACTATTAAAATTTGAGGCTAATACAGATTCATAGATAAACTCTGAGTGAATCAATAATCAAAGACCACCAAGCAATCTTTCCTCACCCATTCACAAAGAAAGGTAATTAGAAGGGTGAGATTCAACTATGCTCTCTTCACATCTTTGTTCCCAAATGGCTTACTAACTCTATATTTCATGGTAAAACAAGATAAATATATGCATTAACTATTTCATCGACTCACTTCCTATTTGTATCTCACTTTCAAGTTAAAAAATCCTCATGCTCCCAATATATTTCTTTTACATTCCCACTAACCCTTAGCTCCCAGTCAGGTTCAGTCTCTATGAACCACATAAAACAAGATCACAAATCGAAAATTAGGATTAAGAAATCAAATTCATTCAACACATTAGCTGATGAAATGAGGAGGCAACCGAAAATGATGAGAAAATCTAAGAACCTTCAGATACTCTACACAGGTCAGTCCTAAACGACTGTATAGCGAGATGGATAACTTGAACATATGTGATAGATTATCTGATTCTTTAAATCTGGACCTTACAAGGAACCGTAAAGCAAGCTCTAAGGGAAAAGAAAAGAAGGATAAAATCAGCAGAAGAACAAAATAAGTGGCTAATCACAAGACTCCGATCATGTCTCTGAAAAAAGCCAACAAATTGACCCAGTCGTTAATTCTAACTCTTGTCTCAACGAGTGTGGTTTCTTTTTTACTATGAAATTACACAAAGAACAAATCTAGAAGTAACTAACTGCAGATGTTAGATCCAAGTATAGATTTCCGAAAGCAACGCCAACGTCAAACCCCATTGTTCAGAATTATAATCCCCGACCACCAAACATTGAGAGTGTTTCGCTCATGGATGTCCCCAATCAAGACACAATGCTTGCCACCAGATTTGACCAAGAAAAATACAGATAGATATAGATTCCCAAGCTCTATCAGCGCCTGGGAAATAAATGCCTTCTATCTATACTTTAAAGTTTAAACATCACAAGTGGAAGGAGTTCAACTTAATCACCAAAACTAAATAACGGTGGTAGCTTGGCAGGTATTTCTGACAGTTGTGTGGAAATTTGACAATAGTTATACAACCAAGGTGTTACTGTGTGCATTCCAAACATGTCAACAATTCAACCCTCCAAGAATATCAAAAGCAATAAAGCCCTGGAGGTCTCAATCTGATCGTGGACGCGAAACCAAACTCAAAGTGCACTAGACACCAAACCCAATCTCAAAAGTTTAATCACAATGGCAAGCATCAGGCATGCTCAATGCCTAAATTTGAGTTAAGAGAAACTATGGCATAACTAATTTATGAAAAACAAACTGTACGCAATACAGAAACAAAAACAAAAAGTTTGCCAAGGGGTTACTACCGACCGATACTAAATGTTGATGCAAAAGTACCTATTCACGAACCTTGACAGAATGATGATCAAGCTGAATAGCCTTTCTACAATCTTCCTCCACTTTTGTCCATTCACTACAATTGAGTGAAAGAGGGGAAAAAACCACATAAATCCATAAATTCAATAGTCCAAGTCTAAATAATTCCCATACCATCAAAAAATTGGAAAATTTAAATTTCACAAAGTCAAATAAATTTAAAATCATAAAGGGCACTGAAAACGTACTTGCGCTTACGATAACACAAGGCACGATTCGTCCAATAAATGGGCACGTTAGGGCACAACGCAATCGCCTAAGAAATCAACAGAGAGAATGAAATAAGGAACAGAAACCCCATGCTGCAAACGATTAAGAAATATCTCAAAATTAGAATTATACAAAAACAAATTAAAAGGCAAAAAAATAAAAACCTCCGTGTAAGCATCAATGGCGGCACCAAAACGACTTTTGCTAAAGGCCATGTTGCCATCAAGCTTGAGCTGCTCCGCTTGTTCCGCCGCCTCCATTGCTGGGGACATTCTTTTCTTTTTTAATCTTTTCAACTCTAACCCTTTGCGATGTCCCCCAAAAATCTTCAGCCCGAGTTTCTTCCCTCTTCCCACTTCAGTATTTCAAAACTCAGACGGTGTGGACAAGTAAGGTGTTTGTGTTTATGCCTATACGGTACAGCAGTATTAATCTTAGAAAGAATTCAAAAATGATGTACGCTGTAGAGAGTGGGTAGGGTAAATTATGGGACCAAAATGAAGGATCTAGAGGAAGACGAAGAAGATCGTAAAAGTGGGATTATGTTAACTACAATTCAGACCCAGAAAAATCACAAAAAAAAACTTGGAAGTTTCGAGAGGTTGGGAATTTTGGCTCCAGGAGGAAGAGGTACAGCCGTAGGGGAAAAACGTAAGAGACTTCAGGGGAAGAAGACTTTAGGCATTCTTTGTTCTTTCTAATTTACTATTCTTATTAATAAATTATAGTACTACTGTATTAATTTAAGATCAATAATTAATTGCTGGGATTATTCATTTATTTGACCTGGTGGGAGGCAGTTACGTCACCTTGCGTGTTCCTTATAATTTTCTTTTCCTTATAATTTTCTTTTTTCCTTTTAATTTTTTTTTCATATTTACAGAGTGTCCACCATCGTTAACAATGTCTAATCTCTCTCACTGAATTGTAAGCACCTCGATGGGTGGGACAGCTCACCAAAGTATTTAAGATTACTCCATATCTATGGTGATATTCGAACCCTCGACCTATGGTTAAAGGTGCAGGATTCTCTTCCACTCCAACACAACCACTTTGGTACATTTTCTTTTTCTATGTCTTGATGTTCCAAATTGTTCATCGATAAAATTTCATTGTTGAGTTATTTTGTGTAATTTTTATTTTTTTTTCCGTTTCTTGATTTACTAAGGCATTCCTCCTTTGTTGAATTGTAAACTTGATTACACCCTTCTTTGTTGTGCGGACTTAAAATGTGCATACATTTTAATAAGGTGAACTTTCACTCAACCTCAACTTGTCATATAGTTCCCGTTTTTTCTTCTTTTGATTTTCACTCAACATTCAGTCGTTTAGTGAAATCGTTAATTATTGTTTGGAATAACTGTGCAATTTATTCGAAAAAGTTATTGGGTGAGTTGAAGAGACCAGGGATAGGTATCTTTGCGAAGATAACTTCAACTTGACCACTGAAATTGGAGAAAGCAAGGAATTACATTGCAGTTTCCTTTGCGTTAGGCCTGGAGAAACTAGTTGACCTTTCTCCCTAATCCCAATCCATTTCTTTTTCTTTGTAAAATGTCCAATATTAGTCATATTACGTGCATGTTCGGAACACAGCATAGGTTCCCAAGACTATAATGTCTAACGCATTTGTCGAAGGCAATTTCGTGAGAGTCAGAATATAACATTCTATTTAAAAATAAATAAATTTGAACTAACGTAGGAAGTTACACTTATTAAGGGTCAAGGCCTCAAGGGAACACTCAGACTTCTCAAAAGTCAAACAGCGTTGATCCGTCATAGCCCAACATAAGGAATTTTTTTTCTCCCTCAACCTCAAAATTATTGTCTAATTTATATTCTCACTTTTAGTTCTATTTGCATTACATATAAAAATATAAACTGAACAATAATTTTCGAACAAAGGAATACTATCCCCCCCCCCCCCCCCCCGAACTAAATGCGGCTAATCGTTACGCAAACACGCAGACAAAGAAACAGTCCCGTGGTATACGAACAAAAACCTCTAAAAATTAGAGATCAGTAGACGCTAAAAACATACAATTGATATCAACTTACAGTAATGTATGCCTCCTACTACTTGACATAACTTCACAAACTTTAGAATGTAACCAATCGACCAAAACTTTAAAAACAATTTTCAATGACCCTATTAGGTTCCAATGACACTGGTTCCTTGACTCTTCATATCCTCAAAATTGTCCAATGACTGTAACCGTTCTCTAATGCTATGTGCAAGTCGCGCTGCTTCCTGATCCAACTTCAATTTCCGCCTCCGCAAACTCTATGGATGATCATAACCAATCAATTTCCGAACACCATGTAAGAACAGAAAGCCAAAGGGAAGACAATATACCTCAGAAGCCCATAAGCAATCGCTTGCCTTGCGAGGGATTATATGGATGTGAGTCTGCATTTGCAAAAAGTACATTGTTAACAATGGTCCCAAAACATCATTTTCCTCGAGCATAATGAAAAATCTTGAGAAAAGAAGAAGCATTCACTAGTTCATTAAATATTTGGTTTCATAAAGTTCTACCACCCTTACATGGAATATAACTTGGCCAGCAGCAGCACCATTGTTCACCAACAAATTGAATGAATCTACAGGAAATAAATCAACTATCAATAACACTCGAAGCACCACTAGATGCACCCTCAGCAAATCGCAAGTTTTGCAACGAAACTCAAAAAGACAATAAAGACGAACATGATTGCCAAGTAAATAATAGATTAATCAACTCCCAATTGTAAATTTCCAAATAAGACTGTCAAGTCCTGGAATCATGAATCACATTCTAAAATACTACTTGGATTCTTACCGCTCTTAGCTGGTTAGTGATATCAAGCACTTTCTAAGGAAATAAAACTCAAGAAAACAAGGAACGAATGAAACAGGATGATTATGACAAAACTTCATGAATTATGGCCAACAAATAATGAGCTTATCCTTACCACATCCGGTAGCTTTCTTCACAGCTTTGCTAATTAAAGGTACTTTAGAACACATAGCAGCAACAACCTGAATGATATATTCGTTCAATTAGAATTACAGTAGCTTGATGTAATCAGCAGAGAAACAATTTAAAATTGATCTTACACACTTAGTGAAAACACTATATACCAGGGTAACTTACAGCTGGAGGAGTTGCCTCCAATGAAGAAAAATGTTGTTTTGGGATGACGAGACAGTGCCTGAAAAAGAAAATGAAAAGATGGTTAAATAGAAAGAGGACAAAATGGTGTCAACAATCTTATTAAAAAAAAAAAACAATATATGCTCAGGACAGGGGCATTGTAAATCTATGAAATGCAAGAATAAGCATATCAACAAGGCTATGGTATCAAAACTTTGATCTAGCCAATGCCATACATCATCTTCATTATGCTTCAAAAAGCACTGCTGCAATGAAACACTGAAATTGCGCACACAAAGTTTACAAAAGGAACAGTAGCATGAATCAAATGCAGGTTGTAAGAAACCAAGATTGAAGAAGTAAAGAAACATGTTTTGGATTGATTATTTCAGGTGTCAACACTAAATATTTTATAACTTTACAGAGAAAATGGGAAAAAAAAAAAAAGAAGTCAACAAACATTACAAGTGCATCGTTGCATTGGACTTGAATATTCACAAACATTTGGTCCATTTTCAATGGTTAAGCAGAAAGATGGATGATCACAAGAACTATATAACCCAAAGTTTGTTGTTAATCTATAGCCAAAACTTTTTGCTGGGAGAAAATCTCATCAAAATACCTAAACCATGATGACTCTTGAATGCTCTCGCAAAAATAAACTAGCTTACCCATGGTACCTTCCTTACCCCTGACTCAGAGGATTTACATCCAAAATGCATAAGCATACATCATCTTCGTATATCTGCAGATAAATCAAAGTCCCGAGGACAAGACGACATCAGGACTAGAAAAACAGCCATGATTTATCGAACACTGTAAAATGGAACTTTCCTCAAATGATCGAAGATATAATTAAGATAAATCTGGACACTAACAAACTATATGAAACTGTTAATATTTGATCACTTTCGAAAATAAGAAACAGCAGAGCTGAGGGCATTGCGGAATTAATATAGAATTCAAACTGACATGGAATTAGGCTGAGTTTAAAGCAGGTAGTAACTGTGTGAAGAGATAGGTCCTCAAGATCAATGGCTTATCTTTAGTCTGAAATCAGAAAAGCGGTCGCTAAAAGGAAAACCAAAGGTGATCCAGATTCTTCAATTTTACCAACAAGCATATTCTAGAGACATTGAATATAAAAATGTCAGAACAACTTTACCAACAATCCTCAACCTAGAGGTTCACACTCGGACATTACCAATACATGTGAAATGGCAACTAGAAAACAAAGGAACCACGACAAGAAGTACCAAAAACAAAAAAGGAAAACAGAAGTTAACAAATAGAGACAGTTTAACTGGCATTGAAATGCTCTGGACGCGGAAACTAGGCCAAATAGATAAAGAATTACATAACGCCATTAAGAAATTGAACAACAATAAATTCAATAAACAGAAGCAATCCATTGAAATAGTAGCAGCAATCGACCTCTCTTAATTAAAAGCAAGCAATTACCTTCAAAGCAGGGGATTGGCCACGAATGATCTTGCAAAAAACACAATCATCTTCTTGGATTTCTTGAGGCTCAGAAGAAGCACAAGCTGAAGCAAAAACGGATTGAGCTGGCACGGATTCCGCAACTGGATTGCTGCGAATATGGGATGAAAGAACCGCAAGACGCCGCAGCGCACTGGCCTCCATTAACAGTTTTTTTATTAAAAAAAAAAAAAAAGAAAGAAAGAAATCGTTGATTTCCTAACTGTGCAAAGGAATTTTAAGGAAGAACCCTAGAAGAAGAGAGAGAAGCAGGGGGGGTGAGTGAATTTGAGGTTGGTAAATTAAGAGCTTATTAAACTGGGAAATCTGGAGTAGTGAGTGAGATCAGAGAGATTGAGATTGGAGGAAGTGGTTGGTTGTGGTTTATCCAAAACAAATACAGATGGTTTTTTTGTGTGGTTAATTAGGAGATGATGATTTTGTACACCAAATCCGACCCCCTCGATACTGTCGAACTCTTTTCTCCAGCTCCATCCGATTTGAATACATTGGCCCGTCGTTTTCCCACTTGTATTTCACTATTTTGGGATTCGGGATAGGGAGGCACTCTGCGTGGCATCCGTGGGACATATAAAATGTATTTTTTTCAGCTCCATATTTTTTTTTCACTTTTTTCTCTCTATCTGAAAAAAAATAATGGCCATTTCAATTCAATGAACAAAAAGATTTACCCAAAGAACGATAGGTTATAATCTACATAGCTAACAGGGGCGGTCCAAGTGGTAAAGGATTAGGCATCCAATCTGAAAATCTTGGGTTCGAAACCTTACGGCAGCAAAAGTGCTGTCTTTCTTTGCAAAGTACCTGATAGACGTTTCTCTTCGCAGGTTACAGTTGAAAGGTCTTCGAGTACTTGATAAACGCACAAAATTGCAGGCATTGAGTCATCCTCTACTAGACTAGCCTAGTAATAGATCTCCTCCCTCAGACTCACACATGTAATAACCTAGGTGTTTGTAAGAATTGTATAAAAAAATATATAATCTCCCACAAAAGCTTGAAATATTTTTACAACGAGCTGCCAGTTGTTTTGTTTAACCAATTAAGTACACTGAGAGTAATGTCACTGTTAACTTGTTTGCAGTGAGATGGAAATTCCAAAATAAGAATATTTCCAATTGCACTGTTGAATTCAAAATTAAAATTCACCATTCAGATTTCAGATTCAGACGATGATATCATGTCTTCGTGGAGAATGAAATCAAAAATTGAGGCGATGGACCAATGTCGTACTGAAAAATTGGGGATTTTTGTGAGGACACATTTCCCAAAAGGGACACACATAAGGTCGGCTAGAACTGCAACTACCTTGGGCCAGCCCAACAACAATAGCCTACCCATATGATGTTCCGTTAGGGCACGTGTCCCTGCCTGCTTTTTCTTTATTGTATTTTTTCTCTTCCCGTCAGTATTACTTACCACCACGTGGCCTCACCGGTTCAACCTAACTGTTTTGTCCTTCAGCTCTTGTTGCATTTACTTTCGAGTAATTCTCCATATCTAACACCACAAATTATCTTTAACTAACTAACTAAAAATTTGATCAAGTTAATTATTGAAGCCAGTGTAACAAACGATAAGCCAATTTCATGTGACTCGATACACAGCGCCATCGCTTTTGTTTTTACTTCGAATAATTTCAATACAATTTTTATCCTAAGGTGTATTTTTCACTATCAATCTTTTTTTAATTTTGTAAGTGGAAAACACAAGTGCAATAATACGACTAGATGTTATTGTGTCAAGATATAGTATTCGTCTCCTAACAAACAGTACTCCAAAAAAACATCATTGGTGGGTAAGAAGAAATACTTCTTGATTAAGGATGTAGTCTTTGAGTTAGCGCAAAATCCAACATGCACTCAAAGAGGCTCCCAAATGTCAATTCAATTGTTTTTTTTTTCTTTCATATTGCAAGGTGTTCAATAGTGACTAATCCCTTCGCTCATAGTAAATACCTCGATAGATGAGAGAGCTGGCCAAAAAATTTAAAGTTACTTCATACCTATAGCGAGGTTTGAACCATCGACCTATGGTTAAGGATGAAGGAGTATTTATCCCTCTACCACAACCCCTTTAATTAATTCAATTCAATTGTTTTTAACGAGTCAAAGCGATTGATTAAATACGATAATGAGATGATATTGACCGTCAAAATATCTAAACCACTTACACATTTCGAGCAACAACTTGTGACGTGTTAATTATTTACATAAGTTGATCATTTCATTCATTATTTAATGATACTACCCAAAATCGAAATGCTTATTAGTTGTGAGTTGTGAATTGTATTCTTTCTGTATAAAAATAATTGTGCGACTTGAATTTTTAATTTAGTAAAAATAACATAAGAATAAAATTTCAAACAAAATGATTATTTTGAAAAAAAAAAATATATTAGCACAAACTTTCTTTTGAACTCATTGTTTTTAGTTTACTCTTACGTAGATTTTACAATAACCAATTAGATGCTATAAGTATAAGACAAAATAATTTTTATTTATTTTTTTGTAAAGGGATAATATAATGATTTAATTGTACAGTTGTATATATATATTGGTAAGATTCAATCAATGTTATGCATTTCCTTTAAGGTTGAACGCAAATAATACTCGTTATCCTAAACCAAACGCAATGTAGATTATTTTTTTGAAACAGATATAGGTATAATTTATAAAATTATATAGAGGACAAAATTAAAACATGCACCGGTGCTGTTACCCACTCCCGCTACTTGTTCCGTTGTTCGGTTGTTCGGTTGTTCGGTTGTTCGCCGCCGGACCACCTCAACTAATATGCTCAGTCCTCTTTCTTGTACTTGATTTCTATTTGAGTTTAATTTGTAGTACTGCTGTTTATTCTTAACGACACAGACTTAATCGGACTTTTGACGGTGTCTTTCTCATGCGTAATTTATTGATACTTGGTCGATTCATGAAGAAGGAAATTAAAAGGGGAAAAAAAACATTCGCGGACACAATTCAAAGTAGATAGTGCTTAAAGAGTCGAGGGAATCATAGTACGTACGACAGTGTGTGAGAAGGTAACATCAATTATTCCAATTCTTTGTTTTTGTTATATATACTTAGTCAATTTATAATCTATCGTTGTTTTAGGCCTGTAATCACTAGCTCTAATATGTTATTTTTGTGTATATATTAGCACGAACTGAATTTATTCCTGTCATGACTTTGTCGAAAATAATTGAATTTGTAAGATTGTTATGGCAATGTGTAAAAATGATGGGGAAAACAAATACATATACAAAAAAGTAGCTGAAAAAGTAATAAACCGTATATATGCATCATCTTGAAATAAGTTAGTGGCGGTTTGACGGAGTCACGAAATCAATGTAAAGGGTATGAAATTTAGGAAAAAATAATTAATGGCCATAAAATTAACGAAGGGCGTACAATAAATAGTTTCTATTAAATATTTATTAGAATTTCACTACTAATTACAACAAAATATTGAGGAGGGGGAGGAGGAGGATTCTGATGTTGTCAAAAGCGAAGGATGAATTTTATGTTTGTTATTATTAGTTTTTGACATAGACAAAAAGGGCTTTTTTCCTCACGTACCACACATTCCACTGAAATGGTAATGAACTTTTCCACACCAACATAAACGCACAACTTGCATAAACATTTATTAAAAAGTTGACCTCAAAGCTTCAGATCAGAAAATTCCCATTTCACAAACTCTAACGCAAGAGCTGAGGTTGATTGAAACATGGAGTACCAAATATTTATACTATTTTTTTATTTTTTTTAAAAATACATTTAATAGGGACAAGATTTGCCAGTTCAAAATTTACAGCAAGGCGAACCATAAAGTTTAAAAAATTTGCAAATCATTTTTGACCAAACTCGTATGGATTGGTGTTTTTTTTCCACATACCCTGAATTGGGCACATGAATATTTAATGAAATAGGGGGGGTTTAGTTTCACATAAAAATAACATTATGTGGTCTGCAATACTCTCAGTAGTATATTCTTCTCTATGTCGAATCTAACCCTAGCTACCAATATTTTAAAAGATTTTTATCATGGCCTTCTAGAAGTCGAGCTCCGAGGCCTTTTCATATTCAGCATGGAGTATTTGTTAATTTGTGCGGTCCTGCAACGTATTCAAGAACTAACAATTTCAGATGCCTCCATTTAAGAATCCAACAATGTAAGCCATGTTGGGAAAGAGAGGTTGGAGACTTGGAGTGACAAAACTGAAATTTTAAGTATTAGTATAAAAATAAATAAATGCTTTTTATTAATTAACGTTTAAAGCAAGAGGCAATTACTATAAGTGGGGTGGGGGAAATCATAAGTACAAAAAGAGATTGTGGCTTTAACCAGGAATTAATTATCATGTTTTTTTCTGGTTTTCTTTTTTTGGGCTGATTCTGTAGTGTCTTTGGCGACGAAAGTCGTGTGAACTGTGAAGTGAATACCTCAGCGCAAAAATTGAGCCAAAGTTTCAACATAATATTAGTAGAGTCATATTATTTACACCTTAAACTTTTGAAATCTTTATATGCATTTTTTTTTTAAAAAAAAAGAAGAGAAATCGTAACACTATAACAACAGCAAACTCATTTATGTGCATCATATGTCGTATTATAGTGCTCAATAAATCGTGAATTCGAAATTATAAAAATTACTCCCTCTGTCCCATAATTATTGTCCAGTTTTACTAAAATGAAAGATTTTATTTTTGGTCAAACTTAACTATATTTTACCTTAAACAACCAGATATACCCCTACATAAGTAATTGTTTAACCATTAAGATTTTATGAATAATGTTTTTTACTAAGGACAAATGTGTAACTTGATTCATAAAAAGTCAAATTGGATAATAATTTTGGGACAAAATGTTTTGGGCAAAGTGGACAATAATTATGGGACGGAGGGAGTATTTCAGATTATTGTAATGTGATTCAGATTTCAGATGCAATAAAACCCATAATGCAAATTAGGGTGGTAATAGTTCAATTAGAACGATTTTGTTGGTGATTCGGTGCATTGTTACAGCACGAAAATCAAACAGATCAGTACAGAATCTGCACAGATCAACACGAATGATGGCTTTGGGAGGAAGTTCGGGAGGATTTTTGACTGCGCCGTTAGCTGACACACAGTCACACACTAATACAGCCATTTCCTGGTCGTATTTTGTTGAACTCCATACCATTTTTTTTTTAATTCATAAATCCGTTTAATAATTTAAACAAAATGGTAAAGTTGACGCAAGCATCTACTTCATCCTCTCCTTTTAGTTTAATAATGTCAATTGAAATTTATGAAATCTCCCAGAAGTAGTCAACAATTCTTCCTGAGCAAGGCAAATCAAAAACACCCCAAAAATTAAAGAAATCCACAAAAAGCTACATTCATCTCTTTCCTTCTCACCTCCCCCTTCTTCTAGTAGTCCTATAAATTTAAAAGTTTCCCCATATCCCACACTCATTACTACTACAGCAGAGACTAATAACACCAGGTTCAGGGTCCCCCACCCCCCCACCGCACAACTCAACCCTCTAATCTAACTTTTTTCAGTTTCTATTGATTCTCCTTCCAGCTTAAATCTGTTGTTGCCCAGCAACTTGTTTCACATCATCCTCAAATCTTCTTCAAGTTTTTTTTTTTGCAGAGAAGCTTTAAAACACAGGAGTTCATTCTTAATTGGTTTTGCAGGTCGATCATTGTAATATTTAAGAAATGAACGACCTGGAATATCAGAACATAGAGAGTCATCATCAAGTAGTGCCGTTTTTGGAGTTGAAGAATCTGAAAGTGATTTCTGCACTCGGTCGGGGAGCCAAGGGAGTGGTGTTCTTGGTTCGATCGGATACAGATGATGATGAATGTTTTGCGCTGAAGACGGTTTTGAAAAAATCTATTGAGAAAAGTAGTGGAAGGAAGAAGACCAAGAAGAGCCCAGATCGCGAGACTTATGCTAATAATAATGGGAGGCAGAATAGATTGAGCTTTGAGGAAGATGTTTTGGCATCGCTTAATCATCCCCTGTTTCCCAAACTCAGGGGACTTGTGGAAACCGATCAGATCATCGGTTACGCCATTGATTACTGTCCCGGCCGTGATCTCAATACTCTCAGAAAGAAGCAAACTGAGAAGATGTTCTCCGATGACATTATCAGGTATTTTAATTTTTTGAACTGGATTCTCTGTAATCTCTCCTCCTGTTCCAATTATTTAATTTTTTTTAGTTTATTAACTTATAACATGCGGATGATATTAATTAATTTTCATTTCGATTGATAGGTTTTACGCTGCAGAAATTGTAATGGCCCTGGAATATTTACACGGAATGGGAATTGTATACAGAGATTTGAAGCCAGAGAATGTGATGATCCAAGAGAATGGGCATTTGATGTTCGTCGATTTTGATCTCTCTACAAAACTCTCAATCAGAAGTCCCGATATTCGCCGGTCGGCCGAGTCATCGCCGGAATCCCCGAATGTAAATAATGGGAGGACGAATAAGAATAACAAGAAGAATAAATTCTCTCCCCTATCATTTATTTGCAAATCCGGCATAATTACCGAGGCGGACTCCGTACACCCGGTTGAATTCAACTCCGACACGTCAAGTCACCAGGACTGGGACTCCGTAGAGAAATCAAACTCATTCGTGGGTACCGAGGAATACCTGGCGCCGGAAGTCATCTCCGGGAACGGCCACGATTTCGCCGTGGACTGGTGGTGCTTGGGGGTGATGTTATACGAGATGCTCTACGGGACGACGCCGTTCAGGGGGATAGATAGGAAGGAAACGTATTACCGGGTTCTGGTCAAGACGCCGGAGTTGGTCGGCGAGCCAACGCCGTTGAGGGATTTGATTCGGAAATTACTGGAAAAGGACCCCAAAAAGAGGATATCAGTGGAGGAAATCAAACGGCACGAGTTCTTCAAAAATGTCGACTGGGACCATCTGTTGGAAATTTCGCGGCCCCCGTTTATTCCTCCTGTCGAGGACTTGCCGGGAATTAAACAAATTGATGTGGAGTCCTTCGTCCATGAAATATTTCAAGGTGATGAACATCATCATGATGACGTCAAGATGAAGGATAAATTGGATTCGGAAGCTAATAATAACAACAACAACAAAGGAGTGTGGGTTGAAGGATTTTGATCAATTTCCACACCAACAAATGAGATTTTTTTTAATTTTTTTTTTTGGCTTTTTAGGTTAATTTTTGTAGCGAATAATTATTTTATTCTTTGGGGGATGATATTGTAGAGTTCAAGAGTGTATATAGTGAAAATTAATTTATGACCCTCCATTTTACACAAAATATATAATAGTCTACTTATAACAATGAATAAGGTGATTTTGATTTGTTTATCTTGATGTTCTGATTGTAAATTCTAGTTTATGATTTTGAAATTTGTTTTACCATTTGTCACGTTACTACTACAATAGTATAACAGATTTTTTAATAAAGTGAATACGAATCTGAAAACTTTGAAAAAGGGAGAATACACTGTATTCCATTGAAGATTACGGTTCATCAGACAATGAGCTGTTTGCACATTAAATTATTCGGTGGAAGTGGCACCATCAATTCGCTTGCAACAAGTCAGTCAAAATTGAATTGGAGATTGTGCTTTTTCACCTTTCATAACTCTCACCGTTTTGGCAACAGTGGCAAACACAAGAAAACAAACTTTGGCATTTTTCTAGAGTATGGTTTCAGTCGTATCTCAAGATTCTCAACTAAGATGACAAAATGGTTGGAACTGTTGCTGGCAATGGCATCATATTGCATTGGATTTTACTAACTTGGTTCAGCTAACATAATGCTATCCAGAAAAATGAGGAAGTAGAAGTCAAATTAACCATGCGCAACACCTTCATTTCAATATTGGTTAATTTGTTGCATTCCTCCCAAGTCCCAATATTTGAATTGCGCTAGTGAAACCTATAGCATAAATAAAATAATAATTATTTAACAGAGGATAAACATTGAGACGCAAAACTCGATTTTATCTTTTCGAAATTTCTTTACATATAATTGATTTTTAAGTTCGATACTCAAAAATTGTGCCGTTAAATGATAGGAGGGGTTTATGTATTTGTATCACTACTCCTGTTTCAAATGTTTGGATATGTCTTGTCAATTGTTGGTTTCAAACAGATCTCCAATTTAGCTAAAAGGTGCCAGAACACTAAAACTGGCATCAGCAATTTTAGAGTTATTTTACACAACTCTTAACGGCCTAATAAATTAGAGCATATCATGGGCAGAACAACACCATCCACCCTCCTCCCATCATGAAGATTATCATATCTGTTTTTTCAGCTTAATAACCTCCGCCACCCTCGAATTCATTTTCATAGTTTAATAAATATTACTACTAATTTGATGCGTTTTATTCTGTTGAATGAGATAGTATTATTATGTTGCCTGGGCAGAATGAGAAGATAGGGTTTAATTTGTATCATTTCATATTGGTGCAATTACATCATCGTAAAACGTCTCTATACGCAATAGCCCCAATATGGGTCACGTACCCCATATGATTTAAGAAAAGAAAACAACTAATACTAGACCAATTGGAAGGCCAATAAGACTACACATCACAACGTTGAAAATGAAATCTAATATATGTATCCCAGTTTGTTAGTTGCATTCCCACAACGTTAAAAGTCAGCATTGGAAAGTCGAGGAATAATGCATCAACCGTGTGATTACGTAGTTACGAACACTCGAGAGAAGTGCAGGAAATTTCTTGTCAATTTGTATAACTTTAGCATTTACGCTTGTGAATTGGGATCACAAAAACTCGTTCCACTTCAACTTTCATAATGGGAGTTCACTATTCATGATGAAATCCTTACTCGTTAGTGGCAATCAAATTCAAGGATGACTACATATCACTTTGTGACCTAAGGCTTAGGCATAGGATCACAATTCCTAGCAAAAAATTTCTACTCACTCGTGCATTAGTTCCTTTAGTTGTGTTTTACCAATAACGTACCTTATGTTGTTCCCTGTCTCGTTTGTCCATTATTCAAAATATACTCCCTCTGTTCTAATTTACGTAACGTTTTTAGCAAAATATAGAAACACCAAAATTAATATAATTTTATGATGTTAATATACTTTTGTTTAAAACGTTCAAAATTACCCTAACAAAAATTACTAGTATTATTGACTACCATTTGATTTAATGAGATTAGTTAAAAATATTCTAGTAATTCCTCGATCATATTAACTGAACTCTGTGCAAACACTTATTTTGGAATAGGAGTATGATTCTTGCTCATAGGTTCATACATTCGATAGTCTGTTCCTGAATTTTTTTTTTCTCTGTGCAAGCACTTATTTTGGAATAGGAGTATGATTCTTGTTCATAGGTTCATACATTCGATAGTCTGTTCCTGAATTTTTTTTTTCTTCTTTTTTTATTTTTTCTAGTAGTATCGCTTTGAAACCCGCACTAGCGTACTTAAGGAACAGCACAGATACAATATTTCTATACCCATACCAGGATTCAAAGCTCCTAACATTTAGAAAGCCGCATAAATCGAAACCAGACAGTTGAAGTCTTTGGAGACAGGGACCTCAGTGAATTTGAGTCGCCAGTTAAACCTTCTAGTATATGGAGGACTTCACGCACCAGGAAGTTATATGTTCAGTGAAATTCAAACTAACAAAACACCAGTTCCCTTTCGGAACACAAAAAGCAATCGAAAGTGACACTGATGGAACAGATGTTATTTTATTGAAACTGATTGTTTCGCTTGTAATAATTTTATTGGCAAACTAATAAGTTACACCAGAACTTTGCCAAGCAAGAGAATCCGAGAAGCAGCTTTCACCACTTCCCATCACCCCAGTCGTAGCATGGATGAGAAAGTCGAAAAAAAATCAAGGGGAAGAGAAAATTATGCATAGAAAAATAAGCTAAATATTGAAAGCAAGGTTCTCGAAAGATACGCAATGATGATGAAAAGTTTTAAGTGGTTTCGTACAATAGTGTTCACCTAAGCAGAAAAATAGACCAAACAAAATTCCCACAGAAGTTTTCCACTCAAGCTTCTGAATAGCAAAAGCAAATATCCTACCACACCTCAACATAGACCTATCAAGTGCCTTACTCATCTTCCTGGCTACGCAACCTGGCCAACTTGTTGGTTACAACAACGTCCAATTGTGCAGCACGCTCAACAATGTCCTTGCGCTTCTTAGTTGATACATTGTGTGCTATTTCAGCACAGTATGTCCTGAAATTTAATAGCGGTAGCATCAAGTAAATAAAACTCATCACATCAAGAAAAAAAAGATCACAAGGACATGGACATTGTATCAACACAATACAATTTTGCTATTAACCAGACGACAAAATGCAAAACTGAAAAAGTCAAAAGAACTAAACGAACCTGTTGTGCATCATAAGGAGTTCCAGGTCTTGGACATTGTGCACAACGAACTTCTTAAATCCGTTGGGCAGATAGTGTCGGGTTTTCTTGTCTGAACCATAACCAATATTGGGCATCAGCATGCATCCTTTGAACTTTCTCCTAACACGGGAGTCAATACCCTTCGGCCTACGCCAGCTTTCCTGGGCAAGAGTTCAAATCAAACATATGAGGAAAAACATGTAAGTGAACGCATAGCAGAGGCACAATATTGCACCAAAAATAAGAAACAAAGACAGCACAAGTCAGTAGTGTTTGGCTTTAAACAGATCAGTTTTGGGAGGTCAATCAATCTAGTAAGGCATAAACCATAAAATCTTGAGGATGCAGGATGGTACAATGATCAAGTTGTAATATATATAGCACTAAATATTTAATATCCTACAGCCATCTAAGATTTGGAAAAATAGTAAGCATGCTACAAAAGTAAAACTCAAAAATGATGAAACAATAAAGATGAAAGTTAAAACTAACAACTGTAACAACTGTAGAAGAACCATTACAATTTACCAGGGAAAGGCATTTAAAATAAAATAAAATAAAAGAGTATAAAGAATCTATCTTAGAGATCTTCTACAACAGCAACCCTAAACTTGGATCATCCTAACACAAGACTTACATTTTCCTCTAGTAACAAAAAATTACACAAGGATATAAATACGATAGATAAAACAAAAAAAGCTGTAAGCACCAATCAGTGATGGTTCCTTGAACGAACTAGTTAAAGAGCTGCAAAGTACCTTCACTGAAATCTTCCTGTCACTTTGGGGCCTCTTGAACTTCTTGACACGCTTCTTCACAATCTTCTTGGTAAGTAGAGGAACAGCCATTGTTACTGCAAATCATTAGGCAAATGCAGACAATACATATGTCAGAGGACAAAGTAAATGAGATTCCAATTCATGCATGCTGAAGCTGAAGCACATGATTATTTCGAAGTAGCCAGGGAATTCCCCAGTCTCCAAATTAGCTAATACTAACTTCTACAACATTATCGAAATTCCCAATTAAGACAACAACATTATTTACGGGTAGAAGCATGGCAAGGCAGCCTAAGGCTAGCAGAAGCAAGTAATAAATTTGAAGTCACAACAAATTTTCCCAGCAGCCAAATTAGCTAAATTAAACATTTGACATTTCCAAATTCAAATAAGCAACATTACAGTATACAAATTATGCATAACTTCAAAATTCCTAACCAAAACAAGCAACATTATACAAGGGTAAAAGCGGATAGAACAAGAACTTCGAAAATGAACTCCACGGACAAGAAAACTTGCTTAGAATCATAACCATAAAAAAAAAAGAAGCTCTACAGCATACCGCTCTAACAGGCACAACGGAGACGACAAATTTTCAGACAATTTGTAACCAACAATAGATAAAGTCTTTCAAGCAAATTCACGAAAATGGAATTACCCAATTCAGTAATCAAAAGGTCTGCACAAAACAAAGTCGATAACGCAGATCAAAGAGGATCTTTACCTGTTTACGAGCGCCGCAGCTTTAGCCACTCCGGAGATGAGACAGTGTGAGGGAGAAGCGAAATGTCGATTAGGGTTTTTAAAACCTTTTATATGTAGAAGCCTGGATTATATGTTTGCCGGACTAGGTTAGAACAATGAGTACGAGGCGCAAAACCAATAAATTTATGGGAGAATTACATCAATACTCCCCTGAGTTTGTAAATATTATCAATTGAACTTTTAACATTTGAGGTATACCCACGTCATTTAAAAACATGTAACATATTGATTCATCTGAGATTCAATAAATAAAAAATTTAAAAATATCATCTGATTTTTTATCGCTCCTGGTGGCTAGTTTTGTGATATGTTGTGGTTTTGTTAATCATCATCAATGGTTGCTTATCTTTTGTTTTAAAAATACTTTTTTTTTCCCGGCTTGGGTCCATTTTGGTAAAATAAATTACAAACACCATGAAAAAAAACTCAAGTAGTTAGATTGTTAGGCAAACATCACCCAAATGCCCCTGAACAAAACAAATTATAACACAAAGCTTAACTATTATGACGACGATAACTTATCAAGAAAAGATTGGTGTAATACACATCATTTTAGCCCAAGAGTTGTTCTTCTGAGTGTATAGTTAGTGCATGACCACATAATTATGATTCCTTAGATAATTAAGTATGTTTAATGGCAGTGAAAAGTGCAAACATGCAGCTTAAGCATGTTTACATGCGGATTAAACAAACTTGTCCCTCTTCAATGCGGTAGGTGGATGGTGGATCGAGCCCTATAATCATACCCCTATTGGGTTATATTTCAATGGGCCTTTTAGCCGGGGTCATCATTCGGGGGCCGCACCGAACATTTGGAATTTCTTTTTTTTTATTATTATTATTTTGATAATAGAAACTCAATTCATATAATACTTTCAAGAGCATTTGAGAAGAGAAAAATGAGTTGTGCGAGAACGTTGTCAGAAGAACTACCAATGTATTTTTTCTTAATGAGAAATTTTGTTAAGAGATGAACATCGGAATTCCGAAGTGCAATTATTGTAACATTAGTTGTATATTGCAAATTGCAATCCTTCAGAGTGTGGCGTAGTCCGACCGATGGGAAAAAATGCTTCTCCTAAGTCCTACCTAACACATTCACAAACTCATTCAACTGTCATAACTTCATGCCTGCCTGGTCTTCACTGGTCCCTCATTATTGTTCTACTTTGAAATGGTTATGTGAATGGGAGAGAATCCGATTCTGATTACCAAAATTTTCATTACTCCCTGCTAGAAGTCGGACTACTTTAAAATTAAATCGTACTTTCATTAGTCCCATCCCACCACATACGATACGTACATAGGACTTGAAGGAGTTATTTCGCTAATGTTTTTTTACTCAAACTCAAATCTCATCTAACCTCCTCCTCCAGCACATCCTACTATATTAGAAACAAAAACCTCCCTTTCAAACACCTCATATGATTGCCACGTGGCATGTAGAAAATACTAAATTGCCCTTTTGTCTAACCATAACTAAATTACTAAATCTCCCTTTGCACTTTACGTGACACGTTTTTTTTTAATTTTTTCTTTATGTTTCATTCAACTAGAGTGGTTTTTTAAATTGAATTGATCAATTAGATTTTTTGTTACAAAGTGTCAATTTTGTTTTAAGCGTATACCCTTCGGATGAAACTTATTACAAAGCTATTAAAAATCTCCAAAACTAAGTATTGATTTGGCAAGACCAATGGAGAACATCAATAAATCATCTTACTAATATTTAAATTTATTAGGATACTTTTATATTTTATCTAACATTTACTTCAACATATATATTCGATTAAGCTATTTATATTTAATAAGTAACACTTATAAAACATTTCTAAAACATACATGGCGAAATACAATTTTTTTTTTTTTGCGAAATACAAATATTTCTATGATCAAACTTATAAAATATTTCTAAAATATATCGCTCCAAATACAAAATTTTATTTTTTTCAAATATAAACATTTCTAAGATCTACAGATAGACTGGGCCATGCGCGACCAGACATCACTAGTATGTTAATAAGTCAACAATCCGGACTTAGGATTATGTAACTTGAATCGAAATGATTACAGACATCCGAAATCATCGCAGACTAGTAGTAGTATCTCAGTTGACCAACCATCAAACGTCTAAAAATATGGGACCTCATTCGGAGATTAGTTCACATGGTTTTGCATTTCAACGTCAATTACGACCTAGCCAGTAGCCAGTGAAGTTTTCTTCTAAAACGGAACAAGTCTCGAGTCTTTATTCCGTTTGCAAACCTCAATCTTACTTTTGACTGTTCTTCATCTCTCATGTCTCTCGATCGCTCAGTACATAACGTTTTAGTGACCCTGGTTTTCGGTACAAAACTAAACAATGCCTTTCATGGGTCATGTTATTTTTGTTTATTTATTAAAGTTTTTCTTTATTAAAATGACTTAGTTGTAGCAATAGTTTTGCATATAATAAGTTGCGTAATGTACCCCAAAAATAAAAAAAATTAAAAAAAAAATTGCTCTCACTAGGCTACAAATGCACAAAAGAAAAGAAAATGAGTTTTTTTCTTTTTTTGATACGACGAGAAAAAAGAGTTTTTAAACAGGCATCATTTGTGTTTGCTTCTAAGTTCTAACTGTGCATATCCATCCGATCCTCATTTCAGCTAAAACAAAAACATTTTTTTTTCACACGTACGTTAAATAACGTGCTATAATTAAACTGTGAATTGGTTACAGAAAACTAAATAAATTTCAACTTGAGGCAAATAGGTGTGAGATAAGAAAATTTCAAAAATCAAATTCGGCGATAAGGGGTTACGATATTTCACAATCGTAGTTCAGATCTTATTTCCCTTTCTCGCATTTTTTTTATCTGCTCTTTTATTACTCAAAGATAATATTTTATTCCCTCGTCTTTATCTTCACTGTTACTATCTTAGCTGCTGTATGGAAAGTGTGATATTAATTTTATGCCAATTAGCTAACAAAAATGGATTGCACAACGGCCTTCTATGCAGTATGCACTATTAAATTCAATCCATTTTACTTGGTGCAGGTTTTTTTTTTTTTTTTGATGGAAAAAGAAAATCATCATTTCCTCAATCAAATATACTATTACCTCCGTCACAAATAAATAGTCTACATTAAATTTTTAAATTTGTATTAAAAATAGTATAAAACTTAAAATTCAATGTGAACTATTTTTGTGCTCAATCTGAATTATTTTTGTGGGATGGAGAGAGTAATTTTTATAAGGCACATTCCACGTTACTTGCATCCTTCTTAACTATTTTCTACTATTTGAGAAACAATTTCATCCCATTTTAACAAATAGATTAGACCGAGATCCATGGTCCAATCACGCACCATAATTTCCTCTCCCTATATATATGAATCTGAATGAACATCAACAAAGAACAAACCTCCCATATTTAGATCATCACATTATCATCAGTTTAAAAATCAAAATCTCTCCCTCTCTCAACGCAAAAGCCAATGGCAACTTCTACTCTCCAACTCCCTTCATCAGTCCTGATACTATTTCTCCTCACCGCCCCATTGTTAGTCTCATCGGCTTCTTCTTCCCTGAAATGCACTTCTCAAAAGTTCACCGGCGCCGGGATCGCCCAGTACTCAGAATGCGCCGACTTGCCCGCACTCAACTCCTTCCTTCACTGGTCCTACAATCACTCCGACTCCACTGTCTCCGTCGCCTTCGCCGCTCCGCCGGCCAAACCCAACGGCTGGGTCGCGTGGGCCCTCAACCCGACCGGCACCGGAATGGCCGGAGCCCAGGCCCTCCTCGCTTACAAGACGACCAACGGGTCCTTGGTTGTGAAGACCTACAACATCACTTCTTACGCTTCCATCGTCGAATCCAAGCTCTCCTTCGACGTGTTGAACAAGAAGGCCGAGTTCTCCAACGGGGTGATGACGATTTACGCCACGCTGGCATTGCCGGCGAGTTTGACCGAGGTCAACCATATCTGGCAGGTGGGTTCGTCGGTGTCCAGTGATGGGGTCCCCGCGAAGCATGATTTTGCCCCTGCCAATTTGAATGCAAAAGGCAAAGTGGAGTTTGTGAGGCAGAGTAAAGCCGCCGGTTCTCCGGCTCCGGCCCCGGCTATGAGTCCTGGGCCTGCTGCAGGTGGGCCTACCGGTGCAGGCAAAAATGGTTCATCCAACGGAGTTGCAAGCAGTACTAGTATGCGGTCGTTGGCGTTGTTTGGGTTGTTCATCCTTTTTGGGAACTTGATTTACGGTTTTTAGATTTTTTTTTTTTAAAAAAAATTACTATTAGGTAAACACGAATAATTTGATAAGGATTGTTTAGGAATTAGTTGAGGAAGATTATCTTTTCCCCTATGTAATATGCGTGTGATTGGATCATTCGATACTATGATTTATTTATCTTTAGCTTTTATATCATAGTTTTCACTTCTTTTCTTTTCTCTTTTTTTTTTTTTTTTGTAATACATTTCCTGCTGAAGTACTTATGTTTGACCGGTGGGAGGCGGAATTTTTGCTTTAACTTCTGGCTTGATTTCTCAAAAATTGGCAGATAATGAAAGAGGATTTATCGGGTATTAGTTTATATTGTTGTTTTGATTGTAGCCAAACCCAAATGTAGTTTCATTTCCTATGATGAATGGGATTGTTGAGTTGTAACTAACAAATTTACCGTTTGGATGATTTTTTTTAATGGTTTTTTCATTACTTGATATTAATACCTGTCATATCCTAACATTTATTTTTACACTTTGAATACATTTTTTTATATTTTCAATACAAAAAAAATTTAAAAACACTTACTAAAAAACAATCCAAACATATTGCTCTGTAAGAGTGAAATTTGAACATCTGGTGGGTAATTTTTGGGTATGTTTGCTTCGTTTTTAGTGTGTGTTTTTAGGTATTTTTTATATTAAAAGTATGATGGGATGAAACAATTATTAATATATTAATTTAAAAATACCATAAAAAAATAAAACAAACAAAACCTTAGAATGGATAGAGGAGTTTTGCCAATTCTATTTTACTCTCAACTACACTTTTGTATAACTTTTCATTGCACACACTAAAAAAAATAGTAGTACTGTACTACTATTCAAACAAAGAAGAATAAATGCTCCTTGGGAGAGTTGAGGGAGGACTGAGGAAGGCTAAATTTGTTTCTTGGAAAAAAGCTAACAAACGTAATGCCTTCCCCTGGTAGTCGCAGTCTCGTAGATCCAGTTGGTTCTTTTAGTACAAGCAGATTAGCACATGCAGCAGTACTCCGTATTTGTAATTGTCAAACAGATAAAGCCTTGAGAGGCTTTGCCATTAATGCATGGACTTCCCTCAGGAAAATTAATGCACGGTCTAATCTAGTAAAAGAAGCTAGGCCAGTAAAAAAATTTTAAAAAAAAATCTCGTTGAAGTTAAACTAGTGAAGATTTTGCCCCAAAGGCCAAACTCCAAAGTTACTGGTCTTGGGGATCTTTTACCCCTTTTTACTCTATTATTGTTCTCTTTTTTGCTAAATTTCTCGCTCAAAACCATCATGAACAAGTAAGTATATGCCGTGGAAAGCTCTCTCTGGCTCTGGCTGGTCTTTTTTTGTTATTCCTTTTGCCCCCTTTTTCATCCCTAAAAATTGATGTTCTTTTGTATGGACCTAGCTATAGCAGCACTTTGGTTATATGATCATAATGAGCTTTCTGTTGAAATTTCTAATCAATCGTCCACTTTTCCCGATATTTGGAGCTCCCATATATATGGGCCACTTATCTTTGCATTTACTTTTGTTTCGAATCTCTTCAACAGCAATGTAGTTTTTAGCTAGCACCAAATAGTGACAAATTTTTGAAACGTTGTTGTTGTTCATCTCCATTGATCTAAAAGTAAGATCAAATGCCATCATTTCGACCTTCATCACCTCCAAGTTCATACTAACGTTGTTTCAAAATATCACTCATATTTATCATACTGATTTTAATTACAACATACAATTCTTATTTTACGATTAAGGAGAGTATTTATTTCGACTAGCAATAGATATGTAATTTCTTCCATATCTCGAAAAAAGGTGCAGTAAAGAGATGTTCAAAAACTAACCATATTAACGAGTTGCTTAACTTAAACATCACAAGATTTCTATAGCCATGTCCATGTGCATGCATCAGTTAAAAGTATACAGCTGAGCTCAGCTCATACGTAATTTGCATAACAACAATTAACCTTTCTCCGAGATGTCGATGATCACAATTATTAACGTAACCTTTTGGTAGTAGTATAATTACGGAGTAAAAGAAGGAAATTAAAGTCACGATCTTATCGATTTTGTCAATTCTGGAGCTCCAAGACAAACATTAAATTTGTTAAGGAGAAATACTCCCAGTTAAGTTAGGGGAAACTAAACAAACTACATCCATATTTTATTTCAACGCTTCCTTCGATCAAGCCAGATACCCGCAAAACATGTGGCCTTTTTGTACCCAGAAAATGATAAAATTGACTTCTTCAAGTTCGTAAGTGCACTTGAAGCAGTAGACTCCAAGTAAATAAATCAAGTGGGATGTATATATATTGTAATAATTGACTGGGAAATGTGGGAGATGAAATGATATATGACTTGGGAGAGTATTGAGTCAAATTTGCGGAAAGTCGTAGCTTTAGAATATTGTCAATATGAACACTTTGATTCTCCGCGAATCTTGTTTCTCGCTTTTCTTCTTGTTAGAAGTTAAAGATATGTTTGTTTCGTTTTTTTTTTTTTTGTGTTTTTAGGTATTTTTTATATTGAGAATGTAAAAAAGTGTATTGAAAATGTAAAAATGTATGCTGAGATGAGACAGTTATTAATATATTAATTTAAAAATACTTAATGAAACAAACGAAACCTTAAGCTCCTCCAAATTGACCCAAAAAAATGTGCAAGAAGGCGCCTTCGATTTTACACTTCTACATTCACTATTCACTCTCTGAGTCCTAAACCACTTTTAACCAACTCGATTAAAACATTAAGAAATTTAACAAAAGATCATGAGTTTTGATTCGAATATTTATCAGAAATCTGTAATTTTAATCGATGAAAAAGTTATGAACGTCTCTATACAACAGTGGGGAAAAGTTTTCAATATGCAATTTCAACGTCTTTAGTAGGATGTCCATTCGAGATGAGAGGCTATTGAAGTGGGGATTTTGCTAATCCATCATAGTTTATGATAACTAGATACATATTGTAAGGTCCATTTAGTCCCCGCATAAACCTGTATTGATTGTGCAAGCATCAGCCATCTGTTACACCCACACAAAAAATGCAACAATATAGTACCAACAATTATCAACCACCAAAGTATTACTTTCCGCCTAAATCAGAAACAGGAACATTGGTGCTTTCCTCCTTTAATTAGGTGCTTAAGCATTCGCTTTGCGAGACAAAAATGGTTATTATATGTTAAACTCTAGGTGTACAACATTGACAATTTGGTTATGGAAACCAAAAACATGATAAAGGAGGCGATAATGACTGTCTATAGAACTAAACACTAATTTTCAGTTATACTCGTTACGAAAATAACAAATCAAGTAATATACGAAAAGAGATTAGATATTGGCATTACCATATTATAACTTTAGAAAAATAAAACAACTCGGGGACACTATGAGAGGAAGAAGTAATTTTGCTGGCATTATATTAGGCGTGATTTAAAGACCGGACAAAAAGCAATCAAATAAACCATTTTAGGAAAAAAAAAATGAATGAAACCGAACATGGCATAATTGATAAAAACCGAGCAGTCCTAATAAACAAATTAATCGCAGGAGCACATTAACTGATTTGTGGAGTGGCTTGAGTCATATCATATTGTTTGAGTTGGAGAAGAAGTAGCAGCATTGATGTGCCGATTTCTGAAAGGGACTCTTGAAGCAAATAATAATGATGTGCTTTGTTGCGGTAATGATGTGTTTTAATGTTTGCATAGGTCATTCCGGCATCATCATGACATGTGTGAAAAAGTGACAAAAAGGAGGTAATTCGTTAGGCTGCTTTTTTAATCAAAGTTTAAACTTTAAAATCGAATTACCAAACTGTTTACAAAAGTTGACAATCTTGTCTGACTTCTCCTTTTCTTTTTTAATATTCCACCCGTTCCAAAATAATTATTCAATTTAAAATTTTTATTCGTAGGTATAATCATATTTCTGATATTTTCCTTTTTTTCTTTTGGCGTGTCTTCCTACTTTGCCTTAGATGCATCTTCAGGGCATCCCATCGCATCTGCTATTCAAAAGCTATGAAAAATTTGACAAGCTAGACAAAGGAATCATATTCGCCTAAAAATTGATATGTAATGGACGGAATATCGCTATTTGAAGCGTCCAACGATTACGAAACTTCCTTTCGTAACAAGCATTTCTCCATAAAGCTTTTTTTCATGGAAAAGAGAAGGGGAAAAAGCTCAAAAAAAGAGACCAGATCTTCCTATTCCCTTTACTAGAGGGGGTTACTTGGACTACCATAATCATGATTTTTCAATTTACAACAGTAAATAAACTAAAGCAAATAACAACGAAAGAAAGTGCTAACTCATAACGCAAAACGCTGGTGGGGTGGGGTAAAGAAAAGGGGACCAAGTGTCAAAAAACTACAAACACGTGAAAATGACGTCCGTTTTGTGAGGAGGTGTTTAGTGTTTAGTGTTTACCACACACTGGAAGGGTAAGCTCCACTGTTGTCCCATAACTTATTAAGTGGGAAAATGATAAGTTAACTTTAGTGCTCCAAACTAGATTGGCGACGTCAACAATCCGTGTAAAACTTTCCGACCAAACATGGACAAATTGATGGGCATTGAGCTATACGAAGTAAAGATGCATCAATCTAAGACGTCGTTGGTGACGTACCAAGTGAACAACTCCCACATTGCAGGAATTGATCTTCTCCTCCGCAACAATGGGATACAAATTTGACATTGCAGAGATTGCAAGGACAGATAAACGCTCCACGAAATAGTGGCATCGTAAGCTTCAGTTTTCCAACAACATTACAGCATCGGATGGCCATCCTCATTGCTTTCTGTAAAGCCGATTGCTGGCGCTTTAGATAGGATTCAACAGAACAAAAAAGGACAGAGGAGCCCCTATTATGAATAGAAGTCATAGGAAGGATATAAAATGTCGGCATTGCAAGTATATTTACATTCAACAGAGATAACTATGACAGCTTTCGAAGAAATTAGGGAAGGGACGATCTGATTTAATGTTACATATGAGGAAATGGCGAGATTCTGTGCATATGAATACATTACACTAAGCTAGTTTACAGCCGACGGTGCAAACACCATCAACCTCATTCCTCATCTCATACACATCAAATCCAAGAAGCGATCCTAGCTACACCAAGAGATTGCAGAGATGAAGATTAATGCCTGCCCTGTCCTTCAAGGTAGCCATCATATGGTTTGGTAGACTTGTTAGACTTTTTCCTTAACACCAAAACCCAGGTGATTGCCTCCAACAACAGGGCAATTGCTCCCAGTACAATGAGCACGACAATGTAAGCAGACTTCCACATCTTTGCAGGACTCAAGATGGATAAACCTTTGAAGACGTTAACAATGCTGAGGACAAGAATGGTGTAGCCGAGTCCATGATGATAAAGATTCCAGTAAAATCTGAACTTGTGTTCCTTTTTAGGCCTTAGGAACAATGCAAAAATCTACGATAAAAGAAGTCTAGATCAATAATAAGGAATTGCAAAATATCGGTTTGTCTGCAATAGGAACAACTAAGCTGAGGCACCCCATGATATCAAACAAAACAGCTACGTCAACAGCAAGATGTTAAAACAATTCTAAAAGCTTTCCGTGAAACACACCATTTCACAAGAACAGGAGTTTGCACTATCAGATATCAGCAACTAACTTTTTTACAACAGAAATTCATCAGATGAAATGCATAACAGTCCTCACAAACATATGATCCTTTTAAATGCGCCAAGAAACAAATTTTCCATGTTGAACTTCAAAAACTTTTTTGTTAGCAAGTCCTATAATATCACTGCAAGCCAGTAATGTAAAACTACAATAGAGAATACACAGACGGTCAGAGACTAAAGAATTACCTGCACTGTGGCCAAAGCAAAGAGTGCGATCCCAATATTACGATGAACGGAGTACTGAATTCCCTTTGATTCACTACCAAGCTTCAGACCAGTAGCCCAACCGGCGACCCCAATAGCATAGGCAGATAACTGGCAAAAGATATGAAGATAAAACCACGCTGGATCTGCAGATTCAACTGTTCTCAAATACCTTGCAACAATGATACCAATGGGAAACAGAATTCCCCAGCTCACAGCATTCAGTATACCATGAATCTGCACAAAAAGATACCAACTTTAGCTATTAACCACACCTGTGGATAATCAATTACAGTACGAGATACTGACAAATGTAGCCGGAATCTGCATATTTCAAAACTTGACCAATCCAATCCCAATTTCTACATTTTTACTTTCGTCCAAAATGTATAATTGATCAGAGTAAAAACCATTATGTTCTCATTTCTTCCAATGGCTAATTCTGACACAAAAAAAAAGAAGAAAAAAGAAAGAAGTAGCCAGTAAGAAATTACAAAACACAATAAAAGCATAAATCCATAGAAATTTGCGAACTTTACCAAAAATGATTCATTTTTTCTGAATTAAATGAAATAACAAGAAAAGCTTACGTTTTTCTTCTTGGTCCTAGAATCAGTAAAGTCACCGGAACCCTTGCTCTCCCCACTCATCAAATCAAGGGAACCTTTAGAGTTCAAATTGGCCGGCAGAAACCCATGCTTATCCGGCACCCCGTTGGTAACCGAGGAACCCACCTGCCAGACATGATTGAGCGACGTTTTCCCCTTTTCCGGCAAAACCACCGTCGCAAACAACCTCATAAGACCGCCGGAGAACTCCGCCGATGAATCCTTCACAGTGAACCAAACCTTGGACTCTTTAACAGGGCCGTAAGAGGTGATATTGTAGGTCTTAACAACCATTGCGCCGCCGGAATCTTTGAAGGCGATTAACGTTTGGGACCCAATCATCCCACCCGCCGTCGGGTTGATGGCCCATGCAATCCAACCGTCAGGCTTCGCCGGAGCAGCAACGAATGCCAGGGAAAGCGTGGATTGTATCGGGTCATAGGTATAATGAAGGTAAGAGTCTAAAGCTGGCAAATCGTTGCAGTGGGCATACAATTTATTGTTTGCAAATTTCTGTGACGAACATTTCTGGGATTGGGAAGGTAAAATTAACAAAGAAACAGTAAATATAAACAGGGCCGGAATCAAAGGCTTCCCGGACGGTAATGCCATTTTTTTTTTTTTTTGCAGAGGAAAAAACAGAGAAGTGTATAATTCCCTGCCTGATATAATTCCTTGAATAAATAGAACAAAGTTCACAGAACTAAAAGCGTCTAAATTCACTCCACGAAAAAGGGGAATGGAAAAGGAAGAATATATATAGAAACGACGAAATGGAAAATGAGATGCTCTTCTGTATATAATGCGGGGGATTTTAAATCATAATTATTCCAATTCTAATTAATAGTATTATTCTTAAATACTGTCGGAAAAGCAATATCATGCGAGTGGTGTAAAGGGAAGATAAGGGCCGGAGAGGGGGGCCAGTTGTTTACGAGACGTGTGCTCCGGGGAGGTCACGTGCTTGTCATCATGGGTAATGAATGAAAAAGAGGCAGGCCGGATTTGGAAAAAAACCGTCACGCGTTCTAATCCCACGATGAAAGCGTTATGGCTTCATTTCAAATCGTTCAACTTCCAACGATCCAAAACTACGGACTGGGTTAAGGGACTAGGTTAGGGGCTAGGGTTGCTTTTCTTTTAGATTAAACGGAGATCTTGACATTAACTTGTCTAAGACGATCTTTTTATAATTAAGAAATGAAAATAATATCCTACAAGTGTATCCATACCGGAAAAGATGGCGGATGCATTGACGGATTAACAGTTTCGTGGGATCAAAATGGCATGGTATTAAGAGTGAGAAATCTAGAAGGTTATTGTGTTTGCTTTGTTGGTTACGATAATGTAGGTCTTAATAATAATTAGTAATAGCCCAAATGGGAACCATATCGATTACTTATAGGAAAAAATTGAATCTTGCTAATTAATTAATACATATAGGGGTTCTATTCTCCATACAAAAATGGATTGGGATTGGTTTTCCATATGTATATGGGGTGGAAAAGAGGTTGCAAATGCAAGTTGAAAACTTTGAGATAGACCATTCTTGCACACACGATACCATTGTGATATCTCCCTCTTGGGTTGGATTGGACTTTGATATGTTTGCCCATTTCGTAGGCGTTAAAAGACGTCTTTTTGTATGGCCTTACGTCTTGCATGCTACTTGCCCATTTGCAGAACTGAAAATAGAATGCATAATTATTTTTGGACAAATATTTGCGGTGAGGGTTATTGGTGGGTGGACCAGTATGTCATTGTTCCTTTTTTTTTTTTTTTTTTGAAACTTTCTTATATGGTTTTTTTGAAACTTATTTTCTTAAAAGTTTATGTTAATTCGTCACAACATCCACATTCATTTACCCAAACCCATATTTTAATCTTAGAAATTAACAAGCCCATTATTTATACAAATTGTTATTTTTCTATAACCTTCATTCATTCATTTGTTTGAGCGTCTCCATTCATTTTGTTTACGGAAAAGATAATCCTATAGGGTGCTACATGCTTGTGTTATGGGTTTGATACTCATTTCACTTGAATTGACGTACTTGGTTCATACATTTATGATGGAATGGACTCAGAAAATTAGGATTGATTTCCATAAATTTCATTATCCAACATTTCAATATATATGACTTCTTGTGATTTATTCCATTTCATTGGTGAACCACACACCCAATTTTCACATGCTGCAGCCAAAATCGAATAGCCCCACCCATCATCGGTGTACTGACAAAGTAAGAACGAATGTTAAAAGTATGGTGGAACTCCACTATATACTACCTAATCGAATTATATGCGCCTAACTGATATTTTTCCCTCTCAAAAATTCAGTTTGCAATACCTTTTACAAAAAAAAAAAAAAAAGGTTTGCAACACACATTACAGTCTTCTCGTATGCAGAGAGTGGTTATCATTTCAAACCAAAGACGTGCTAAAGGGCCCAACAGATGAACATAGGCTTCCTACGTGCTGTGAATTCAGGCCTCCGTAACGTAAGCCGTAATAGGCCGAAAACCTAAGTGAGCCCAACCCAAGAAATCACCGCAAGGTCCTCTATTATGACCACAAAATTTAATCCAACTATGATCCGTTAACAAATTATATGTATACTCTTGAAATAGACATGGCAGTAAGATAATTTGTATCACAATTTTCCAGTGGCGGAACCAGCTGCTCGGATTTGAAGGGACTAATTTCATGTTTATGATCGGAAAATATGGTTGAAAATACATGACGGCAGGTCAACTATAACTATCCATAAGGAGCCTTCCGGCCGACTGAGAGCCTCCGTATCCCCGACTCCTTAAAGAGAGTTTTGTCACTGTAATCTTCAGTTATTCATGGTTAAATTTTCACGAGAGGACTAATGTTATATCCATAAGTATAAGTAGACAATTACCACAACTCATCAATCTTTGATAATGCATGTTGAAATTCAAAACAATATAGAGTAATTGAAAATTAATTCAAAAATCCATATAATGGTATGTTGCATAACTAATATTTTTACTTCGAGTAGATGAAAGTATTCCTATTCGTATTGAATATAACATAATAGCATGTGGACACTTTTTATTTACATATATTAAAGAAAAATGATAAAAAAAATGGATCCAAACTACTAATAAAATATGTATTGTTTCAAAATTAATTTCATATCTATTTATCTATCTATATTATATTCTAAGAGAGATAGTATATTCTAAGAGAGAAACCAGAGAGAGGAAACGTCATTTATACTTAAAGTGTCACATCAATAAAAATCTTAGGTGTAATTTTCTTATAAATTCTCCAAATAAAACTTATTGTAATTGTCCAATAGTCCTCCAAATTTGGGTTGTTATAATTATCTTATCTCTTAAAAGATTAGTAAAATTTATTGAGATCCCACTTTAAGTTTTTTAAAAAATAAGAAGTATAAGAATTTCCTTAGAGCTGAGTTGCAATAATTTTTTTTTTCTTTTGTTTTGTGTGTACAAGCAATAGTGTACACAAATTTCTTTTTCTTTTTTTCTTTTTTTTTTATTTGGGAACATTTGAGCTAAACTTGAATTATAACAATTAGGCATATATTATACTGTTGACTACAAAAGTTTTTTAGTATTAATAATGATTTTACAGGGGACTAAACTGTATAAATAGTCCCCTACATTTGTCCGAATTTAAATTTTGGTCCCCTACATTAATATGTATATAGATTGAGCCTTTATATTTCATTTTGAAACTTTTTTGGTCTCTTTTCACTGTTCCGTCACCATTTCCGTCTTGATGACCGTTGACCCTACTAAGTCAGGGGTATTTTCGGAATGACACATATAAGATCAAAATAACAACTGTTTAAATGGTCCCCTACATTTGTCCAAATTTAAATTTTGGTCCTCTACATCAACATGTATATGGATTGAGCCTTTACATTTCATTTTGAAACTTTTTTGGTCTCATTTCATTGTTCTGTCACCATTTCCGTCTTGATGACCATTGACCCTACCAAGTCAGGGGTATTTTCGGAATGACACATATAAGATCAAAATAACAAATATTTTTATAATAAAATAGAATAAAATATTAAAATTATTATTAATAAAAAATTAAATAATTTAAAAATAAAAAAATTAAAAGGTAAGTTTACTTTTTAATTTTGATTTTTTTTACTGTAGCAAAAAAAAGGGGAAAATTGACTGGTATGTGGGACCCACAAAGGTGGGAAGTGAAATTTTTTTTTTTGAAATTTGAAATTTGAAATCATTTTAATTTTTTATTTTTATTTTTAAATTATTTAATTTTTTATTATAAAATAATAATTTTTAATATTTTATTCTATTTTATTATAAAAACATTTGTTATTTTGATCTTATATGTGTCATTCCGGTAGAGTCACGGTCATCAAGACGGAAATGGTGACGGAACAGTGAAAAGAAACAAAAAAAAGTTTCAAAATAAAATGTAAAGACTCAATCTATATACATGTTGATGTAGGGGACCAAAATTTAAATTCGGACAAATGTAGGGGACCATTTAAACATTTGTTATTTTGATCTTATATGTGTCATTCCGAAAATACCTCTGACTTGGTAGAGGTCAACGGTCATCAAGATTAAATGTGACGAACTAAAGTGAAAATAGACCAAAAAAGTTTTAAAATGAAATGTAAAGGCTCAATCCATATAAATGTTGATGTAGGGGACCAAAATTTAAATTCAGATAAATGTAGGAGACCATTTATACAGTTTTGTCTTTTACAGGGGTTAGTACTAATATTTTGTTTGTCTTGGTATTGTAGGTTTATATCGTATTTGCTCGAATCTTATATCAATTTTAGCAAGTTAAATGTTAAGTTGACTATATAGGGACATAAAATCGATTTTTTTAATATTTTATTTGATTTTTTAATAACTGATACAGTAAAAAAAGTAAAATCATCGTAAATCAATAACAATAAATTATTATTTGATTCCGTGCATGTATAACATCTAGTATTATAATGTACTATTAATATAAGCGAAAAATACAAGAAAATAGCAAAAATGGTTGAGGCAGGGGCAGAAATTTGTGGATTAATTTTCACACACGGCATCCTGAGAATACTGAAGCATATACCCCAAATCTCGATAACAAAACAAAAATGGTCCGTCACTCTCTCACTTTTTAACATTTAATCCTTTCGGTTAACCGCGAACGAATTCCCTCACAAAATAATCACAAAATAATCTCCTTCCCAATATTTCACCCCCATTCGGTGGCTCACCGATCGACCAAATTAGGGCTTCGGAAGTGATGATGCTCTAAATGGATTATGGAATCATTGCAACAGAAGGTGGAGTCATGGATCAGAGACGGGCGGATGAACATCTTCAAGGTCACCTGGCCGCCGCAGTGGCAGTGGCCAATGGTGGTTCGGTGGCCTTGGACTCAAGGGAGGGAACAAAGGAAGCGTATTCAGGAAGAAGTTGTTCGGAGGAAGAAACAGTTACAGGATCTCTGTTTCGCCCTCAAGGCAGAGACTGTTTCTGATTTGCAGGAGATTTTGTGCTGCATGGTGCTCTCCGAGTGTGTTTATAAGGTTAATCCTTAATTTTTCTTATCCGTTTCCCCTAATTTATTTTCCAGCATTTCTTTTTGTTAGTTGAGAAAGGCGCTAAAATGCCACTTGTGTCGGACACTCGGACTAATTACTGTATTTCAGTTTCTTTCATTCTTTTTTTGGAATTTTGAAGGAGTGTTTTGTGTTCTTAATTCTTGGAGTTTAGTTTTAGCCCTCTTTTCAGATTTTTTTTAATAAATTTTTTATTTTACATTATGCATGTTTTAGTAATAGCATGCTGCGTTCTTTCACATGATCTCTCTTTGTAGGAAGTGAATTTTTGACGAATGACATAATGTGGTTGACAAAATGTTGTTTTGTCGAAATAGATTGAACTTGAGGACACGTGGCTAACTTAATTGATTTTACATTATTGGTTGGGCCAATAGTTGAATCATTTCGGAATGATCAAATATTCTCCGGATTCTACTTATTTTCTTGTTCAACTTAAAAGTAGCAATTTCTTAAGCTGCAAGTATTGCTTCAAGCAGAATAAGGTCATTTGATCATTGTTCTGCCTGGTTATTTTATATCCTTTGTCGGAATTGGATCACTGGTTTGGAAATTGAAAAAGAGAGACTAGTTTGGAGGTTGTTCCGTGTTGATTTTACCACATTTGAAGCCGTCTGTGATGACTTTTAGACTATCCTAAACTAAAATTATTCCCATGTTCTTTTTTTGTGCGCAGAGACCTGCTTCTGAGTTGGTCAGAGCAGCAAACATATTCAAGGCAGATTTTGGAGGTCAACTTATTTCTTTGGAGCGTGTTCAACCTTCAGCTGATCATGTTCCGCATAGGTTATTTGATAAATTACTGTTTTAATCTTATCTTTGCTGGTGATATTTAGTTGTCATGAGTTTCCTTTCGCAGAGAAGCTGTAGCACCTAAATGCATTCTTCTCACCTTATGATGATATCTTGTTGCTTCTCTTCCGGACTGCTGTACAATTTGTTTTGCACTGGTTATCTCCTTGAATGGTGTTTTTTTTGTTTTGTTCTTTTATGCTGGTTTAAGTTGGAAAAACATGAGGAAATAAGATTTTTGTTTTTTGGACTAACTGCTTTGGAAAGAAGTAAAATGACGAAAAAAGATTAATTCTTCTTTTTTGGTTGGTTTAATTGGTGACATCTGCTTGTTATAAACAATTGGTTCCTCCTTGTAGTTCTTAAGTGTTGAATCTCCGGAATTTTGACGTTTCTGTCAAACTTCATGAGGAACTTCTTACTGATATTGTCAAGTATCACTTATCTGTTTCTAATCTTTTCATGCCATCTACTACTTTGTAAGATCAGTTATGCCGTATCTTATTTTTATTTGAATGTAGCTTGCAAATTGCATCTTCTTAGTCACTAATCTTGTTTCTTGATAATTTTAAGATGTGGCTTGGATTTATTATTTTGTAACCTGGTCCTCTGCACTATCTTGTTGTAGGTATCTATTAGCAGAAGCTGGAGATACGTTATTTGCTTCCTTTGTTGGCACAAAGCAGTATAAGTAAGATTTGTAGTGCAAATTCTTGTTCAGTCAATTAGTTTTGCTTAATTTTATCTCCGAAAATGCTGTCTTTATTTTATCATGTTTCTTTTTCACCTCTCCTGTTACAAAGGGATGTCATGGCTGATGCAAATATATTTCAAGGTGCCATATTCCATGAAGATAAAGTGGAGGACACTTCTGGGACAGAATCTGCTGAGAGCAGCAGCCAATGCAGCAATGGGGAGAATAACACAAAATTTGTGGAATCCATTGCCAGGCTTCCAAAATCTGGACCTAAACCAGCCGCTCATCGGGTATTAATCCTTTACTTAGCATTTTTTTCTCTTACCAGTGACTCGAAAACACTATTCTTTCAAGATTGATGGCTTATCTTTCTAATGTGTATAGGGTTTCATGGCCCGGGCTAAAGGAATACCAGCATTGGAATTATATAGACTTGCTCAGAAAAAGAAAAGGAAACTTGTTTTATGTGGACATTCACTTGGAGGAGCTGTAAGTAATGCTGAAAACACTGCTTATGAAGTGAGTAATTAAGATACTATTTTCGATGGCCGAACTGATTCAGGAGCTCTTTTTCGCAGGTGGCTGCCTTAGCGACACTCGCTATTTTGAGGGTATTTGCTGCTTCATCAAAAGAACATGAAAGAGTTCAAGTGAAGTGTATCACGTTTTCTCAGCCTCCTGTCGGAAATGCGGCATTAAGAGAGTATGTTCGTAATCACTTAATCTTACTTAGTAGCAACGCAAATTACATTAACTATTGTAATTTGTTGCTTTCAGCTATGTAAATGTAAAAGGGTGGAAGAATTATTTCAAAACATACTGCATCCCAGAGGATCTGGTGCCGCGTATCCTGTCTCCTGCATATTTTCATCACTACAATAGCATGGAGTCTGCCCAGTCATCCGATGCCGGAACTTCACCATTGCCTTCAAAAACTGATGAGAGATTTGAAAAGCAGAAATCTGAGAAGGAAAAAGATAATGGAGGGGAGAAATTGGTCCTTGGTTTGGGACCTGTTCAGAGCTCTTTCTGGAGGCTTTCAAGACTTGTACCTCTAGAGAGTGTTAGAAAACAGTTGTTTTCGTATGGAGGAAGTAAATTGGGTCCTGCTGCAAACTCTATAGCTGTTGATTCAAGTACAACATCTTCAATCGATTCTATTGTTGGTTCTCCTCAATCGCTTGAAATCCAAGAGGATTCCGATGGAATTTCTCTCCGGCCATTGCCTGAGACTGATGATGAGACAACTACTGAAGTGCAAACTGGAAAATCATTGGGGAAAAGCACTACAAAGAACGGGAACAAGAGGGCATGGCAGAAAATACCTGCCTTGCCGTCTTATGTCCCTTTTGGCGAGGTATATGTTTAAGCTGTGCTCTTTCCACGGCCCTCCTTTGCTTAAAGAGATTTCTATGTTATATAATCGCTGGTTTGTGGAAAATGTAGCTTTGAGAAGTAAGAGGGGAGAGTGTTGTAGTCATTAAAATGTTTGATTTAAAGAAACACGAAGAAAAAGAGTTTATTGATTATGAATTCGTATAAAGTTTCCTTTCATATGCTGCTGTTGTTTATGTACTCATTGAATGATTATCATAACAGCTATACCTATTGGGGAATTCATCTGTGGAAGCACTATCTAGCTCAGAGTACTCGAAGTTGACTTCAGTATGTCCTTCATTTCCTTGTTCTTTTTGGGCTTAGCAGCTCGTACTTTGATACGTTCGATTATTATTTATCTCACCTTTGGATATTTTCTTTACCTTGATCTTGGCTGCTATCAATTTCTTATGCTTTTGAAAGCTCTCATATTAGTTGCTTTCTTATGGGCAAGACATTTTCAGGTCAGATCGGTGATTGCTGAAGTGAAGGAAAGATTTCAGTCTCATTCAATGAGGTCATACAGATCGAGATTCCTCAGGTACTATTTACTTCTTTTGTACAGTTTACCTGTGTGTTCTACTCAAGTGCCAAAGGATACCTATATCTGGATATCTCATGATTTGGTCATCGTTTACCTAGTTTGATTCCCTGTCACTCCCCCATCCGGATTGGGGTTAAAATGTTCAGGTTGACCTGTAAGATCCACTGCTACGGTTCATATTCTCTTATCTTTCAGTTTGTGAATCAAATTTTAGGGAATACCCAAATTCGTATGTAATATGATCTATTGAAAAGTTATATCCCAAGTTGACAAGCTGGCTGTTCCATGAATTTTGCTGTTCATGCTATTATAATTCAAAATGATCACTGTTTCTCATTTTAGTTGTCATATGTAGAGTTAAAAAATTTGTAGTGTTATTAAGTCGCTGTTATTCAAGAAATTTTATTCTTACTTTATGTTTCAGTGGTGATTTCTGACCTTTGCACGTGATTTTCATTATTAATGTCAGTAAAATAGGGATTTTCATTGTTGTATTTACATTCATATTGAAATAAATTGGTTTTTTTGTTCCTTTTATGTTGGATGTTCTGATGCTCTTATATCTTTATTAGTGATGCACATTAGTGATGTTATGAACACTGACTGCTTTTATATTCTTAGTGATGTTATGTTTCTGAGCAGTGATTCCTCATGCTCTTGCAGAATATATGAACTCTGCATGAATGACAATGAGCCATCCTTTTTTGGGCTGGAACAGGTCCAGCAATTTCCCCATTTACAGAAGTGGTTAGGTGTTTCCACTGCCGATACTATTCAGTTGGGGCATATTGTTGAAACTCCAGTTGTTCATGCAGCTACATCAATAGTTCCGCTTGGATGGAATGGCGTTCCTTGCGGGAAGAATGCAGACACATTGAAAGTGGACATATCTGGTCATGGGTTACACCTATGCACAATGATTAGAGCTCGAGTTGGTGGAAAATGGTATTTTGTTTTCTTTTTTTCTCTGTGCGTTCATACATGAAATTTGCGTATCAGCTGTTTTTTTATTTGGCTGAAGTTTATTGTTTTCTATAATCTATACGCAATAAAATATCCAAATGATCATTCCTCCAATTTTGCTTGCTTTATGTCAATTAGATTTCCATCCAGTACCCCTTTTCCTTCCTCCAAATGGAAATCTCTTTAAAATGTTTTCCCTTTCTAAAAAAGTTTCTCAACAGAAGGTGCAGACATAGCAGCATTTTCCAAGTTTTCAATTGTTTTATTCTGATAAAAATTCTTTTTTTCCCCTTTTATGTGATCATTGAACTTAAACCCTTCAAAAAAAAAAAAAAAAAAAAACTTAAACCTGGTCTCTCAACTGTTTTTGAGGTTTTAATGAGTTTTTTTTTTTATAATAATCCTGATTATCTTTGTTTTGGGTTTTACAGAACTTTGAGGCTTAGCTCTCTGTTTTGTTCTCAATATCCACTAATATTTCAGATAATGACAATCTTTTATGTTTATTGTTATCTTCCTATTCCACCACTATTTACAGCTACAAAAACAAGTTCACTTGAAAAATGTGGATTTGGTGAAACTGATTTTTTAACCATTTTTTGGCTGTTTTTCCGGCTCCATGGCTCAATTCTCATTTCTAGCTGATTTGTTCATGTGGACTCTGGTGATGAGATCTTGTTCTGTCATCTTGTGGCCTTTGCAGCTCCTTGGGCAATCAGACCCTACCGTAGTTCGTTTTACAATTTATAGTTGGCTAAATGTCCTTTTTGATTTTTTGCTGCAGTATAAGTTGTGAAGTTGAATTTCTAACACCCCCCCCCCCCCCCCCCCCCCCTCTGCGAGTGCATTTGGGAAAAGATATTCTTTTTCCATCTTTCGTTCTTTTTCTGGTACCAATGTGTGTGTTTGTGTTATCAAACGTATTTAGGTGCTCAACAATAGTAGAAGCATTTCCTTCACCACCAAGCTTTGCTCAGAACCATGGATTACAACCAGAGATACAGAAGATGAGGATAATTGTTGGTGGTCCTCTGAGGAATCCACCAAAGCATCAGATAGAGGAGACTATAACGCCTGTGTTTCCTTCTCTTGCCTCAACTTCCACCAGTCTTAAGATGAATCAAAATGTTTCAACTCTTGATGAAGGGAAGTTTGTCTGTCCTGATGACTTAAGTGATTTTATGATACTTTGCACGACGGATTTTTCAACGGTTTCCAAGCCGGTTTATACTAGAACCCGCAGGGTTAGACTAGTTGGCCTTGAGGTACTCTTTGAATAATAGACTTGGCCAGTATTTGTGTTTATGTCATCTACTTAAGTTTGGAATTGAGTTTCTTCTATCTTTGGTTCAGGGGGCTGGTAAAACCTCTCTCCTTAAAGCAATTTTAGAACAAGAGAGAACAACTAGTAGAATTAGCAGTGATGATTTGCATTTGGATGTTGATGTTCAAGAAGGCATTGCTGGTGGCTTGTGCTATTCAGATTCATCAGCAGTGAATTTGCAGGTTTGTTTTTGAGTACCTTTACTTTTTCACTATTGACAAATTGACCCTGCATTTTGTTCCACCAGCTTTGCTGTGCTGGGTTTGAAGAATTTTTATTTGCGGTTCTTGACTCTTGAGGTTGTCGTTTCTGTTTAATGGTGCAGAATTTAAACTGGGAGGCATCTCATTTCAGGGATGAACTCTGGAAGGGAATTCGGGATCTAAGTAAGAAAACTGATTTAGTTGTTCTTGTGCACAACCTGTCCCACAGAGTACCGCGCTATAGACTTCCAGACTCATTAAGTGAACAACCTGCTCTTACACTTCTTTTGGATGAGGCCAAATCTCTTGGGATACCTTGGATACTTGGTATAACAAATAAATTCTCGGTGAGTGCACATCAACAGAGAGCAGCTATAGATGCAGTGCTGAAGGCATATCAGGCATCTCCAAGCACATCCTCTGTCATTAATTCATGTCCATACATTACGTCTACTGGTGCTTCTGTGTCTTGGGAATCTGACGACAATGACTCTAATAAGAAGGAAGGATCAAAAAATCTTTTTTTCGCGCCTATCAATTTTTCTTGGAGACCTTTCGAGAAGAAACCTGCCATTCTCCCAGTTGAGGGTGTTGCTGCCTTTTGTCAACTCATTCATGAAGTGCTCCGGAAACACGAGGAAGCTGCTTTTCAGGTAGACATATCTTACTCTCTTGATTTTTTTGTTGTTGAAGCTTAAAGGCTTGGTTGATTATTGCTTTCTGTTAAGTGTTCTTCTTGTTTCCGCCTATCTGTTTTAATTACCTTGGGGGTGAAAGGAGCATTGATCATTCTCCATCTGTTTCTTTTTTATGCTCTGAACTCACCAGGAACTTGCACGAGACAGGCTTTTTGTGGAGTTGGCTCGTGCTCGTGCAAGTTTAGCCCGCTCGAATCAAGATGCTCAGGCCAAGGCAAGCTCTTTGACATCCGCAGCTGTTGGTGCTTCACTTGGAGCTGGTCTAGGCATTGTGTTGGCGGTTGTAATGGGGGCAGGATCAGCATTGAGGAAACCGTAGGATGAATATTCTCGGCACTTAGTGTCGCCTATGCAAAGGTTTTGCAGGTGTATAGATTTGGATTTTCTGTTTAGAGACCCCATCATTGTTTGTGTATAGAGCAAAGTCAGGTTGGCAAGAGTCATTTGCTCCTATTGTCGACTTTATATTATCCATCGAATTCAAATTTTTTTTTTTTTTTCTCTTCACCCGTTGGTGTTTATAAATTATAGCACATTGTGGAAAAAGGCATGCTTTTCCCATAAAACTATCAAAAAGTTATGGTTCTAGGGGCCTAGCCTGTTGAAAGGGATTCTTCGCAAGAGTGAAATGGGTCAGACCTGATAAGCCAGGAAGGCTAGATCAGGCGATTGTGCTCAACATCGGGTCCGACCTGATAAGCCAGAAAGGCCGGATCAAAGGTCACCCACGAATTAGTGAAAGGATCCTACGAAAGCATAGCCAAAGCTAAATCCGTACACAATAATACAGCGCGTTTTGAACGACTGTATAGACCCATTAACCTAGGATTTGTACAAGTCCAAGCACACTGAAGAGAAGTAGGCCTAACATCAGGCCAGGATTTAAGTACCACCACTTTAATACCCTCACTCGAGTTACAGGCCTACGTTACCAAGCCCGGTGACCACGGTTGCCAACTTCCTAACTTATGAATAAGTTCATAAGTATCACATTCGCCGATGTGGGATTCCCAGACACAAAGCAAACTAGTAGTTTTATTAGTCATGTTCTGCAAGTTGATACTTACATCACTTAGCCAAGATAAACAATCCTCAGCTTCCACACTTCATTCAGATGAAGAAAAATATTGCATCTGAGACTAAGAGTTTACATTCAATATTAGGTATAGAAATTTCCGCATCATAGTAATAATACTGTGCCAATTACAAAGACAGCAATTTCGTTTTTATCTCTCAACTCTGACTCTGCTCGTGTGCAATTCAACAAAACCTAGGAATCTGCTATAACCAAAAGCTATAATGGAATAATAGCTACTGCATAAACAAAGGTCTTTATGTTCCATTTTCAGTAGACCACTCCTGGCAGTTGTATAAAAAGATCTCCAATGAGTATTCCCCAAAAAGGGAAGAACAACTTTGTGTTGTATAGATGTTTGACAAATCATCTGGAACAGCACGAGTAACTGTTATTCTTCTTGGATAAGTCGATCCCGTTTGCCAGGCTGACACGGTTTACGGACAATTCAGCTTTGTAGGAGTCTGAATTGAGCGTTTTCCTGCTAATATTATTGTATATCTCTCGAATAACAATTTCGAAAGCTGTTTTCACGTTGGTGGAATTCAGTGCAGATGTCTCCATGAAGAATAAACCCTCTTCTTCCGCAAGACTCTTTCCTTCCTCCACGCTCACATCTCTAATGTCTTCCAAGTCACACTTGTTTCCAACCAGCATTCTCGCGACCGTAGTATCACAATGAGCTGCAGAATGATTCCAACACAAAAGCCACAAAGAAGTTAACTTTCTGAAAGTAGTACCAACACAAAAGCCACAAAATAGTTCACTTTCTGAAACAAGTACAGTAACTGATTACTGAATTTGAGGAAACGAAGAATAACATCTACAAGACCTAGAAAAGATAACCTACAATGGCAAATAGGTGGACTGGCAAAAAGTTTTTACATCTATTCAGTGCTGTCTTTGTGACAAAACTCCAGACTCCCAATTTCTTAGGAGTTCTGCAGATTCAGCCCTACTATTTCTCATAGCCAGTCGAAGATCTTAGTCAAGTGATATATTTACGAGCATTTTGGTCTCCCTTACTCCATCAGCTTTGGGACCTACTCTCTTTTATAGGCGGGGCATACAAATGACAAATTTGTTCAAAATGAAAATCCAGTGACTGAAAATTAAGAATATCTTACATCATCTATATCCACACTCTTTGATTTGAGTTGTGACGCCAATGCAAGGAAACCTCAGTTCTCAAAGGTGCTGAAAATAACACAAAAATACAAAGAAACAAAAGCAATACTTCCAAATGTCCTCAACTTCTGAAGAACCTAACGAAAGCGCACTGATGGCCAACAGACTAACCGACACTTGTGAACAAAATCACAATTTTGGCAAACTAATAAAGAAAAGCAGCAACTTGATTGAACACTCCTTAATCTATATGAAACTTAAGAAAAGCAAAGGAATGTGAATGCAAAAAACAGAACAAACCCAACAACAGAGAAGCACAGAGCGAGATGGATTCCACCAATTAAAGATGCAAACGATCTCAGATTAACCACAAGTACTGACCAAAGAAGCAAACTCATAAAGATTAAACCTTTAATCAGAAAACATACTGTTTAGCTCCTCGAGCCATCTTTTGATGCTCTCAAAAGTTGTTTTCCTGCTAATGTCATACACAATGAGAGCCCCAACAGCACCTCTGTAATAAGCAGAGGTAACAGCCCTGAATCTTTCCTGGCCAGCAGTATCCCAAACCTGGGCTTTAATCTCTTTTCCATCAATTTCAACAACTTGGGTCTGAAACTCAACTCCAATAGTGGCCTTGGAGTTATGGTCGAACTCATCTCTAGCAAAACGGGAGAGCAAGTTAGATTTACCAACTGCAGAATCCCCAATTACCACAATCTTGAAGAGATACTCCTCTCCTTCTTCTTCAGCCATTTTTTCTCTGCTTTGTCGGCTAAATGTGAAATGGGTTTTTGGATTTGGGCTGAACGGAGAGTAAAGTAAAGTGGTGGCGAGGGTTTTGAGAGATTTGAGAAATGGGGAGGAAATAAAGGCAGGATTTTTATAAGTTTTAAACTTAACATTTATTACAACAAAACAGGAGTAATGCTGTGTGTGTGTGTGTGTGTGACTGTGAGAGCTTTGCAGGGGAGTGAAGTTAGGAGGGAGGAAAGGCGTAATTCACGGATAAAGACATGCTGCATTAAAATATGTGAAAAGGGAACCAACACATTCACATTTGCAAATTGTTCGTAGGAAAATATTTCGGGACATTCTTTTTGGGCCAAATATATTCTTCCAATTTTTAACTATTTTATTCGTTAATAATAATGGCAAATGGGGTAAAAAGGTGGGAATAATTGGCCTTTGGCGTTTAAACTGGAGTCAAAATGAAATTTCTATCGTCACAACCTTTCCTTGCATAAAAGATCTCTGTTCAAGTGTAAAATAAGACATCTTTTTTTTTTTAATATTTTTTTTGATAAACAAAATAAGGCATCTTTTCTTTAAAGGAAGGCAACGGATGGGGTCAAATGATCTGGATCCGAGTCAATAACGAAATGTAGACTGTAGAGTAGCTTGTTAAAATAAAGGGTCGAACTATTGAACGCCCTTATTTTTTCATTTGAGCGCCCGCGAAAGATCAACACACCCCTGAAAATGGAGGTATGTTTTTTTTTTTCGGGAAAATGGGGGGTTGGCGAGGGAGAAACGCGCCAGCCGTTAACGGCTGGCGCTGAAGAAACACGCCATCCCCAAACAATAAGCTCGCCTCTCCTTACAGGGGAGGCGAGGCAAGCCTTCGCCAATGGCGAAGGCGGTGGCGCCATATTCGGCGCCACCTCTATCATGGTTGGCGAGCAAATGCTCGCTAACCGCCAGAGTGGCGCCAAACGGCGCCAACCAATTTTTTTTTTTAAATTTTTAATATATTTAATATTTATTAGTTTAAAAATTATTATTATTAGTTTAATAAATTTAATTAATTCATGTATTTAGTTTATTTGAGTATTTGTTTTGTAGTTTAATATATGTTTAGAAAATTAGGGTTTATGTTAGATATTTAGAGAATGTTTTTAATTACGTATACTTGTTATATGTTAATTACGTTGTATGCTCGTAAGAAATACTTTGTTTCTTGTTAAATGGGTATTTAGGTTGTATGTTAATGCGTATAGTTGTTAGGGATTAGAATATTTGTTAAAATAATGAGTTTTGATTAATAATATTTTTAATTAGTTATTAGTATATATTAATTATCTCTAAAGTAAAAGATCATTATATCGGATTCTATAACAATGTTTACTCATATGAAATTAATTGTGGTTTAACAATGTTAGAGTTAACTTAAGTTATGATATAATTTGTTTTTAATGTATGTGTGCGTAATAGTTTTGATCGGGGATGGAATCGATTATAGTGCGGCTTTTGCTACGCATTTGAGACTTTCTCAACGAACACGGAAGCTATTGAATATGCGAAGGGTATTGCGAACATCTACAATATGGTGTTAAGTATATCCTCGCATAAGGGTAATAGTACTATACTCCTTTGTCATAAAGGGGGGCGGTACCAAGGTGAACAGGTGGATGAAGACGTGCAGGCCCGAGCTAATACAAAGACACAGATGACCGGATGCCAGTTTCGTATTACTACTTACAAGATGTATGATAGGTGGGCAATCCGTGTATATCCAGGTCCGTGGGAATGCACAACCATTCATTGAAAGATCCACCTCGAGTCGAGGCCATTGAGTATCAAGTAAAAGAGCTTATTAAAGAGTACTCCAAATCTGGGACTAAGGCGAGTCCACATTTTACGGGCGATATGGACACAATTTCCGATGAAAATGTAACCGCTAAACAAGTCTACAACTACAGAAATTTTTGCGTAAGGCGGGGTTTCCAATTCTAGATGACTTGTCTGCCATGGACGTAGTGGGAAAGGTGTTAGAGGTCGCAGAACAAAGACAAATACATCATCTTCACGGAGTGCGATGAAGAGACACAGAGGTTATCCCACGTCTTTTTCGCACATCCGGATTTTTGTTGTTATTGCGGACGTATCCTTGGGTTGTTTGTGTAGATTCCACATACAACACAAACAAATATAAACTGCCTCTTGTGGAGTTTGTTGGAATGACCCCTTGCAATCAGACATTCCTCATAGCATATGCCATTCTGAGTGATGAGACAGGGGAAAGCTACCATTGGGCGTTGTGGCAGCTCCGTAACTTGTATGGCGAAGATATGCATCCGAGTGTCATCGTGATGATCGCGAACTCTGGATGATGAGGCCTCTTGATGATGTATTTCCATCTTCACATCACTTATTGTGTACGTGGCATGTTTACGGGGATGTTGAAAGAAATGTGAAAAGAATTTTTAATGGAAATGCTCATACAAAAAAAGTTTCGCGTATAATGCCTTCAAAGCGTGATCGAAGTGAAACCGAGACGCATACGAAGAAAAGTGCGGTTTCGGAGCATAATTAGATCCAATTTCAGGCCGTTATACGGTATGTTAGGAACACATGGTTAGTGGTGGCGCACAAGTTTGTGCGTGCATGGACCAACACTTATTTGCATTTTGGCAACACCACTACCTGTAGAGTGGAGAGCGCACACAAGTTGTTAAAGGAATGGCTCGTCATTCCAAATGCTTCTTTTGAAACGGTGTGGCACAGGGTTCACATGTTACTCGGAGACACGACTTACGCAAATAAGGTACAGCCTGTTGATCCCTTTTTAGTTAATTTGTGTGTTTAGGTTGTTTAATTAATTTTTTGAATTCTGTACAGGAGAAATTGCAAGAATCAAGGCGAGAAAATAGGAGGCAACACAACAAGTACCCTTTCTACCAATTAAGATGCAATGTTTCACACCACCGCTTGGATCTTTTGAAAAATGAATTAGAAAGGATGCAACAACTCGGAGATGATGTGTATTGGGAATGCAATCATTACAGAAACAAACTCATTCCATCCCTTGTGCATGTATACTTAAGCGTGTAATGGAGGCCAACGATATTTTAACTCCAAAATACTTACACCAATTTTGGAGCACACTTGACATCGGTGAGGTTACGAGAGAAGGATGGTTCGGATGATGTTCCTCCTCACGCATTGTTGTTCAGCCGATTAGTGGAAGAATTGAACGCTGCCGATGAGCCTATACAGCGCGAGATCACCAGATTGATGTACAACAAACTCCATCCGGGCCAAGAAGGATTAAATGAACCGCGGGTTGGAAAGAGAGGCAAGGGCGAGATCAAGAAGAGGGCATCTCTAAAAAAGGCAAGACAAACCGAATGTGTGGGCATACAGGACGGCAATCGTGGTGGCACGAATACCAGCGGTTCCAGAAATCGGGACGAACACCCATAGTTCCAGAGAGGGCATACGTCGGGAGTCAAGATCGAACAGAGGTCCGATATTACTTTCTCTTTTTAAATGTGTGATAAATTATTTTACTTTGTTACTTACCCATGCTACAACAGGTCCATGGACTGGGCAAGGTGAGACGAACAACAGCAGTTCCAGTAGAGGCAACAGGTCGGGTTCCGAACCACATGTCGGAGGTAAGTTTATAATTTATATTGTAATACATAATTCAGACTTAATTACTAATACATAATTCAGAAATAATGATATTATTTTACGTGGTTAAAGATGTTATGCAGACAGATTTTTTCCAGTTTAGCCACAAGAATAGGATTCCGCAGGTACTCCACAATCATGTTCAGTCATATCTTGATGTCGAGCCTGACGACAATTGTGGTTTCCGTGTCTTTGCGAGTTGCATGTTGGGCGGGCAGAATAATCACATTTTGTGCAGACAGATATGTTATGATGAGGTTATAAATAACCCCGCCTATATGGGAACATTTACGGGTATGCAACCAGTTTAATGTTGGTGAGCAATTGTCTTACTGTTATTTTTTTAAAAAAACTTTCATACCCGTGTCTTTGTGTAGGTGGGACAGATGGGCTGAGAGCCTAGAGCGTATACGGTGGACAGGCACCGCATTAGGTCACTGGATGTCGACAGATGACTTTTATCCCCTTGCTACATATTTCAATGCAGTTGTGTACTACCTCAGTACCCGCGGTGCTGAAAATCTAAACGGCTCATGTTGGACTGTGCTACCACTGAGCGCACGAGGCGGGGCAACAAGACCTGAGTTCCAGATAGTTATTTGCCACCTCAATCCTTACCAACACTTCATTCGACTCAATCTACAGGGTGATTTCCCGATTCCCCCCATTCACCTCAGTTGGAGGCATGATCGTGATAGTAGTGTTATTGGTTGGGATGAACCTTTTGAGTCCAGACTACAGCTATGGCGAACTTTGGTACCTCCGATAAGACCCACACAGGCATTTGAAGATCTGGGGTGATCTTTTGTGTATATATATATATATATATTTTTTTTTTTTGGAAATTGAAGCACAGATGGTGACGTAAATTAAAATTTAAATTGCAAACAAACATAAGTGCATATTGTTCATAAGTACGAATCATTGCATAATTGTACGTAATCATCATAAGTAGAATGTCATGGGGCTCGACTGCACGGAAGATGACATCATCCAGCGAGTATCCCACTTCTCACCTACACCCACATCGAGCTTCTTCAAATCATCGATGCAACCTCGAGTCAACTTCTCCATCTCACGCATCCACTACAAATGTTAAATCAAACCAAATTAATCCCTTAATGATAGTACATGTATTATTAAACAATGGGTAATTTTGTTGAGTTGAACTTACGTATGTGGTGCGGTTCTTCCCAGGATGCGTGATGTAGGCCGTGCGGACTCCGGCAGAAAAATGGATGTGAATGGCTCTGTGCAGTCGAGGTAATCTACAGTGCTGTCCTACCTCGGTGGACGATACGGCACACAATGACCGAGGCCGATGCACTCCGACTCCGAAATCTTACCCAACAGCTTACATGTCTCGGCACTAGGACGCTCAACAAAATACTTGTGCGCATTTCTCCCGCGAAACCGAGTAACCGGTGTGAGCGGCGCACGAGGTATGTACGCACATAACCGAGCCGGCGTAGCACTCTCTCCGGCATGTATGGCTCCCGGAAGTCGTGGTACATAATCCACCCACCGAAGATGGTCCTGGGATGTCTTTGCACTGATTGCGACCAAATGGCTCCCATTCGACTCGCAAACGTTAGCAACATTTATTATAGTGTAAAAATAAATACCCCTTACGTAATATACGAAAATGAAATATAAAGTGTACCTCTTGCTCGGTCATCGCGTCGAGCTGCGTACGAATCTGCTGAGACGACTATGAATAGGCCTCGGCCCCTTATAGCTAACAGGGGTCCAGTCTCGGGCTCTGGGCCAACCAACAACACCTCGACGTCCTCGCCTCTTGGAGGGCTGGAAGCATGGAAAATACTCATATATCCATGCCTGGAGAAGGGTCATACAACCAGCCATCGTGGTACACCCCGCTCGACTAGCAATACCAAGCTGACGGTAGAGGAATGCTAGTGTACCGGATCCCCAGGAGTACTCTCCAATATTGTCAATACCTCCGTGCAGCTCGGTCATAAGCGAAGCACCGATCCCGCCCCACTCCCGTCAAGGAAGAGTGTCGAGGCTAACAAGATCCACACCCAAGCTTGCACTGAACAATGGGAGGACCCTACGACAACACTCCTCAATCAATATGTCGCTCACACCTCCGTGGCTCCATGCACGCTTTAACTCAGCCAACGACATCTCAAGCAATCCTGCGACCTGCATCTTCAAAATCTCACCTTCCGCATGTTGGATCAACAAGTCACCATCAAGGGGAATCGCCAAAATGTGTGCCACATCATGCATCATAATGGTCATCTCCCCAAACGGCAAGTGGAAAGAGTTTGTGTCGGGCTGCCACCTCTCTATGAAGGCAGAAACAAGCGCAAGGTCGATGTCATCATACATGGTATCAATGAGATGATACAAACCGGTATGCTGAATCTGCAACTGTGCGTTCTCCGGCAACCTCGCATACCATCCATGCAATCTAGACAAACTCTTCTTCGCTGGCTTAATGGTAAGGTAATCTCATGGTTCTCCATTCCACAACTGATAAGCAGTGTGTCCAAGAAAACTAGGAATCATTGACCCATCACATGGCCCGCCAGGTACGTCGTCTGTCACAACCCAATCATCAATTTCTTCGGTAGAAACCTTAGACCGTCTGTTAGTACCTGAAACCCGAATAACGAATAGTGTATAAATACTTTATCGAATGCAATTAAGAAATTGACCAAACAGTAATGAATGCTTAAATTATTACAAATACGTACCTGATGACGATGCATGCTGAAGAGTAGTACTCTGACCTCGCCCAAGAGTAGTACTCTGACCTCGCCCAAGAGTACTCTGTAGACCGGGACGAACACTGGAACCACCAGGAGTGTAAGCTGAATTCAGGGCCGATAATCCAACAAGGGTCTTCCCCCCCCGGGTAGGGTGAACTAGAGTCTGATCAACAGTACGACCAATGGGGTTCAGTACTGAGGTATCTCCAATCCGTATATCCCTCCTCTCATACGAGGAAAACGAGGATGTGTCATCCTCCTCAGCCACATCGTCCCCCCCACTCTCATAACTATCCTCTGCTGAATCCTCTCCCTCAAAATCATCATCATCATCGTCTACGTTGGCTGACTCACCAACTGGGCCAAACGTAGGATGTACATTTTTCACTTTCTTTAACTTTTTTTCTTTTTCTGCTCGATGTTCGGCATACAGATTGCGCGTAACTGCATGCCGATGCCCAGATCCCTGAAGAGGCGATATCCCATCCTACAACAGTTTCAAATTTTACACGTAACTTAGATTAATTAGTTTAATACAATTTTATATTATTCAAATATGTAATTATAATATTATCTACTCTACATCTAAAGTGTTCAATTTATTAATAATATCTACATATTTATTTTTTCTTACAACTACATAAATATTTCTTATTAACCCTAATTATCTACTAACCTCCTGTATTTTTTTAATTATAACTTATTTATTTAATTTTCCTATACTAAATATTTAATTTTTTAGCCTAATTATATTAATTATACCGACTAATCCAATAAATATATTTTCTATAATTATATTAATTATAATAACTTTCATAATAATCCAATTTAATTTACAAACCGTTAAACTCCCTAAAAATATAATTAAATTCCTAAAACTATAAAAGTATTATAACTATTCTATTTACTGAAGATTAAACCTATACTAAATTAAAACTACAATTGAATTCCAAAATAAATTAGACTAATAAAAATAACTAATTAATTTCACTAATAACAAATAATTAAACTAAATTTCATAAGACAAACATTTACTAATAGTAACAATTAAATAATAATTAAATAATTAAATAATTAAATATAAATATAAATATAAATTAAGTAACAAAAAAAAAAAAAAAAACCGGCCAGCGCCGGTTTTTCTCGCCAGGCTCAACCGGCCTGGCGAGAATATTCTTCGCCACCCCATCTTCCGGTGGCGAAGAAACCGGCGCCTCAACTGCCCCGGCCGGCGAGGGAGAACCGCGCCGGGGCAAACAGAGCTGGCGCCGAGATCTGCGCTAGCTCTGTAAGGGGTGGCGAAGATTTTGCGCCACCCTCACAGAGTGGCGCAGATCGTGCGCCCGCCTCTGCTTGCCCCGGCGCGTTCTCTCTCGCCGCCGGCAAGTGGAGTTTTTTTTTTTTTTTCCAAAATAAACTTTAAAACAATTCAAATTCAAATTTACGTACCTTTAGTTTGCGTAGCTCATTTCGTAGCCGTTTAATTCGATCCCCCATTAAATTAAAGATTTTTAGGTATTTAGATTGAGAGAATTTGAAATGAAAGATTGATTTAGGAATTGAAAGAATGAAATTGAAACTCTTTATTTATAAATTCATGTAAAGGGCAAAATGGTCATTTGGTATTTATTTAGGGCGTTGAAGGGAGATTTTTAGGGCGTTTAACAGCCTGCCAGAAAATAAAAGTGAACTTTCTCGTCACACCTTAAAAAATCGTAAAAATAATACAAACAATAAATTTTGACTTCTGTGATTTTTCTCATGGGTTTTGCTAAATATACTAACAACACAACGCAGGAAAAAAAATTACATATAATACTCCCTCCGTCTCATAATTATTGTCCAGTTTGAGTTTTCATTTCTAGTTCAAATTGTACTAAAAATGAAATCTCAAACTGGACAATAATTTTAAGACAGAGGGAGTAATATTTATAATGTACTACCAAAACTTGAGGGAAAATTTAAAAGACATCATTTGAAAATATATATATATATATATATATATATATATATATATAAAACTTAATGGCTGAATTTTTTTTATAAATTTTTGGACCACATCTACTTCTAGGTCGCATCCTCCAAACTGAGGATAAAATGAAGTTTCCCGTATCATGTTTGGAGTTTGCAACCTACATATTGTTCATGAAATATTCAAGTGATCATTTATTCTACCACCATCACAAGATAAAGAAAAATGATATAAAACAATAGATTTGCTTAACGGCTTTTTTTTTTTTAACAAGATGAAGAACTTGATGCGAATAATTTTTACAAAAAGTAAAAACTTTGAAATTGATTCTCAAACATCAAATACTTACAAAACAATAATACCAGAAACACTTATGGCAAAAAAACAAGAAAAGGATTTTGTTCTTTGTCGACTCTATCGTCGGCTTATCTAAAGAGATGAAAAAGTCGACGCAGAGAAATTTCCGAAAAAGCAAACATTTTGTGAGTTTTAATTAATTACTAAATAATAATAAAATAAAAATTATTATGAAAATGATGCAAAAACAATTGATATCCCCCTCCCCCAATTTAGTTGACTTTCTTGTCATTTTTCAAAGTAGATCAACAAGTAGACACGAACGATTTGAATAAGTAGTTTGTGACTTTTTGGAATTCGTCGATTTTCTCATCAATTTTGTTAGAGAGACGAGAAAGTCGACACACAATTTGCAGAAAATAAAAGAAATGAATACTACTTGTTGTAGGCCATGTTAATACTACTTGTTATAGCACTATCATTTAGATAGCCTTCACCAAAATCATTAGTATCTTTTGGATTCAAGCATGTGCGAATTAGGAAGGCATTCAAGTGTGAAGAAGAAGCATAACAACCTCCTTAGTTCTCCCATCCCCACCCCACATGGCGGGCATATGGTCTTAACTTTCCAGTGATGATGATTGATGATCTTCAACCCGGATCATTTCCCTAACTCAAAGTTAGCCCACCCATTCCACCATTTTTTTTCAGCAAAAAAACCAGCTCATGCACCAGCTTTCCTGCGAGCAACAACAGCAATATAACCTGCCTTGATTGGTGCCACTGACCTTCCAGACCCACACTACAGCACAGCAAACATATCAGTACCCCCCGCGAAAATGTATTATATCAACAGATTAAGAACTAAGGCAGGTGCCAGTTATGGAGGAAAACACCACTTGAAACAAAAGGGAATAAGAATGTATACCTTCTCACACCGAAGGAAGAAAATCCTTCCATCCTTTGAAAGGGTTGTATCTGGATTTTTGTAGCCATTACAGGTGACATATCCATCTGCATACAGACAATATCATCAACAAGTTCTTGGAAGTTTGGAAACCGGAAGGTAAACAAGTTCTCAAGTAAAAGCCACAGGATAAACCAAGGAAACAAGAATGATTTTACAACATCCACCAAGCTAACGATAAACAAATCAATCACTATTTATAGGTTCCACACTAGCAATTAATGACACTAACAAAAAACAACAAATTTCAGGATATCACCGAACAAATGCTGATTATTCGTAAAGCATTAGAATATGCCAATTTATTATAAGAACTTACTGACGTATCGACACAGAATACTCTCCAAGTCTTTTGGTGCAAATCTTCCTTTAAACACTAGCCGTTGTTGACCATCAAGGGACACACTTGTTCCCATTTCAGCCAAAAAAAAAAAACACATGACATGCGCCGGCTGCCTAAGCATCCTATAAGACGTCAATAAATGGGGAAAAGAATTAGCAAATGTCATAATATATCCTGTGTTGGAAGAACCCTTGAAACTAAACAAAGGGAAAATTAATAGAACTATCAGACCACACAAATCTTAAAGAGAAATAGAAGCTAAACCAGACTTATATATAACAGTTCCGAGACCAAGATATCATGGAACTCAATTGCATTGGAAGGCAAAGACGCGATATATGCAAACAAAATATGATTACAAGCAATCAGATTGAAGCAACTTGCACACATATCTCAATTTGAATGTACTCCAAGCGACAAGAAAAAGAAGACAGCTGCAGAGGAAACGATACATAAGACTTCATATTGGACCACATGCAATACCAACTAGAAAATAGAACATACATATTGCAGAAGTCCATGAAATTGACAAATGTAGTTTTCTTAGTTCCTTCAGGAAGAACTTGAGGCCTCATGACTGTCCTGCACTTATCTCCTCATACTCATAATCACTTAGAGTCCCATCCCAAGGATATTGTTGCGAAACAATGCTTGGAAAACTATTACCACACGAGCACAAATCGGTAAATTCAAAAGCCCACTTGGAAACCTTACCAAAATGAATGGAAGAAAAAACGAAAAGGACAAAAAAAAAAGAAAAAAGACCCATAATAATAAATCTCTAAATCTACGAAATACAAATAGAACGGGAATCTCATTCCTGGGGCGGATGAATTTACCTGAAAATCAGATGGTGAAAGCTCCTTCACTGGCTCTGTTGTCTTTGATTGGTGACTCTCTGTAATTTGCCGCTGATGTGATGATGTCTTTCTGAATGCGATGAAGTATATATATGATCATTTATATATAGCTGCTGAAGCTGAACAATTAGGAAGCACCCTTAACCAGGAGTTTCGATTCAATCTCCTTATTCATCAGTTAAAATACGGCTTCGGTTAAGAAACTGGAGAACACTTTTTTCTTTGCTTGCCGTATACTCCATCAACTATTTGTTACCTGAGACGCTATATCATCTAGATTTACATAACCAATCTCGTTGTCATTTTACTGGAAACAAATACCAAGTTAATAAATTGAAACTTATTTTTTTAATACCATGAATTAATAACTGTTAAAAATGGTACAAAACCCCTTCGTCGGCTTCAGGAGTTACAAAAAGAAAAAAATGAAATTTTAGAGGCCGTCGACTTTTGCGTCGGGATAAATATCTCGACGACATAGTCGATGGGGGTGTTGATCTCTCTTTTTTTAATTTTTCGGATTTTTGAAGACGTGGTTTCACCGTTTCAAACAGCGACTTCAGCATTAAAGCTTCAAATGTCCTCGTTCGTCGACCTTGTCATCGATGTAATCAACTTGACGAAACAGTCGACGTCACAGTTTTATTTTAATTTAGTTATTTGTTGTTTGTTTTCTTCTCTTAACTAAATTTTTTCTTTACATTTTTTAAATTTCTCAACTATTATATTTAGTTTTTTTCATTAATTTTTAATTGTATCTATGACAAAAAAAAAAAAAACAAACTAGAGTTATCTTTTATTTACTTGTATATCAAAGTTTCTAAGTAGACCACGGCACATTTAGCGCCAAGAATTTTCAAAATTATACTATGTTTCAATATTTAGATTTTTTTTGTAACGGAATCTGAGATTGCATTTAGGGCCTGTTTGGTTGCTTGAAAAGTTGAGAAAAGTAAAGTGAACATTCCTGAGATTTTAATTCAGAAAAAAATTAATATTTTACTTTACTTTATCATTCTTAAGAATATGATTCTGGAACGAATTTAAATACTTTCCTATGTTTGGAAAATAGGCTTGAAAGTGAGTTTTTTTTAATCTTTTTTTGTCGTCTATAAACCTCCAACATGCCGGTTTTGAATTTCATTTCAAAATCTTGAAACTATCCATTCAAAATCTAACTACATGAACAACATTAAATATATGTTTGTAGGTGTATAATTATATAATTTAACAAAATTCATATAACTTTTAGCTAGATGAATCAAGTTAAAACTTTATTAAATATGATCGGCTTAAATTTTGACGTTAGATATATTTATCATAGCCATTTTAATATTATAAGTTATTTAATGAAACTTGATTTTCTTTTTTTAAAAAATTATAAATTTATTTATCTAACATTTATACATGAATGATCAATAATTCTTTTTTTTTCAAAAAAAAAATTTATATTGATAAATAGTCTAATTTTATGTGGCCAATCAAGTATTTTAATCATTAATAATTAATAATGTAAAAAGATCATTGTTTCTTTGCTAACTACTATTAGAAATATCATTACAAGAAAATAAGACTCATCAGTATAATTCATGTTGTAAACTAAATTAGACTAAGTTAATTTTTAAAGAATTTTCAAAGTCAATGTAAGCTCTTTTAAATTAAATCATTTAATTACTAAATAAATAATTTGTTAATTTTTTTCAAATTGAGAATTTTGATATATTAATATTATGGTAATTTTAAAATTAAAAAATAAAAATACATTTTTTAAATCAAAATTAATTTATAGATAATTTTATATTGGACAATATAAATTAATTATAGTGACTAATTTATCTGATCAAATAAGTGTCAATTTGAAAATAGAATATGAGTAAATTAAAAAATAAACGATTAGTATGAAAAAAAAATGGTATGAAGATTAGACAAAAAAAGATGTATAAAAGTTTAGAGTCCAAAGAAAAGTAAAAAGAATAACAGCTTTTAGGTAGGTAATCACAATCGTGTAATCTTGCACTTATTTTACTTGACTTTCTTGACTTTAGAAATCTTTTATACTTTCCTATAACTAAACAAACATTGGAATTTAATAATTAGGAAAATGATTACTTTCTTGAACAAAACAAACATGAAAATTTAAAAACAAGGAAAAAGATTACATTTTCACTAATTCCAAGACAACCAAACATGAGCGTAGTGTTTAGTCGATTTATAGCCGACTCCTTTGTCGGTTTTACATGGAGGAAGAAAACGTTGAACCCAACAAAAATTTAGAGAAAAAGAAAAAAAAGAAAAAAAATGTATGGCTTTGTCATGTTCCTCTTCTCGTAACATATTTCACCCACCAAGTGATGAATAATATGCAAAGCACATCAATGGCTTGTAACCAGCCAACATTGTAAAGGTAAATATTCCCCCATGAGGTGAACCTTCGAAGGAAAATTCTCTCAATTGGGACAGGTCTTTTTCTGCTTTTAGTCGCAGATAAGATTTGAAGAAGAAGGAATTATTGTACGTACTTTGACTGGCAAGTCAAAAAAAAAAAAAAAATACACGCTCCAATGACGCGTTTTCTTATTGAGTTCTGATCGATATAAACAGGGGCGACCGTTTGTCTTCTTTCCATCCATCAACGAAATGCAAGAATACTGAAACTAATTAGTATCAATTTTGACTCATTTAATCATCAATGGCTTCATTTCCCCTTGTTTTCTTGCTCTTATTCTGCTTCCGTATTGCAGAATCTGCATACATTGGAGAGATTATCACTTCGTTTTGTAATGAGAACTCCACCTTAGCAAGTGCTCAAATGTCAGCAAACATCGATGTGGTGTTGGCTCAATTAGACGCAAACACTGCTAAAAATGATGGGTTCAGCATTTCCACTTATGGCCAAGGTAAAGACACGGTTTATGGGTTGGGACAATGCAGAAAAGATGTAAATTCATCTGCTTGTTCCACCTGCATTCATAATGCAGCTGGTTATATTCGTCAGAGTTGCTATTACTCCGCTAATAGCACCGACGAAAGGATTTATTACGATAGTTGCCTTTTGAGGTATTCTGATCAGAAATTCTTGGGAATATTTGATCCATCTATCTATATCAACTTGCCCTATGGTGACAAGGCTCACAAGGTGAATAAAAACCCCGAATTCTTCCGGAAACAAGTCGGGATTCTGATGAACGACATCATTTCGCAAGCGATTGTGCCGGGTAATAAAGGGTTCTTCGGCAAAGGAAGCATTGCGATATCGGCATCTGAAACTGTTTATGGAGTGGTTCAGTGCACTCAGGACGTGTCAACCAGTACTTGTTCAACTTGTCTGAATACAGGACTTTCTAATTTTCCCAAACTCTGCAGGAAGCTGAAAACCACGGGATGTCGGATTCAATATGGCAGCTGCTTTCTGCGTTATGAAACCGATCCGTTTTAAAAGTGTTTTTTCTTGATTGATTTAGAAGAGCACATTTTTCGTTCTGAGAGAGAATGCTGTTACTACTTGTGATGTTGAAGAACACACAATGTTGGAAACTAAACTCATCAATGCGACTTTCTTAAGTATTGACTTTCGTTTTATCTGAGAATACTCTTCTGTTTGGAGGAGCGGAATAAATTTGCTTTCGACTTCAGAAAATTTGATGCACACCACTACATCTGTGGTTTTGAGTTTTTGACCCGCGCGCACGCTCAAAATCGTAGAGCTGCTTGAGGGCTGGAGGCAAATAAACTCTTTACTGCCTGATTCCAACCATTTTTGATAATCACCATATCATTTGAGGCTTACGATAAAGTCGCAATTTAAATGGCACAACCAAAATCGCCTCAAAAACAGATTTATTATTTCTTCACGGGGGCCGAAAAATCAAGGCATGAAATTCCAAATTGCCTATTAAAATCATCCTATAAGTCTGTTGGTGCTTCCAAATTGTGAACTGTATTCAACCAACTCGGGCGTCCATGTGCGATTTCGGGAACACATTTCAATTTTCAAGTTCCAACTCTCTGAAGAACAAGGCACAAATTCCAGTTTTCTTCTTTCTCTTAATTCCTGCCCTTTCCTTTCTGAAATCTCTTATCTTCTCCTCCGATTCAGTCGCCGGATCTCCGGTAGCTGACCCAAGAACCTTGCGAGTGTTTTTCATAATCGCCCAAAATAAGAGATCATAACCACTCCCGGAGTCCGGACCTACGACGCGCAAGAAAACTTGTCGGCGAAGAAGGTAAGTCATCTGGGGTTCTTCGTCGAACTAGGGTTTCCTTTTTCTTCTTTTATTTGGGTCGAACTCTTGCTGAATTATATAGTTTAACAATTGACTAACATATCTATGGTAATTGGATACTATTCGGAAAATCAGCTCTGTTTTTTCTTTTTTTTTTTTCTGATTTTGTTTGTTTTGCTCGGATTGAAGGTGAGAACGAACGATTGATACAATCTCGGATCGACCTTACTATGGGCGAAAAGGTGAAAATTTAGTATTCTCTTCTCTTCTCTAAACTAGATCTTGTTTTGCTGCTTCAATTTCCTTTTTGAATTTCCATTATATAAATCTTCGCGCAGATTTTTTCAGAATCGTCTGCCGGAGATGGTACTTTCTTCCGTGAACACTAAGTATACTTGAGTTAGAAGTGGTTTTACCTGCAATCTAAGAAAGAAAGAAGATTTAACTGTTGTAATTCATGTGGACATTGTATTTGTTATAGTGCTCGGAATTTGAACTCATGGAGGGGAGAAAACCTTCTGTTGCAGAAGCATCCAAGTTGCTCGCTGATTACCTGTCCCTTCATCCTGACAGCGATGATAGTTTCTCACTTGGAATACTGATCGCTGGGTGGGATGACGAATCGGTAAACATCAGAATTCTCTTTTCTTTTTGAGTTTCCCTATTACTCTTATTCAATTGACTCATGGTTTGTCTCTCTTGCGGTAGGGACCTGCCCTGTATAAAGTGAACAGTCAGGGAAAACTGCTTAAAGACTCGGTGGTTGCAACTGGATGTGGTTCACCTACCTGTGGTTATTTTGATTAGTATGTCTCTCCCTACTTTGAGTTTGTAAACATGGTCGTTGCCCTCGTTGCTTTAGTACTTAGGAATTGATGCTTGGCCTTCTTTATGCATAGACACTACATTTAAATTGTTCTAATTTCTGTTGGGTTCTAATTTTATTCAGATCGGGTTTCTTGTATTGCACATGATTTTACTCGATTCTTTAAGAACTTTTTTTTTTCCTGGTTTTCCTATAGTCCCATGTTCGATGTCAAGGGCGCATCTGGGAATAAAGCTTTGGATTTGGCCAAAAGAGCACTTTGTATTGCTTTGTATGACGTGCATGAAAGTTTGCATCACCGGTAAGTTTGTGATGTCCTCCCCCCCCCCGGCCACTTTCAATTTTACACGTTATGTATACTTGAAGATTGGCCGGATGGTCGATTCTGACATTTTACCTCTCTACATCCAATTTTTAATAGTTCACTTCGTTCAACTAATTCGGTTCCACAAAGTGGACTGCTGATTAGCGTGTTCTTTTTTCCTGTATGTAAGTCTTCCATGTTGGACGAAATGGGACTCAAGTGGCTGGTCACGAATGATGATGTAGAAAAATTGCAAAAGCAGTACTTCAGTGAAGTTGAGCGACATTGGGTAGGCCGGCGTAGACACAGCAATTTCGGGCTGAGATGGTTCAAATGGCTCGTAGTCGTAAATTTCACCGAATCTGTCAAGCGTAAGCCTCGAAGTATGGAAAGTGCTGTCTGATTATAAAAGCTGAAGAGTGATTCACGTTGTCCTATGCCTCCTTTTCTGGATCAGAGGGATTTCTAGATTGTCAGTTTTGTGTTTAATTCCCTTGGTGGTTTTCTTACTTTTGGTTATTGTATCTATACATCGATGGATTTATATTTGTGCTTTGGTTAGAGCTGTCCAGTCAGAGTGCTTTGGTTAGAATCGTATCTATAGACCAATCTATGTATTTATCTTTATGTTATGGTTATAGTTGTCCCGTAAAAACTCCAGAAGTGAATTTTCAGTGAAATGCTGAATTGTTGAAATTCAACTGATTCTGGCTATGGTTGGACAAGGTTTTAAAAAGTGTGGTGCGGCAAATAGTGAATTATATCCCAGACTTTGACTGAGGTTCCAATTTTATAATCAATGCACAGAAATAGTTTTACATTCAAAGGCTCCATAATTATCAGTTCAGTTGTTTTTGCCTTGAAAACAATAATCATGGTAAGTTCATTTTTGAATCTAGCGTTGCTTTAGCTGTTGCATATTTGATTCTATATTCCCCTACAAACTTTCTTTATCCTGTTGAAAATTTGATGCCCAACTTCGGTATTTTGATTTTTGACCAAGTTAATCACTATGTCCTTTGTAACAATCCATTTCCCCCTGTTGCATATGCTCAAAATCGTAGCGCTGCTTGAGATAAATAAACTCGTTACCACTTGATTCTAACAATTATTGATAATCACAATATCATGTGAGACTTACGAAAAAAATCAAAATTTAAATGGCACAACCAAAGTCATCAGTATGACTTATGCGCCCAAAAAAAAAAACAGATTATTTTCTTGATGGGGACAACAAATCAAGGAATGAAATTCCAAACTGCCTATCAAAATCATCCGATAAGTCTGTTGGTGCCTACAAATTGTGAATTCTATTCAAACCACTCGGGCGTCCATGTGCGATTTTGGAACACATTCAAGTTTGAACTCTGAAGAACAGGCACAACTTGCAAGTTCCAATCCCAGCCCCCCGACCCACATGGAAATATAGTGTCTGTAATTTGTAGACTTAAGTGATCACCAACTGTTCCTTTAACTGGTTTATTTGCCTTAATTTCAATTGTTTACTTTGTTTTTAATTTTTTCAAACAGAGACCTAGGGTGTAACCTACTAGACATAACCCTCGATTTACAATACAATGATCGTGCATAAAACTTATCCAAATACAGGTTTGCTTTAACCTATACTTCCGAGCAATTGAAGAGGAAAGAAAATGAGTACATTAATTCTTATAGCATTACCTTACACTAGAATCCTAATATAATTCCTAGAAAGATATGTGACATTGATCGCGATAAATATGCACCTTGGAGAATTAATTAGCCTAACATATCCAAATGGTGGATGGTTTCATTAATTGGTGTGTAATGTGTATAAGTGTGAAATCAAACAATATTCTCCCTCTTCAAAAGAAGACAGTTTTAACAAGTGGATATCCTCATGAGCTCGGCGTTCCCTCATGATCTAGAGTAACAGAATCAGTCACCTACTACGAAGATGTTTATACAAGATACTAACTAGGATTTCATTCTAGAAACTTAAGAAAGTTTAGTCTTCGGAAAAAAGCTGTCATGCGGAATTGAGAGCGATCCTATTAGCAATGAAAGCCGCCAAGGAGTTGGGAATCGCCAAGTTAATATGCGAGTCTGACTCACAAGAGGCTATTGATCTGATCCTAAAGATAAAGGATCGACCAGAGGTGCCCTTGGACCCAGAGCTAAGAGGGATCCATACTCTTTTGCACACTAATTGGGACGTATGTTTTGTACATACATTTAGAGATAACAACGCTTGTGCCGATGCCCTTGCTTAAGGCGGCACTCGAAATGGAGAGGGGCTTATATTCTTTTGATGTTCCCCAAGTAGTATTACTATTTTGCTAGAGAATGATTGTATAGGGTCATCAACTAGTTGTACTATGAGGCGTTAGCCTTCTGTTGATGTTGTTCACCAAAAAAAAAAGAAGAAAAAAGCTGTCATCTACATATAATTGTCTCTAAATGCAAAAGGATAAAAATGATTTTGTCAAACAGGAAAATGCTAAAATCGAACGTCTCTTTTCGAAGAAAAACACCACCTTGGACAAGCATTAGAGAAGGATGAATGATTAAGTCAACGCCTACCAAGCAGGCAAACATGATACTCAAGTCAACAAAATCTGCCACTTTCATCATCGTACACTAATTCATCATGAAAATATCTTACTGTATTAACTCTCTCCATATATCTCTCTACTCCCTATAAAAATAAAACCTGCATTGAGTTCTTCAATTCAAGATATTACCACAAAAATATGGCTTTCTATCACCACATTCTTCTCTTTCTCATCATCTTTAGCTTCACAGCTGACTCCCAAGAGCTCTGGAGTGAAAGCTGCAATGCCAATATCCCAGTAAAAAAAAACACTCCATTGGATTCAAACATCAACACTTTGATAACTCAACTCGTATCAGGCACAACCAAAAATGGCTACATCGCCACCTCCTACGGTGCATCAAACAACCAAGTTTACGGTCTCGCGCAATGCCGGGCGGATGTGACCGGGACTAATTGCTCGAGGTGCATTCGAGATGCCGCGGATAAAATCCGCCAACTCTGCCCGGATGGATCAATTGCCGGCGTATTGTACGACGATTGCCTTTTGAGGTACGACACGAGCAAATTTGCGGGACGACTCGACACGTCGGACGGGTCGTATGTTTACAATGTTGAGAATGTGACTGATCCTGATTCATTCAACAAGAAGCTCAAAATCTTGACGGGACAGATCAGTTCTGAAGCTGTTAAGCCTGGAAACAGAGGATTTGGCAGGGGAAAGATTGGATTGACAAAATCAGAGAATATATACGGATTGGTTCAATGCACGATGGATTTATCACTGGCTTCTTGTAAACGGTGCCTGGATACAGCAGTTGGGGACTTAACCAACTTCTGCCCGGATAAGAAGGGATGTCAGGTTTTGTATAATAGCTGCATCCTCCGTTATGAGCTATACTCCTTCTTCTAGTCATCTCTTCATGCCAGAGAGCTATCATTATATCAGTTCATGTTCCCCTGAAAAACCCTCCCTAAGTTATATTTACTGTATGCATGATTTATGAATAAAATCAGTTCCGTGGTGAATGGCATTATGAATTCAGGGCACTTTTCCGTACCTTTTTCTGTGTGTTTTTTTGTTTTTTTGTTTTTTGTTAGGTTGAAGGGCAGCCTTTTGTTCACTTGTGTTTTTTAGCTGTGATACCGTTGTTTCATGTCATATCCTTATATTTACTTCAGTACTTACAGAGATTATCACTTCGTCTCCTCATGATACTAGTCCCTCTGTCCCAAAACGATTGTCAAGTTTGAATTTTCACTCGTAGTACAATTTGAATGAAAAAAGAAATTTCAAACTAGACAACCATTTCAGGATGGAGGGAATAAAAGATACAGCTGTAAGTTCAGAACCAAAATGTAAGTTGAAATCTTAGGTTGATTGCAACTGAGAAGGAACACTAATCCGGTGCTTCCCACCCTTAATCAATGCATGCAAGCTACGATCTAACAGAGGAGATTGGCGGGAAAACTTGTCTGGAAGCATCACAAAAGTCAACTTCCGATTTTTAATGTCTAATTAAGCTGTAAACAGTAGAAAGTTGTGTAGATTCTTTTACTGGGATGATCAGAACCTGATATGAGTTATGGATGTAATATAGACTAGTTTATCATTTAGTTAATTCACTAGACTGGATAGAAATAAGTTTTCCTCTCCCACCAAGAAATTCTACAGATTCTTTTCTTCTTCATTCATTTTCCATGGATCCAAGCCGGTGATCTTAATATACCTTTTTCCTATTCAATTCCTTTAATACACAAAACAAGTTAAAAGTTCCCCTAATCTCTCGTTTGTCATTTTCACTAAAGTTGTAGTAGTTCTTATTCCACTGGGAAAGTAAGTCTCAGTTGCCACAATTCTTGTGCTGGATAACGAGAGATGAAAGGAAGGAAGGATTTGGCTATCTTAAGTCTGTGCTTTTTCCTTCTCATTAAAGTACCACCTGAGTTGAACAATTGTCAGTGTGATTTATGCATTAAACTCAAGTGCATCAAATGTTCACTTGAACTGGATTATTTGTTCAACTTTTTACTACGTTAGCTTGCCTAACTTATTTGTGTGTGTATCCGTGTGAACTTCAATAAATTTTTTACAAAAACAATTCCCTCATAACCTGGGCGTTCTATAATATACTCCTTCCGGTCCTTGTTATAAGGAATTTTGAGTTCGTCCTAGATTTCATCTAGGATTTTTTTTTTTTAACTGAAATAAAAATCTTAAAAACATTCCATAATAATTAAGAGAACACAACGAATGTAAAAATATATTTTTTTAAGATTTTATTTCTAATGAAAAGAGTACATCCTAAATTAAACCTAAGACGAAATCAAAATGTCTTATAATAAAGACGGGAGGGAGTATAATCCAATGGTGGTACTTCGGTAGCTTCGTTGAAGAAACTTGAGTAAACTTTTCCTTTGCTTAAAGAATTATCCCTTTTACCCTATTAAAGTAGAAGACATGAAGCTTATGTGGTAATTACGTATGCATCTGTTTTGGCTCCAATTTCAGATTTCAGATTTCAGGAGTCTTTTTGCTTATATTTCAGATTTCAGGAGTCTTTTTGCCACGTGTAAGTCTCTTTTAATTAGAAGCTATATAATTCTTTTTTTTAAAAAAAAAAACACATGTTTTAGATGTGACACTTATCCAATGAAAAAATTCTACAAATAAGAATCAGTTACATTTCAAACGAATGGATATATTAATTCAAATTCAAATGTCCAATCGTACAGTTTTGCAGGCTTAATATAAACAAAAACTAAAAAACTTAAATCCAGTAATTAAGAATAATGCATTATAAATTAATTATTTATTATTCCCTTATAACCTCAGATTTATAGGTATATTTTTTTAAGCCCCAAACCATAGCATAAATGATATATACGCCAAATTAATTCCTCAAAAAAATAGTAATTCAATTAGATTTTAATAAAATAGTAATTTAGAAGGGACGCCCGGGCATCTGCCTGGGCCAAACATCTAGTTATCCTTAAAGAATTGAATCCGTAGCGACCCGCAATATGTTTTTAACAAGAAGATAAGGACCGAGTTTTCATTCTAGAACTCATTTGACTGAAAGGATGATTTTGTCAACGTTTTTACCTGGCAAACATCATGCTGAAGTCAACAAAGTCTGCCACCTTCATCAATATCCTACGTTAGAGGTAATCTCCTCTTAAGAGCAATACTCAATTCTATAAAAGGCTAGCCCTAGAAACAGAAATGAATCAAGTACTTCAATTCAAGATATTATACCAACATGGCTTTCTTTCACCATTTTCTTCTCTTGCTAGTCATCTGCAGCTTCACAGTTGAATCAGCTGAGCTCTGGACTCAAAGCTGCAATGACAACTCCATCACAAACAGCACTCAGATATCATCCAACATCGATGCATTGCTGGTTCAACTCGTATCGGGCACTATCAAAAACGGCTACATTACAACTTCTTACGGTAAATCAAACTACAAAGTTTACGGTCTCTCGCAATGCAGAGCGGATGTAAGCCGAACCACTTGCTCGACTTGCATTCTCGACGCAGCGAAACAAATTCGCCAACTCTGCCCGAATCAGGCCGGCGCAAGCATTTGGTATGACGATTGCTTTCTCAGGTATGACACGAGAAAATTCGCGGGACAAGTCGACACGACGGTCGGGATTTATTTTTACAATGTTGAGAATGTGACTGATCCTGATTCTTTCAACAAGCAACTCGAAACCTTGACAGGACAGATCAGTTCTGAGGCAGTTAAGCCTGGAAACAGAGGATTTGGCAGGGGAAAGATTGGATGGTCAAAATCAGAAGATATATACGGATTGGTTCAATGCACAAGGGATTTATCACAGGCTTCTTGCACTCAATGCCTGGATACAGCAGTTGGGAATTTACGCAATTTCTGCGAGGATAAAAAGGGATGCAGAGTGCTGTACAACAGCTGCATACTTCGTTATGAGTTATATTCATTCTTCTAGTTGATTTCCTCTTCATTGCCAGAGTTCTTAAAAAAGTGTATCTGTATCTGTATTCCATAAGAATTGGATAGTTTATATATGCATGAATAAGATCAATTCTGTAAAATCTAGTTGCACAGGGATAATAATGTAACAGAGAAACTGAATTTGCTGTGGGTTTACCTTTTTTTGTAACTGCTCATTTTGAATCTTTGGTTGATTTTTGTTTGTTTACATATTGCAATATCTTAATTAGACAAGTTGATGAATGACGATCATCATTCGTCATGGTAGGCTGGTTACTTATGATGATAATAAAATTAGAGTTTCCCTTTCATTTCAAAAAGTTGCACAAACCTTGTTATGATCTTTTAGGTCGCAGGCCACACCCATCATCGTTGATGCTTCTTCAATGATGACAGATGATCAGTTCTATTTTATTTAGAATGCTGTAATGCGGAAGAAGAAATATACTTTCTCTGTCTCAAAATTATTTTCCAGTATGAGTTTACATTGTTAGTTCAAATAGTACTAGAAGTGAAATCTCAAACTGGACAATAATTTTAGGATGGAGGGAGTAATTGAAAATGCACATATAATACCAAACATGAAGTTCTACCCTGAAATCGCATCGAATCGGTATGTGCTCCTTTTTCTAAATTTTCTTCTATTTATTAATCTACGATTTACATTTCTAAAAGAAATAGTTTATACTATCATTCTCTCTGTGCGCTATAAATTACACCCTACGATCCAACCCGACTGTTGCTTGTGAAGAAATACATATATATATATATATTCTGTAAAAAATGAGAGAGTATTAATATATTCAGAGATTGCAGCTTGCAAGCTAACAAGATTCTATTTTTGCTGGATTACTCTAGAAAGTGAGAGTGAATGGAGTTGGAATGGAGTTGGGCTAATTCGATCTGTATGCTCTGTTAAACTTCTCATGACTTGAATGTTTCCCAGGTGAACCTATCCCAAAAAATACATTCCCAATTACACCTACCCCTGTTTGATTAATAAAAAAAATTATCCACTTGGAACCTATAACAATGGCATTGAGTACGTCAACATTCAAATGTATTAATTTTTTACCAAGTTGCAGAATCCCTGACTGCTCCCAGAATCTCCTTCTACCAAGTTGTTTTCATGTCGATTATCCTCACTGGAACTCATTCTTCTGCCTCCTCTTATTTTCCTCTCTCCCTGATCACTTCCATTATGCTCAGTGCCACTAGGGTCTCTCCTAGATGGCTTCAAGCTATCAGCACCATTCCGCCCGTGAATGGTATTCTGGCTGTGATAACCATTAGCCCTTCTAGGGTGTCGATTGTAACCCTCGCTTCGGCCATTAGAGTGAGCATGTCCATTGTCTGCTCCCTGCTGTTGATAACATTGCCCATTGTAGTGTATGTAACCATTCATTTCATCCTGAGATATTCCCGCTTCCTGCATTTTTCAGTAAACTTCCATTACGGCCATCACAAGAAGAATCTCTCCTATATGGCATTCATGCTAATACTATTCTTTTTGTAGCCAAAGTTCTGGTTATGGTAACCATGAGAGACCAATTATAATTGATAGAAAAAAGGAAGCTACTACTGAAAAGAGAGAGTTATGGGATATTCATCAATCAAAAGATTTGAATTCTAACCAGGCCGCATGTAGGTTGAAAGGAGGAGGTAGAAGTAGGATCCGTTGATGTGGAAGCCTTGGAAGACCTCCAAATCTCCAAGTCAGAATCAGAAGGTTGTGATTTAAATTCATCGTAATTTGATTCCCAAGTAGAAGCTGTTTCCAACCAAGCATCAGCATTTGGTGATTTCTCTAACCCTACTTCAAGAGGGAAAAACAAACGAAGCCTGCCGCGAAAAGAACGCTCAAGAAAACTCATGGTAACTTTGAGATAACCGAAGTAACCCCAGTCGTCCGACCAATGATTTTTCACAAGATAATATGGTTTAACGCATAGCTGCCCATCAGGGAAAAAACTGATTTCAAATCCATACCCAACCACCACTACAGAATGATATCGTCTTTTATCTCGTGGGAGGGAGAGAAAATTCTCAATATCCCCCTCTGACGGTTCATAAATCTTTGTCGGGTCAGGGCCACCTGGCCGACCCGCAAGACGGAATCGCTTGTACATGGGCACCGTAGCCACGCCAGGAGCTTTCTTGATCATTTGCAGAATTTCCTTCCGGCAACTGGTGGTTACCATATCACGGAGATAAAACATGGTTCCGGGCGGGTATATGTTAGCGGTTGGATTGATTCCCGTGTACGGATTAAAAATCTCTTCTCTCAGGCCGTATACTCCAGCGAAGGCGGCGCACCTCATGTAATTCGACTCACCATCTTTATTCGCACCGGCGTGCATCTCAGCCCTCGAGAATGTCACTGGGGGAAACCCATTATTCACAAACCAGGAGCTCATTACATCGCACATGGAGAATGATGTGCACGAAGGAATGTCGCTTTGGTTCCAAACAGGGGGTAACACATGTGGCTTATCCGTCCAAGTGTATCCTGTATCCCGCTTTTTTATTCTGGTAAAAAAACTCTTCAGAAAAATGCAGATTAGCCATGGCGATTCAAGATTTTTTTCAAGATGATCACGAGAGGGAGTGGTGAAGAAGATGATAATTGGGGAAACAGAGGAAGAGCGGCTAAATCCAACCAACCCGTTAGCCCGAAACTAATGACCCGAATGACCCCAAAGCAGATTCATATGGCTCGGTGTTTTGTGCGATAATTAGATTTCCCTGGGTTTATATTGCATTGTGCTTTTCCCATTTTCCCGTGAAAATTTATATGTTTTGATTATATCTACATATATCGTACAATTAAGAATAATAAAAGGATAAAATAGACAAAAACAATCTGAAAACCAGGGCGATTTCTCAATGAATACGGCCATGTCGTCGATTACATCCAGGCCGATTTCTATCATTGTCACATCCTGCCACACAGATTTACGGCTACCATCCTCTTAGCAACCGAATACTGAACCCGGCCGCTTAGGTATCAAGCGAGATTTGAAGATCAGAGAAAGACTACCCTTCATCTAAACGATGCAATACTAACCGCGACAGTATTGCCGCGAACAAAATTACACCGTTTAGATCAAGGAATATCCTTCTTTCACCAAGACAAGAGCATATCTCCATCTCCATCTCCATCTCCATCTCCATCTAACAACAACAGCGAAAAAAAACCAATTTTTCAGAAGAAGAAAAAAATACCATCCCTCTGAGAGCCGAGGGGAGAGGATATGAGGTCTAAGAGCCTCCCTCTGTCATCTGCGACAACAAAAAAGCCCTCCACCTAACGATATATATACTATTCGAAGTTGGATCTAACTATTCTGTCGTAAGATGGGCTGCCAATCTCTGCCCATGATACTTTTGGGCCATCGCTTTTGCCCATGATGGTGAGCTAATACTTTTGACCCATCTTGTTTTTTTTTCTTTTTCTTTTTCTTTTTCTTTTTGGGTTTCGAAAGTTTTTTTTTTTTTGGATAATGGTTTTGAAACATTTTATAATCATCATAATAATAAATATTCTTTTGACAAATTCATTTAACATTTAAATTTGATTGATTTAGTGGTTAATTAATTGACATTGTTTGATAACGCATCACATAACAATTCAATTGATGGAGTAAGTTATAGTGATCCTACTACTGTGAAAAAATATGCTAGAAGTTTGATAATTAACTAATGAAGGATTTAATTTTTAAGTTTCTTTGATAATTATAAATCGAATATATTAATAGATTAAAAGGATTTGAAATGCAACTATACATATGAGTCTAAAAGAAAGTGATATCACTTATTGTCAAAGTATATCATTGAGATTTTTTTTCTTCCTAATTATTTACATTTATGTTTTATGTTTTCGATGTGGGGTAATTGGGGAATCACTATTGATCCCTTTTCATAAAAAAAAATGTTTATATTTTTTATGTTTTATGTTTAATTCAATCATGTTGCACTGAAATTATTTGGGCCCACTCGTTATCAATAGGATCAAGGGTATATTCAGCAAGAAATATATTGAAGGGTTAGTGCAGGTCTAGTCAAAAATCAAAATTTATCAAAAGTGTGTTCTTAAATTCCTCAAAATTTAGGTTTTTGTGATTATATTGGAAATAATTCCACAAAGGAGATTGTTCAAGGTGGGTTTAATGGATAACGACGATGGAAAAGCGGTTGGATGGTTAAGACACCCCATATTTTGAGATAAATAAGGACGGAAGATTCTTGTATGTCGGTATGTGTACTTTTTTAAAAATATTTTCAGTTGTTTTAGTTAACGATTATGGAATTGTTATAGCATATATTCCTTTTATAAGGGTGAATCGAAATGTAGTGTTGAACAATTCGGCATAACTGCATGGTGGCGAACTCAATGAAGTCAGTCATATATTTTAGAAATATAACTGTATGGCCCGGTACTCAATGATCGCAATGCGCGACCCTGGCTCAATATATCTGTAGATTTTAGAAATATTTGTATCTGGAAAAGAAAATCTATTTTGTATTTGGGTCGATATATTTTAGAAATGTTTGAAGAATTTAGAAATGTTTTATAAGTGTGATCATAGAAATGTTCGTATTTAGCATAAAAAGAAATTGTATTTGGCCCGGAACGTTTTAGAAATGTTTGAAGATTTTAAAAATATTTTATAAGTGTTACTTCTTAAATATAAATAAACTTGATCAAATATATGTCTTGAAGTAAATGCAAGACAAAATATAAAAGCATCCTCATAAGTTTAAATATTAGTAAGATAATTTATTGATGTTCTCCATTGGTTGTGCCAAATCAATACTTAGTTTTGGAGATTTATAATAGCTTTGCAGTAAGCTTCCTCCAAAGGGTATATGCTTAATTGTTGAAACTATTTCTTCCAAAAGTTTATAGGTAGTAAAATATCAAAAATATGATTTTGAAACTGGTTAATTGTTGAAACTGGTTGATCACAAATATGAGAATAAAAATAATGTAATTTACATAGGTTTCAAGTTATAGCAAAAAACAACTCACCTCACCATGGCAAATTAAAAAAAAAGTAAAAGATAGCCCATTAAAAATTGAGAAATTTATTTTTTCTGTAGGTAAAAATGATGTATAAAAACACAAATAAATGTAGAAAAATCATTCCTTCCCTCTCCACCTCAAATTCATAAAAAGTTTCCCCATAAATTAGTTAGAAGAAGCGACCTGAACTATTTATATGATAAGGAACTAAAAAAAGTCCAAAAACCAAATCCAAAAAAAAGTATATTCTTGAAAGATCGAACACAAAAAAAAGCGCTTCATTTGTAAATAAAATAAAATAAAATAATAATAATAATTAGTTAATTGGGAGTATGAAACAAAATCAAAAGCAATTAAACAAAGAAAAAACACACTTCATAACTGACCATATACGAAAAAAAACCTGAGACTCCATAATTAAAAAAAGAAAACTAGTCTAATTGAATGAAACATAAAAAACAAATTTAAAAAACCACACTTTGTAATAAAAACCCAATTAATCAATTCAATGATTTGGATTTTTTATGAACATGTGGTTTTTTTTTTGTTTTTTTTTGCGAAAATAGGAGGTGAAGGTAGATTTGGACTGCATTTGCCTTTTAAGTCTAGGAGATGTGTAAATAAAAATTTATTTTAAAAATATGATGTGGAAATGCCACATGGCAAATGGTGGTGCTTTCTCTAAAGTGTGGTTTTTGTTTCTAATATAGTAAGATATACTAGTGATATCTGGACGTGCAATGCACGTCCCTGACCCAGTATATCTGTAGATCTTAGAAATATTTGTATTTGAAAAAAAATATTTTGTATTTGGTTCGATATATTTTAGAAATGTTTGAAGAATTTAGAAATATTTTATAAGTGTGATTATAGAAATGTTTGTATCTGGCAGAAAAAATAAATTGTATTTGGCCCGGTACGTTTTAGAAATGTTTGAAGATTTTAGAAATGTTTTATAAGTGTTACTTATTAAATATAAATAAACTTAATCAAGTATATGTCTTGAAATAAATGTTAGATAAAATATAAAAGTATCCTAATAAGTTTAAATATTAGTAAGATGATATTGATGTTTTCCGTTGTCGTGCCAAAGCAATACTTAGTTTTGAACATTTATAATAGTTTTTTAGTAAGCTTCCTCCAAAGGGTTTACGTTTAATTGTTGGAACTGTTTCTTCCAAGGGTTTATAGGTAGTAAAATATCAAAAATATGATTTTAAAACTGGTTAATTCTTGAAACTGGTTGATCACAAATATGAGAATGAAAATTATGTAAATTTGCATAAGTTTCAAGTTATAGCAAAAAAAAAAAAAACTCACCTCACCATGGGAAAAAAAAAAGTAAGTAAAAGAGCCCATTAAAAATTGAGAAATTATTTTTTTTCTTGTAAATAAAAATGATGTATAAAAACACAAATAAACGTAGAAACATCATTCCTTCTCTCTCCACCTCAAATTCATAAAAGGCTTCCCCATAAATTAGTTAGAAGAAGCAACGTGAACTATTTATATGATTAGGAACTCAAAAAAGTCCAAAAACCAAATCCAAAAAAGTATATTCTTGAAAGCCCAAACAAAAAAAAAAAAAGAAAAAGCGCGCTTTATTTGCAATAATAATAATAATAATAATAATAATAATAATAATAATTGGTCAACTGGGAGTATGAAACAAAATTAAAAGTAATTAAACATAGAAAAAACACAGTTCATAACTGACCATATAAGAAAAAAAACTGAGACTCCATAATTAAAAAAAAACCACTCTAATTGAATGAAACATAAAAAAAATTTAAAAAAAATCACACTTGGCAACAAAAACTTAATTGATCAATTCAATCTAAATAGAACTAAAATCATACAAAAATTTTAGGCTAATTAACCATATAAGAAATTACATCATATTACCTGGCAACGGCTATGGTAGCTGTAACGGGTGGACGCATAAAAATAATAGTAATAACACTATTCTTGAACGGGAAAAATAAAAAATAATAAAAGCCGTACAAATGATCTGTGGATATAAAATCATTTAAATCTTAATATCAGTAATGGCACCACCACAATGGCCGAAGCAAGATCAATGAGAAATTAATTTTTTTTCCTTTGTGTTTCTATAGCGAGGTAAAGAGAATATTTTTTGAAGTCGAAATTTATCCGATTAGGATGTAGTTGATCATCAATAATGAAAAGATTGAACACGCTAATAGAAAAGGAGTATATTTTACCACATATTCTCAATTGATGATTGATGAGGAATTTATTTTTTTTATTGTGGAGAAGAGATTGATTAGGGAGTCGATTGTTGTGGAGATGTGGATGAGGATTTTGGTTTTTTATGAAGCCGTGGTTTTTTTTTTTTTTTTGTGAAAATAGGAGGTGGAGGTGGATTTGGACTGCATTTGTCTTTTAAGTCTAGGAAACTGATGTGTAAATAAACATTTATTTTAAAAATATAATTTAGAAATGCTACATGGCAAATGATGGTGCTTTCTCTTAAGTGTGATTTTTGTTTCTAATATAGTAAGATATCGTGGAGGCTAAAAGCCTAAAGTCACATCATTTCCTAGCACATAACAAATGGTAAAGACTTTTACGGTAAAATAGCCAATTTCACAAAATCTGAAGAGCCAAAAAACCGTTTCCCTTTGTTGATATGCATCAAAGCACCGAATCAACGATAACTTCAGCAATACTAGAGAACGTCTTCCAAATTGCCCGCAAGAATCTTGCTTTGCTACCACAAGCCTTCTCATATAGGAGCTCCGATTCCACTTTGTTCTTCATTGTTTTACCAAAATTCTCAAAATAATAAGCTTGTTTTCAGTTAATGGTTGTATGAAAATTTAGTTATCTACCTGGCGGTATCAGGAGGTTCCTCCTCCTGATCAGAGAAGCGCCTATTATCCATCTCAATCAGGTGCTCCTCAGTTTGGTTGTCATCCAAATCTTCAAGGTCCTCTAGAGCCGCCATAATAGCCTCCTTATTTTTCTCTTTTTTGCCATTGACTTTGAATTTGGATTTGATGTTGAAAGCATTAGTTCCATCCCTTGATTTTTAGTTAGGGGGAGGACGGTTTGTCTTGGACATCCGGTGAGTTAAAGCCGTTAAACCTGTAACCGGGTCAGGGATATGTACTACCGTGTGATTTTGACCATTTAGAATAGGCTGAGAGATAGCCACATGCCTTGATTGATTCCCTTGGCCATGGTTGGTGGTGTCAACAATGGCTTCATCTGTTTTTTGACTTTTTTCTTTTTCAACTATCTGATGGTTGCTTGTTGAGGCTGGGGCCGTTTGGGCTTCTACGCTATTGGGCTTACTCGTATCTTGCTTGGGTGAATAAACTGTTGTCTCCCTAGCCTCATTCTTCCTCTTGTATGTAGTACACCCTTGTTTGGGCTTGTAAACTTGAGTGGATGGATGGCCCATTTCAAAACCCTTAAATGCATTAGAGCTATTCTGAACCAAGTTGACTTCCTCGTCATTGTGCTCGATTATCAATGGGGCAAACTTTGACTGACTCGCGAAGGACTCCATTTTTGCCCCGATTTTATGCCGTTGCTTGTCAGTAGCCGTTGTGAGCGCAGACCTAGGTGGCCCCCTCCACACTCTCTTCGGTGCCTGCATCCATTCTCCGATTTCAATTGGCCGTTGCAGCTCAATTGATTTTGTCCAGACAAACTAGGTTGGTTGAGAGTGTTAATTGATGCCGTGGAATCACATTTTTTTTTTGAGCTTGATTTTCTTTCACCGGAGTTGTTGCCTCCATTGTCGCCACCGGGAATTTGGGACAAGACTCCGATAAATGTCCGTATTTACCGCACGCAAAGCAGATTGTGGGTAAATCTTCATACTCAATTTTATAGACAACCTTATCCACGGTCACAATACCCCTCAAAGTCTCTGTGAGATCTAATTGCACCGCTACTCTAGCGTATTTAGCTCTTTCTGCCGCCAAGGTATGTTGATCCGCCTTGATGAAGACCCCCATTTGATTTGACAACATTCCTCAATATGTCCTTGTGGAAATATTGAATTGGAAGCTCCGGAATTGGTATCCACGTTGCTACCGCTGACAAATCCTCTGTTTTGGCATTGAATTTCAAAGTCCATGGGTAGACTCGAAGGTATTTTGTTTGATAAGCTGTTCCGATTGTCCACGGACCGTTTAGTATTGCTTTGTTGTAGTCTTCTTCATCACTCAACCTGACCACGTAATGCCCATTAACAGCATCAGCTACTTCCATTGCTCCTTTTGGTTGCCAAAGTAGCTTGAGTCTGTTGTAGAGCTTTGTGTACCCAACTGTGCAACCTAGAGGGCTAACAACAACTGAGAAGCCCATAGCCTCCTTCATTCGTACTTGAACCGGAGGTAAGAATCTCACAGATGCAACCCCGTCCACAATCTCGTGTATTACCTCGTCATCATACACATTGATTTGCTCCCTAAGAGGACTGGTGAATTTGCCATTCAGCTGTTTTGTGACAGCTGCCTTAAACGAAAGCCCTGGAGGAATTTCTGTTTGTGGATCTTCTCTATTTTTCACCTTTTTTGTTGCCGGATTCTCATCATTGTGTTCCTGTGGAGCTGAGGCGTCCTCCTCCATATCCATTATTAGGACTAGAGTTTTCAGATGACTCCCGTTCTAGAGAGAATCGTGTGTCATTCAATCTTCAAAGCCCGTTGATTGTTTTAAGTACCGCGTTTGGAATTTCAAAAAACAAAAAAAACTGATCCAACACGCATTTTTTGCACGTTCTCGACATGCTAAAGGATCCATCACAGGACTCGATCCACCTAAGAATTTTCCATTTTTCCTTTCCTTGTTCTAATATCAATTTCCTACGATGAGTCCCCCCATATGTAATAGGGAATTTACCTCACAGTAGTCTAAGGAACTTAGGTAGTACGAGGTACCTTATCGTTGTTCCTATACCAGGATCTCCCCCGGATTCCTTAGTTTATATCTCTATCATTGCGATCCGATGAGATAATTACTTGTTCTAATATACACTTACAGCTCATACCTCCCTACCCACACCGACTTTGCTCATCGGAGTTGATTTTACCACAGAGATAATCTTCTTGTTGACAATGGCTCCCACAAATTTGCCTTCAGTATCCCGCAATAAACCACCAGCCGCCCCTTTCCATCAAAATTAATTTTAATCCGGGCTGCAGAACCCAGCCAATCTCCGTCCTCCTGCTTTGTTCTGCAGCCTGCCATGATAGTTTTTTTTGACTCCGTTCCATCTCATCCACTCTCTGGTTCACCAACCTTACAGCTGCTTGCACTTCTATGCCATCATCATTTAATACCCTATTTTTTCTCCAGTTCCAGAGGGTCCAACAGATTGTATCAAATTTCGTACTCCACCTCTTATCCCTAGCTAATAACTTGGTGTTGAACCATTCCCTCAGTTTTTGTGCATAAAACATGTTCCTTTGATTCCTGGTGCAATCTCTCAGCACATGCATATCCTATATGTTCGAAGTCCTCGTCGGTGGCAGAGCTCATTTGTTGCCAATAAGGGCCTCTCCATTTCCAAACTTTATTCCAGTACCTGTCAACATTTTCATCCACACTCGCACAATTTAGGATTGAAGGAGGCGGTGAAAATTTTGACATAGTTCGCCATGTCAAATCCTTTCTTTTTCTTTTTCTTTTTTTTTTTTCCCAACTTAGTTACTGATGGACGCAGTTGCCTCATATTCACGGATATAATGCTGTTGCTTTTGAACCATTTCTATTTTTTATTTTTTTAATTGAATATGAGATATACAAAGGAAGCACAGCAAGAAGAACAAGGCGGAGCAGGAGAAGCCGAAGGATAAGAGCATGGTGGGTAGACCAACTGGACCAACAGGACCAAGTTTGGACGAACAAGGTGGTGAAACCGTGTAACGGAGTATGAATTTACCCATTAACTTAACTGGGTTCACGGAGTATGATATCAATTACGTTTTGGACGATGGAAGGAGCAAGCTGGATTATAAGGATTTATTGGCTCCGCACAAATATTAGCTAGACAGAGGTCCAGTAGAATGCATATATGCACTCCAAGTTCTTACCCCTGTACCTGATGGTTGAATAGAGCCCCACAAACCACCCAACCCTGATCTCTGGACTTGTGAATCAAATTAAAGCAGCAAATTAATCACTCCACTTGATCAAATAAGTAAAAAAGAAAACCAGTACCATCACGCATTTCATTGCTACGCAAAAGAGTCAAAAGTAATTTAAGACTAGTAAATAAATGTAGTCATTATCATTACTCCTAGGAGGCTAGGACTACCTACATGTTCCTGATGCAAAAAAGCTTCAACGTACCCAGCCACAGCACGAACAATACTCTTCAGGAACAAATGTCACACGAGGGCGTACTCCCCCAGGTATTTCCCACCAGTAGGGCTCCTTGTCAGGAAGAGGATACTTGGCACACAAAGGAAGCTCTCTCGGGTCACAGCAACGAAGTAGACAAGGCTCATCCTTTTTCCAGCCTAATTCCAACACATCTTTCCGCTCGCAAGACCTCACCTCTTGCGCTTTACAATGACCACGACCAACCACAAACCGTGCTCGAAAGGTGGTCTGGATGACTCCGGGAAGGTCAACTGGAGAAGCGTTAAAGGTAATATAATACAGAACTCTAATATCATTACGGTCATACATCACATACTGAACCTTGACATCCTTGTACCTCTGCAGATAAAACATCGTAAACAAAGTAAAAAAACCTACTCTTTCGCTAGTGTGTTATAATGACAATAGATATTAAACAAGAAAATCACTCGTAAAGATATCTACTACCATATAGATGCCATAAGGGCTGTGGGAAAGCCGTAACACTATTTACACCACAAAAAAGACAAGTTTTCATTAGCTTTGATAGACGTGATATAACTGTCAATGAAGAACGAGCATAAACAGGCCAGTAGCATCATACAAAAAGGTCGAAAATGATAAAAAATGCAGGGTAAACTTCATATAACATGTCAATAGGTAATTGATGTTAGTGGATGTCAATGAAAGGGAGGGCTCCTCTATTTTTTTTTTTTTTTTTAATCATAAAGGCAAATAAAAATCAGCTAAAGAAAACTGAAACAGGCATTTTAAATTGCATAAATAAACTATGAAACTATCTATTCTCCAAAAGAAAAAAACAATGCAGCTTTCTAAGAAGACACAATAACATAAACAGAGCAGTTTTAGGATATAAGTGTCAGATTCAGAGAGGTACCTCCTCCTGCTGATGGTGGTTGTGGTAAAACTGGAGACATTGCTCAGAAATCTGATGAAATTCAGCCATGGTTTTGACCTCATCATACTCGTGCTCTTTAAAAGGATGAATTCTTGCTCTGCTGGGAACATTATCAGGAGGAGCATTGACAAGGTAACCCTGAGAATTGTGCATCTCGTCGAAGTACTTCTCCCACAGATCCGGATTCCTCACCGTCCCAATATGCATGTCCCACAACTCCGAACGAAGCTCCCTCACAGCATCAGGGACGAATTTATAATCCTTGAGAGCCTGATAATAATAACACAAGATAAACGGGGGGAAAGAATTAAAAATACAAACAGGAGATTCAGAAGGAGGCTCAATTGATTGAATTAATGTCAATTAAACTGAACTGACCTCAGTATTAGTTTTAAGCATCTCTTGGATGTCATTTTCCCACTCAGCATCACATTTCGCCGTCTCGGCCTCACCTTCCAACAGTTCCGGATTAATCATCATCAGAATCTCCTCCACAACCTCATAGAATTTCGGATGTCCAGGGCGTATACTATGCAAATCCCCAACATATGATTTGCTCCGCAAATACTCCCAAACAATCTTATCCCATCCCATATCTTCATCATCATCATCATCATCATCATCATCCCCTCGCCGTTTCAGAGGATTGCCTTCCGAATCCCCCTCAATAACCACTGCTTTTCCCTTTTCAAACAATTGCATCCCCAGGTCCCCAGATCCCAAAACCGCCATAGCCACCGCGCTATTCTGTTCCCTGTAATTAGAATCCGAAGTTTTGCTGGATATTGTTAGGTTTTCGAGTAATTTTAGCCTTTTAGGGGCAAACAAAGGAATGGTTTAGGTGTATATATCATTGAGATCGAGTCGGCCCGGCTCGGATCTGCTCGGCTATGCTTTCTAGAAAGTTTTTATATTAATCATCCCGTGCGCTTAAAAAAAATAATAATAATATTACTGTTGAATTAACCCACAAATTTTTTTTTTTTCATTTTTTTTTCTTTTAACTTTGTGGATTATTACTATTTGTCTTTCGGGTTTTTGCGGTTGGTGGTCCAAGACAAAAATTGTCAAAAATTTCTATACAAGACTAGTATTATGCCTGCGCGTTGTACGGTGTATCAAATATAGAAGAGTTTTAATAGTTAGATTATGCAAAGTGTAAAATAGTTGTTATAGCTAGATTTTTATTTTATTTTTTTTTACAGGATAGTGAATGACATTACCTTTAGAATATGTACTTTTCCTTATTGGTATCTTGATGAGAAAAAATATTTACTATCTACTTAAATGGAAGTTTTCTGAATTATTTTTTGTTTGACACGGAAATAAACAATTTTGAATAATGTATGACAATTAGAATGCACAAGTTTTGACTTCAAAATGAGAGGGGGCTTGAGAAACTATCACAAAGCATTTTTTTTTTTACTGTGAAAATTACAATCTTAACCAAATTGGTTGATTGTTATTAAGGTATAAAATCCTTGTGTATAAATTGACACCAAAAAAATATTTATATTTGAGACGGAACCAAATATTATGTAATCCTTCCTATTATATGTAATTGATCCCTACATTTCCTTCTCCCGCCTTTACACCTTGATGGTTTGAGCTTCATTTAATCATTGCCAGTATTGTTTGAAACAACACCAATTTCCTTCAAATATTGCAGAGATTTTGTAGCTGTACACCATCACTGTTTGTGCTGAAAAAATATCCCTAAACCTGCAGGAAATAAAGGATGAAAATCTCTCTAAAACATACAAAACCAATCGATTGTGGATGTGTTCTAAAACTATGCTGAAAAAATATCCCTAAATCCGCGGGAAATAAAGGATGAAAATCTCTCTAAAACATACAAAACCAATCGATTGTGGATGTGTTCTAAAACTGGCCTCGGGCCTAGATTCAAGGACTTAGGGTTTAGTTCGATTTATTATTAAGAAAATATATAGAGAGGAAGTGAGGCGAGCCGAAGTGGTGGCCGTCAATTGATTAAAAGTGGGAGAAAAAGGGATATGTAGCGGCGACTTGCTACGGAGAGCGTCGATAAAGCGCTATACAAGGAGAATCGAACTGAAGTAGAAAACGATAAATGACTACTTATTTCTATGAAGGAAAATATGCTAAAAACTATTTAATCTAGGTTAAACTAAGAAAACAAGATAAACATACATGAAAGAAAAGACGAAAAAGAAAGAAAAAAATAAGAATGATATCGATTGATGATATTGAGAGGTGTGTCCTTCTGTGCTCTCGGCCGCCACCTTTTATAAGCAGCAAATAGGTTATAGCTTTCTTGGAGACAAAGTAGCTCCCCCTCCTAAAAGATAGGAGTTTAGCCGAACTAATCATAGTGATGGTAGTCCATGTGACTTCTCTTGGAAATAAAGTAGGTTGCACATCCACTCCTATAAACTTAGAATTCGGCGAACCAAACAACACTCTAACTTGGCCAAATATTTGATCAAATCCCATTAATAAATGAATCACCATCTGGGAAGTTTTCTAATCCAAACCAAAGTAGGCTTCTTTTGCAAACCAATCCCAATCAAGTGTGAATTAGATTCAAATATAATCTTTAAATTATAGGAAACAAGCCAAATGAGCCTAGGATTTCTTTGTTGCTTAACAATCCTTTCCCGATTTGAACACCAATATTAGGGTAATTTCGCCTCTTCGGTTGACGGCCAAATCGGCCCGTCGAAGGACCCAAATTCATTTCAGGGTCCAACATAAAGCCCCTCGAACGTCCATATGGAGTGGAATGGAATGAAATGAGATGTGGACGTTGATAAGCGCAATGTCACCAGAAATAAGCATTCGGCATGGCATTAACATCGACATAATGCCAACCTGCTGGAACGACAACGTAATATGATGCCCATGCAAAATGAGGAACATGATTAAAACGAGGAGTATGCTTACTTCGCCGAGATGTTGGATGTCTCCTTTGATAATCACCTATTGTGTTAGAACTTCTCGAACTGCGTCGACGCCAAGTATGGTTACCAATATTGCCGAGATGAACTTTATGAGCTTGCTGGAACTGACCCTCATGTGTTGGAGAACCACTATTCTGGCACCCATTATCATTCCGAACCTGACGGCTTGATGTTGTACTGATACTTTCAACTGCTTCATTAATCGTCGACAACTTACTAGCATCTGCAACAGAACTTGCTTGATCGTCGCCGGCCTTATCATCGCCATTTGACCCTGCAACAGCAGATTCTTTCTCTTGGTCGGCTGCACCCTGAATAATCACATCATTATTGATCTTAGCCGAATCACTACTAAACTTAGCAACGACAACCTTGGCCCCAAATGCCTTGATTCTGCTAGGCCGCATAACGGAAGGTGGAAGTATCTTCGACTGATCTCTTGCAGAATTCTTCTTTTCCCGGCCAATCAAGGATTTTAGCAACTCACGATCTTTGGCCAAATCAATCCTTCATTCTATAGCAGCACCATGATTCACTCGCCGATATTGTATTTACTGGCTGCAACACCTGTTCATTTGCAGTTACAAATGCTTGTTGGGGGTGCTCAGACTCTTCTTGTAGGCTTTCCCTAAGCTTGCCACATTCAGCATCAAAATCACTAGGTAGCCCTCCGGGTGTCGACGATAAATCTGCCCCAGAATTTTCTTGCAACTGATCTGCTGTTGCAACTGAACTTTCATTTGCTTCTTGCGTCTGCTGAGTTTGTTGTACCTCCTGCAGATTTTGTACCTGCGGCACTACCTGCTGTAACTGCAACTGTTGCAATACCTGGATCTGAACTTGCTGATGTTGCTGCGACAAAACTTGTTGTGGTTGTGCCTGCAACAGAACTTGCTGATGCTGCAGCGACATAACCTGATGCGGTTGTGCCTGCAACAGAACTTGCTGATGTTGCACCGGTGACACCTGTTGTTGTTGCAATGCCTGCATCTGCAATTGCTGATGTTGCGGAGACAGAACCTGCGCCTGCGCCTGCGCCTGAACTTGCTGTTGTTGCGGTGACAAAACATGCAGTTGCTGCGCCTGTATCTGTTGCACCATGTTTTCACTAATTAGCATATTGTAAAAATCATGTGTAGCATTTGAATTACCAACAGTGGACAGCCCCCCGAATCTTAAGGGATCTTGCACCACAGACCCGTCACGTCGTCTGTCAATGCAACTAGATTGCTGTTTCGCGCCATGTTGATCATAAGATTGAGGAAAGCGGCCATCAAGGGTAGCCTGCCATCCGATATTATTTTCAGCCCCCAAAGAATTATGTCCTACATGTGGAACTGCAGGCTATTGAGAGATATGCCCACCAAGTGGTGATGGACTATAAGAATATTGAGATTGGGGATTACTAGGCGACCTATTATGTGGAGAAGAAGTATAGATCGGATCCCTGGGGCTACTAAGATCGAATCCCATAATAAAAAATGAAAGGAAGAACCTTTTTTTTTTAGAGAAGAAAGAGAGATTTTAAAAATAGAGATTTTTAGAAGGAAAACCACCACGATCTAGGAATCAAACCAAAGCTTGTCCCAACGGGCGTGCCATTATGTTTGTGCCGAAAAAATCGCCCTAAACCCGCGGGAAAGAAAGGATGAAAATCTCTCTAAAACATACAAAACCAAGCGATTGTGGATGTATTCTAAAACCAGCCTTGGACCTAGAATCGATGACTTAGGGTTCACTTCGGTTTAATAATAACTAAGAAAATATATAGAGAGGAAGTGAGACAATCCAAAGTGGTGGCCGTTGATTGATTAAAAGTGGGAGAAAAAGGGATATGTAACGCCGACTAGCTACGGAGAGCGTCGATAAAGCGCTATTACAAGGAGAATCGAATTCACTGAAGTAGAAAGCGATAAACAACTACCTATTTCTATGATAGAAAATAGGCTAAAAACTATTTAATCTAGGCTAAACTAAGAAAGTATGATAAACATACATGAAAGAAAAGACGAAAAAGAACCTCGCCTTTTCTTTTCATAAGGACGTCTTTCTAGGACAGTAGGAGCCCATTAATCATGTAGTCGAGGTGATTAATAGAACCAGGCCTGAGAATGAGGGGAAGGTGAAGAATTTTTTTTGTTTTAAAAGTATTCTATTAAATTTTATATTGGTTTCTTTAAATATTTCTACTCATTTCATATCTTGTAAACTCTTCCTCTAACAATTTTTTTCCATTATTTTTTTCCATAAATTTACTTTTAATTTTCATATCTCTATATACCTTTTGCAACTTTCTTTTGAAGTTTGTTTGTATTATTTTCTTATAATATAGTGTTTACTTAATTTGTTTTCATGGTTGCATGTCTTTACCTCATTTTTTTTAAAAAAAAAATTGATGACCTCTCTGTCTTTATTTCTTTCAAAAAAATTGGATGACGCAGGGAGAATCGAACTATCGACCTCAAGGTAATAACTCTCCCCCTCATCCTAATCTCCTAACCACCCCACCCAACCCTCCAACCCCTGATGACCTCTCGTTAAAACTTCATTTCTTGAATTTTTTTTATAATTATTTCATTTAGAACTATTATCATGGTTTCTTTTTTCATATTTTCGTATTCTATATATAATTTTTTCCTCCAAATAATTATTTTTAATTTCTCAATATATTTTTCTTCTACTGTTTGCCTTTCACAAAGACCTTAATGATTTTTTTTCTCATTTTGAGAAACTTTCTCCATCATAACTTTAACGCTAATTAATAATCATAAGTTTGTACGTTTTGTTTTATCACCATACAATTAACTTGTTTACCATTATATCATATGGAAAAAATACAATGAATATATTATATTATTGTATTAGTTTATTAGTAATCTTTTATTTTACTATTTACTAATATAAAATATATATATATAAGGTTATGTAT